TATGTGTGTGTATGTGTGTGTATGTGTGTGTATGTGTGTGTATGTGTGTGTATGTGTGTGTATGTGTGTGTATGTGTGTGTATGTGTGTGTTTGATGGTCCTCGAAAGGGCAGTGACATAGAATGAAAGTGCTGTAGTAAAGCATGCAGAAATGTGCAAGCATAAGCTGGCCTACATCGAGGACTTAAGGAAGTTTCGAGCCTGATGGACCGAGACGCGGACGGGTAGAAGATATCATTGTTGAAACTATAGCTTGACAAGGTAAATATTCATCCCAAAAACTGTCAGGTTTGGTAAGTAGTCACTTGCCTAGGAGTCAGCTTTCATTCCTCCTGGTCCAACTTCCCCTTAGTTTCTGAATACTATTTAGATATGGTAGACTTTACCTTTTCCTTATCTTGAACTATTACATGACATGTCTCTGAATCGATCGTAGATGGCTTGCCGTGTCGTAATGATTCTATGATAGAACTATTTATCAGATATAGACAAACACATCTAGAGAATATTATTTGATAATATTAACGGAGACTATATATCCCGTGTACCATATACATATCTTTTATCTCTTCTTGAAAGATAGATTGTAATGTTATCAATGTAATATCATAATAATACCTCATTACATCTATTTGTAATTAGGAAGTCTTATGTTTCTTTCTGAAAGCCCTAAGTACTAAAAGGTTCTATAGAGACACCGATTTTTCTCTCTAAGCAAAAAAATTATATTTTACATCTTGATACGGAACTTAGTCTAGTATATATTGACTATGGTATCTATATTGTGAGACCTATCTAGCTAATTATCTTATTCTCTTATTAAACATACTCTATCAAACTGTAATCTATTTGTAGTACATGTGGAGCTGCGTTCTATAATAACGTTCTTCATCAATGATATACGAGCCGACCAATTAGAACCAGTGCCGCGGAGAGAACTGGTAGCAGTTGCACGACTCAGGGGGGGGGCTGATCAGCCGCGCTATTAGCTCTAGACGCCAGTTGGTGAGCGTATACATCGGGACCTTGCTGTGGCTTGATCAGCGACCCAGCCTCACGAGAGGATTGAGGCGCACGAGGCCACGCGATGTAACCGTCAAGGTGAGGCTGCGAAGCTTTGGACCAAATGGTATACCAGCCAGATTTCGAGCCTGTGGCTGTTGACTGGAAAATAATGTTGCTAAATTTAAGTTGGGGCTTAACAAGCGGCGATAGAGCTAGAGTTGTGCTTGTCGATCGCGAAGCCGTTGTACGGGTATGGAACAATCATCTAGCTACCGCAGAGTTGATGTCATGCGGGCTTGTGCTATAGTTGTGCGAAGCAGCTCAAAAGTAGTCAGTTGCGTCTAGGTTCATCATGTAATCTGCATAACAGAACGAGCTTAAGGTCATGCAGAAGCTGAACCTCTGTAAGACCGAGCCTGCCGAAGATGTCCCAAAAGTATGAATGCGAATCGTGTGGCAGAGATGCGGAGAAGCGAAGTTGCGAGGATCGAAGAGAGTACGACTAATGGTTTGCGGCTTCCGTGCTCCCGTCCGTAACTCCGTGCTACGTCGGCGCGAGGATAGAAGGTACCCTTGTACGGTACTCGAGTCTCGGACAGGATAGAGTGATTATATTTACGCATACGGTTTCAGAAGTACCGGGCTGGGATCTACCTACCGAGCTTGGTATTGCCGTGAGTCGGAGGTCGCTGTTGTCATGATAGATACGTTTCGTATTGTTGATATTGTTATCAATTTCATGCCATCTCAGTTGTGATCATCGTCCACCCCTTCGCGCCAAGCTATCCCTTTTCAGACCCGGGCTACAGCCAGACAGCCGTGCCTGATGGATCTCTCTTCGATTTCTAACATGCTTACGCCAAGGTCTGTGAATAAGGAAATTCACTGCAAATAGGCCCAGCAGATTTATCACCGGAAAGACTGCTGTGCTCTGAGCTCTCTTTGTAAATTGTCCGAACTGAGTTGTCGAAAGTGGGCCTGGCCCGGACTCTCGAAAAGCAAGGTGTAGGCTACCAGAACCTAATCATAGCACTGTTTTCCCGAACAGGGATGAGACACTCATAGAGAATGACGTTCGCTCAGGGGCGCGGATATATGGCTCCTTCGATCGGAGATAGGCAGATGCTGACATATGAAGAACCTGATCTTCACATCAAAAAGATCTACACGAGTCTCAGGTATACTTTCCTATTGTGGGACCATATCTTCATGTTACTATAGTACACAATAGTATTTCTGGTATTCACGACATCGGGGTCTGTTGGTAGTCTACCCTTGAACTTATTCTTTTTAGTCCGGTTTATCTTCTACTTCAGGCCCCCAACTAGCCTTCTCAGCCTCGATTTAATCGATATTTCCTATACATCGCAAAGGCTTGATATTTCATATAGTGTAACAATGTAGTATGTGAGACCAGTATACCTCTGGTATAGGGAACGACCCCAAGTATTCTGGTGTCGGTGCGCTGAAGCAAATGCAACCTAATGACGAAACGTAATCCCCTATATGCCACATCGTTTCGCATCACACCTATTGTGTTCTTCTTTGGCTCTTCAGGCAGGCGATGCCTCATAACTAATCATACACAAATCGCAAGCGGCCTGCTCAATTCAAAGCTTAGGCAGAGTTGACTCGGTTTCGTACCTCTCCACGAATACTCTTCATGTGTATCCTCTTAACGTGATCCCTCTAAAAGACTCGTTAGTAACGTTCCAAGAAACAACGATCGCTCCACATACCATGTTATCCACTCTACTAAAAACCCTCTCGCACCCATCCCACTCACAAACAATACTAGGCTGATGACTTGCCATATGCCTGGCTAGATCTTTCTTACTCGAGAACCCGCCTCCCGTACTCTGCGGACAACTCTCATGAGAGCAGAAGTAACTTTTCGTGTGTCGTTTGTGATGTTTCCGTAGGTCACATCCTCGTGTGAACACCGCTTTGGATGCACAGCCTGGGTAGGCGCATGTCCATGATCCGTCCTCATTCTGGTAGCCGTATGCACGCAAGTCGGGCGTGCTTGGCGAGACGGACCTTCGGTATACGCGTGTGTAGTCCCCAGAGGTGGCAAGATGGTATGTGCCATTTGAGGATGTTGATGATGAGCGGGATATCGAGGGGTATGAGTTGAGATATTGCGGTGATTTGGGGATTGACTGGAGTGGTGCCATCGTTACTGACGGAAGAGAGTATCGGGGATACGAGAAATCGGCCTGGTTGGGATTCTGTTGCAGTGAATTCCAGTATGTCGGTTGGCCGTATAGAGGTGTTAGATGCGGGCTGCCGTAGAAATCCGGAGAGCCACCAGCAGATATATTAGGTAAGTGTGGACTGTGGTGTGCAAGGGTGGTTCCGTACATGGTGTCGGAATGTGACGAAGCGCTGGATGGTTGTGGAAATAGTTGGCTCATAATGTCATTATCGCCCAGCACAGAGCGGTCGGTGTCTTCGGTGAAGTATTCAGTCATTGGGTTTTCTTAAAGCTTTCTGATCTCGAGGCTAGACTTTTGCAATGTGGATCAGTCTTTTACAAGGCCAAGAACGATTAGGCGCGATTAATGTCGGCCGCGTATGAGAAAACTTGGCGTAGGAAGCGGCGTAGGAGGGTGTTGACGTGTGATTGTTGAATTGATCGGAAATGTAGTTCACCAGATCCAAGAAGAGTTTGGCAGACCGTTATGTGATCTTGATGTGATCTTGATAAGGTAAGAACAGAGCGCCAGAGTCATCAGTGATGTCTGCTATGTAGGCTGGGATGCTTTTATGTTTATAAGGCTGGTGTGAGTGATAAGACGGTTGTGGAGTGGCTGAGCCCAATCGTTTTGGCTGCTTGATCTGTCTGTCTGATTGGTCCAAGAGCAATATGGGCGCCTGGATTCTGATTATAGTAGCGGTACCTGAGAGGAGGACCGTTTTGAGGTAGCAACGAAGTGGAATATGCGTGGCTGAGAAGTACAGCTGAAGTAGTGTCTGATTCACAATATAGCTAACAGAAAACTGGAACTCTGATAGTTGTGCGCCTTGAATGTTAAGTGTTTGGGGGCTTGAAAAGCGGTCGTAAAATTGTCGCATGCTAACGTCCACAAAACGTGGCATTGGCATCTACTATGGGACTGGAAGACGCGGCTGCATGTTCTCAACCTCCTCATGGTGTGTATGAGAGCCGATTGGCTAGCGAACGGTAGGTGAAAGCACCTTGCATATTTGTATCAGTGGTGCAGCCAGCCCCTACAGGCTAAAAGAGCACAGTGTGATATCAAAAGCGGATGTGACGGACATAGCGTTGCAGAGATGGAGTGCTTGTCTTAGGGGTTGCTGTTTTAGGATTGAGGCTGTCAGATCGACTGGAGATAGTGACCGTTTCCCGAATTAACATGGCGTGCAGGAAAATCCCCGGAGTGATGAGTCCAACTGAAACATACATTGACTGGATGATGTCGTTGATGATAGCACGAGAAAGCATCCTGACTCTTGCCAGTCTGTTCGCAGCGTCTCCAGTCAGAGGATCGAACGAGTGACGGACGTACCCAATTAGGAGGGATATGTGGGGAGGGAAGAGGCAGTGGACGGGAAGGAACCACTTGTGTATGGCGAAGTTCCAAAGGTTGTCGGTGCGTTGGGGCCAATATAGGACGCTTGAAGGCTTCGATCTGCAGCTCCACACACTAACTCCTTTACAATCCAATCTGGAACTAGGCCCAGCTGAGGTCAGCAAGGACCAGCAGAAAACTTGAACAGAGGCTGACAACAAGGTGTTCATTACATTCCACTTAGCATCGTTTCCTTTGGTTTGGGGGAAGGGGGTGTTGGCATGATCTGTCGTCATATAAGGCGACAAGGTAACACCCGAGACCCACACGGGGTGCTTCAATCAACATTGTGCAGTGTCTTGCTATGACATTTGCCCATAGTAATGGCGAGATCATATACGGATTAACGGTAGAGAGCTCTGCATCCGAGCCTATCGTCGCATCGAGAGTCTTTAGACTGAGGTTAATGCAATCAAATACCGATTTGAAACCTGGACGGACCGCGGTGAAGTTGGTGTCAACGTCCGTCCGTCCGAACAAGTGTCCGCGCCTGGAGCGATTTGGTGAGTGCGCACGGATCATCTCTTCGTCTGAAGGAAATGGATAGCGGTACTTCGGCATCCTTCGACTTACAGGCTTTACACCACTTCCGATAGTCTATTATAGGTATCAACATGTCTGGCCACAACACAGCGTCCCTTCCGAGTGCCGTCTTTTCCGATATCTTACACTTCTTACCTATACATGGCAAGGCAGACTTGTGAGTGAGTGACGCCGTCCACTTGCTGTCCAGTCATCTTACGACGCTGCTGCTTCGGTTTCTTAGCAATTGGCATGCCATATTGCATCTTTACAATTTTGGATCAATGATACTCTGTGACTTGGTCGTGGTATCGGCGAGCAGATGAAGTCCATGATCTGTGAATATTATTGTACTTGATTTCCCATGTGCCTTTAGGATTTGGGTATTTTCAGTTCCGTCGTCAGGTCAGTGCCACTTCAATCTGTAGATCTTCTTTTCAACATCCCTTCATGATCCCTCTCTTGGAGCTTTGGCAGCCCCAGTCCTGGCTCGAATCTTGGCAGCGTAGCCTTCGTAGAGCTCCTTGCCAAAGTCTGCTCCTCTTCCTCTATCACAGTTTCGTCATTAAGGTCTTCTACTGCCAGAGCATAATAGGAGCCGACCATGAAGGAGGTCTATGGCACTTCATCACTCCCCTCGCTGGCAACTGTACTGTCCCTTTTTCGGCTCTAGCATCACCGACCCGTTATAATAAAACTTTTCCGTTTCAGTCATCTGGACAACGACTCATGTAGAACTACCTCTCCGTATGATATTCTCGTCAAGCCATCTCTTTCAACTTCGCCTTTACTTGTACCATTATATTTCTTGCGCGAAGTATTATCTTGTCAGCAATTTGCCCTGATCTCAGCCGCTGACTCTCTCTCAACCATTTCATTGCTAGCTTTTACTCCTTCAGCTCTTTCATATCGATAGTATGCCTTCGTCCCTTCTGTCCAGTCCCCTGGTCATAGTCATACTATAATAGACTCAATAGTCACCTAGCAATTAGCAACAATGCCGCTTTATTCGAAGCTCCTTCATCCACCCTTTGACTGCGTCTTTCCTTCTGTCGGAGTTCCTCCTCCTTATGTTAAGATATTGGACCTTATCTGCAAGGCAGACTCGACCACCATGAATTGAGGACTATAGAACCTTACGGCACTTCCCCTTCAGATTTCCGTTGAACTGTTGGCTATTATTGACGTTCAGTTGTAGACAAGACTGGAGCTGACGGGGCCAGGGCGACTAATTGAATCTCCTGTCCAGGCGTATTATTATGCTTGTCCCCTCAATAGTGAGACTACAACGCGTCGTGGACCAGAGGTTCACAATCATCGTGGAGATGGTTCCTAAGTCTCTTGATTCGTCTTCTTCAAGGGCTGTTGCGCTACGCTTCTGTATGAGACCTTCTGCCTACTGTTCCCACTCCATACTAATTCCCCATTGTATACCGGTGTAGAAATAAGGAGCTATGGAGGTCTAGGTCTTAGATCGGGAGGTCTCTTCGCATAGCAATATGAGGAGCTAGGAAGTGAGGTTCCGCGCGTGTGCGAATCGCCTTTCATACACTCAATGTGTATCTGAATTCCTCACTCCGCCGCAGATCAACATCCCGTTCCTGGAATGTCGAATATTGTGTGGTCTCGATCGGGCGCCCAGTGCCATACTTTTCTTCCCACTTGCTCCCTTTCCTCTTCAGTCACCCTACACTTGAGCTTTATTCTTTACTGTTGTCTTCCATTTTGTCATTCTCTTCCTAGTCTTTGTGTGTGTCCTGATATTGGGTCTTTCTTGACCATAGGCCGGTCCGGCACATAGCCTAATCAGTCCGGATCTTGCTAACTGCGGTCAATGAGGTCTAGTGGAAGGTTATTCAAGGGATTGGAATGTAGGAGTGACGAAGAAAAGAGTAGAGGTCTATGAGTCTAGTAGGTGCACTGCGAGGCATTGTCAAGGTGCTTCTGCGTATGCCGCCTCGTTAAGTCTTGTCAGACCTTGCAGGTTTTGCAGAGTTCTTTCTCACCTGTTCGCTTCACCCTGAAATACGTTGGCCTCTATTCAATTTCATATTATTCCTCAGCACTTGTGCTTTCATCTCGTCTTGTTGTCGTCACGATTGCAAGAATCCGATGTGCCGTACGTGGGTTGAAATTAGGGGATAATAGAGCGTCAAGCTGAGCAGACGCGTCGCAAATCATGATATGGGCACAGTACACATATTCCCGCAGCCATCTGCTCTCTTGTCATTTTGATCTCGGTGCGATTGCCGATGAGTGTGCTCATTGTGTTGGTGCTTTTGCGAAGTTTGATGCGTCAGAATCTGCGTAAGTGGAGCTAACCTTCACCATTTTTTCTTATTTACCTTCGACAGTCCAAACAGTGTAACGGTAATTTTGATCCACTTAGATTATTATGATGGGACGCTGAATGAAGCTGTGAGGCATATTATACTGATTATATGCTCCATTGATTACATGCTAGTGAGACTCATTGTCCCTGCCACCTTGCTTAATACCCATACTGATAGATCACGAATACCTGCTTGTAGGCCTGTAATAGAGCCCGTGATGCAATGAACCGTGTTGTATTTTAGCAATATATACTGTTGAATTGACTTGCTACATCATGGGGTTTATGTCTTGCTCAATCTACCTTGACCGAAGGGGACCCACGGTCAACACAAGCTCTATCATTCGACCACCTTTGCTACTATATCACTCGAAGGAACACCTTGTAACTTCTCCAGAGTACCGTTTAGCCCTTTCACCGGCATACTATCTCCTGACACGCCCTGATTGGTTAGTCGGCCAAGAAACTTCAACTATCTCTCTATTCATCTCGCCGTTACTGTGCTCAATCGTAACGCTTACCTATTGATACTCTCTGCATCACATCAACGCTGTGAGTTCTTTTATCATCTTCCAAGCTCAGATCTTCGACATCTTTTCTTCGACTACATTAACTTCCTGAATAGGGCAGCAACGTCGCACTCTCAGCGCTGAAACTTATACTCATTTCTCACCAACTGCTATTCTACCTCTCCTCTTATTAAGCCAGGTCGATCCATTAGCCACCAGAATCATCGCCAAGCTTGAAAATGTCTTCGTATACCACGAATGAGCCTCTCACCTCCGGAAATCGCACCGATATTCGTGGAGTCACTACCTATCATGCAGGCCAGAGCAGTGGTGTACAGCTCATAGACTCGGTCAGTAATAGCCCCCACTCAGTTTCATTCCTCAAGCTTCAACTAACTTATTTATCATCCGATAGGATACTTATTCCATTGGCCCGTGTGCCTTCAACGACGCCAACTTTGAACAAGCTTGGAAGAGAAACAGCTCTTTTTACAACACCAATCAGTCCTACGAGAGTGACTGGACTCTCGAGCCCACATCTGTACCATCAATTGTAAGGTTTTCCCTCTTCTGTTAGACAAAATATGCCCTGACAAGCACCAGGCACTACGACCCCCTTCTCCAAGGAAGGCTAATACCGTCACCGCCCGATCATACGAAGGTACATATGCCGCACAAGTCCCTCCCAACGACACAAACACTCAAGTCCCAGGAGACCTAAGCACGACCACCGCCAGCGGCAACCCAATGAAATTAAGAAGACATTCGATGATTGTCCACCCAGGCAGCAGCGAGCCCGCATGGCGATACTCAACTTATAGATGCTGCCTGGCCTGAAGGCCTTGAAAATTTCATACCGAACGAGCTCTTACCATGTGAAGAGCTGCCTGGTGGCTACGAAAAGGCAAAGGCTGGAGACATTGGAGGTGTCCCCCTTGCCCCACAGGACTACTCCAATCACTTTCTTCGGACTATGAAACTTCTTGCGAAGAAGTTGCGTGGTGAGGCTGGGGTTGCCGCCGCAGCTTTTCGCTACTAGGTCGCCTGGCGACACTCTCTGGCAGACAAAAGGGGTAGACACCACCGGCTCGACCGGGAGTTGATCATTGACGATCTCAAGGAGATCATCAAGGCTTGGGATGCTGGGAGCGCAGCTGCATCTGAGGGGGCACAGCCAGGAGGGCTTTACGCAGCCAACCCTGCTTACAAGGCTGGGTTCCTCGCGCTCGTTGGTGGACCATGCGATCTTCGTCACGTCCGTGATGATATTTCACCGTCCTCACCGGCTCTGGCCAAGCGCCAGAAAGAGGCAGCCACCCCTTCCGTGCGCCGTCGGGTTAGCATCCCGGGGATCTTCTCCGACCCAGGTGTAGAATCTTCGGAAGATAGGAGTGACTGGGTTAATCCTGGGTCCGACTTGGTTGCGCGCCAGTGGCGCCATGCTATCGATTTGGAGACCCTCATCGGGCACAAGAATGAGCTTTTCGGTAACTCGGAGGAGACTTAGCGACTCTCCTCCGTCTGTAAGATTAGAAGATCATTTTCATCTACCCGCGTGGTAGTTTTAGATATGTTAGAGGGTAAAAGGTGGGGTCTCTATTCTCTCTTAATGCATTCTAGATCTGTTTGGCATCTTACCTTTCACATAGGCTACATTTGGCGCCGTTACAATGGTAGAACGATAACCTAACGTTTCATATATCTGGATTGCATCTGGGCCCCTCTCTTGCGCTAGTACTCCACTATTTCCTGCTCCCGGACGCCTATAAGAGCATTTCTTTGAATTAATGGTACGTAAATTTAGCTATAAGTTATAATTCTAGGTGACCATTCTGTATTATAAGTGCTTTTTCACCGGCAGTATTCAGTTGATCCAAGCGATTCATGGTTTGAGAAGCCTTGACTTGACACTGCCGTCAACTCATCGACGGAATGACATGTATTCTGAGGACATGGCGTTTTCGCGCACCTACTCATAAGTCGGTCTTAAGAACTATTGAGGCTTGAGTATACTAGTCGTTGTATACTAGTATGATGACCCGTTGTGAGGTGAGAAGCTTTTCTTTTAGTCTAATTACCCATGTGGATATATTGTTAGGCTCTGGAGAAGCCAGAATCCAGTACGCATTAGCTCGCTAGAACATCTGATTGCGTTAAGAAACTGGGTTTTCTGTGCTCATATGATTATGAGAGCGATTTCCTAGTTTGGAAGCCTTTTTAAGTATAAAAAATGATGTGTGATCGATGATAACCCGTTTCAAATTATAGACGTTTTGATACCAACTCTATGATATGCGCGCCTGTTTCATTGTCAGGATCAGACTTTCGGATACGGTCGTGCCACATTATCGGGTATCGTTGACTTATCTTGTTGTGTTTCTGATATCAACCTGCAGACTACTAGGTGTCATTGAGTTCAAGACGCCTTGTCAACTGTGCCAATCGCATTATATCAAGGATCTTCCCCGCGTGAGAACAATGTTTCCTTTGTATTTAGGGACCTAATCATCTCCAAAGGGTATTTCTCTATCGTTGTGCCATGCGGCACTAGTGATCGAGCGGTGATGTTACTTCATTGACACCCACTGGCACGGTATATGCTGGTAGTAATGTCCCACCCCAAACACGCTGTAGGTATCAGTCTGCATAGCGACAGCAGTAGTAGATCTTGAAGAAGCTTATTAAGTCACGGTAGCCAGAGATTGAACGATGTAGGTAACGAAATATAGTTAATCTGCACACAGAATCTGAAGGAGTCTCTGAGCAGGACGTGTGAGTAGTATATCATTGTGCCTCCAGTTGAAGACTGCCATCTCACAAAGCGACCCTGTATATTTGTAACGCGCAAGCTGCACTAACAAGCTCGGCAAAGTACTTAATGTCTGGGAGTAGAGACCTTGTGACAGAATTCTGCATATCAGGACCTGACGGATGATAACAGGAGGGAAGTCTAGATTGGCCTCCGGACAGCACCGTTGCCCGATAGTGTCTATCGAGTAATTTCTACCCCTGCAAGCGCTCCCTTTAAGTGCTCTTCATGCAATGCACTGTCCGTGAAAGTTGGATTCTTAATTTGAGGAGAGCTGATGGCGAATTTGGTGTACCAGCGTTCCACGATTTGTGGACCACTACCAGGCTCATGAAACGACTTTGCCAAATCAATAAACACCTATAACAGAAAATATCAGTGGGCGGAAGAACAATACGCATGAATAGCTTAGTGTGTAGCCAGGATCTATAGGGTGCAATTCATTCGACCCATGAACTATAAAGGTCGAGCGAGTCACTTACAGGTTGATTGCATCGGCTGAATGCACAAGGATGTGAACAGGGCAGTAATAGGACTTCAATAAGTCTTTATGTTCTTATCATAGTAAGATTCAATGCGACTATCAACGAGCTATAGAGTCTTCATGCAAGTGACAAGGATACATTGACGTCAGCTCCCCACCTGTTGATAACGTGAAGAGAAGACCCGGAGGAGTTCAGCGTCATGAAATCTACAACATGTTTTGTCAGTCAAAATACTCGAATTTAAGGCTAGTGGCGTGAACTCGCTGACGACGACTAATTGGCCTTGGGTTGCATCTCCCATTCCGGGAGTTCCAAGTAATTGATGAATGGTCGCCAATCGTAAGTGATCTGAAGCTATTTTTTCAGCTATTCTTGTAATGTCGAGCTCAGAGGACAGAATGTCGTGTAGGCAGCCTTCTCCCCAGGGGCATTCTTGAGAATTCTCAGATGCATGGCAGATCCGCAATGGCACGGAGGGGAAGGTAAAGATATAATGTCTCTTGAATCTTTCTGACCTACCTATCAGAGCAGCTGTCGGGCCTTGCATATTCTGATCATTGGCTTGAGCCCTTTCATCTGCTCAAATCCTTCTACACCGGACGGCTCTACATGTCACATGGAGAGAAGACATGTGACCCCCAAAATGGTACTGCTACAATTCTAGCAGACTAGAATCTCGCTTGAACGCCACCGGCAATGGTATGGTACCATTGATGTTCGAACGCCGAGAATGCCGCAAAAATGTATCACAGGTACTCCAGATCCCCTAGCCAATAAACCATAGCTCGACACCTAGCACGTCAAATTTTGAACCTTCGTCGCTCAATCGCTCATTGCCAAATGTAGGGCACGAATCTGAAATTCCTTGCTCCAAGTTGTCGTTCAACCAAAGCCCGTAATGACCATCACTGACATAGCTTGTAAGCCGCCCTAAGTTCAGATATGGATAGCATCACTAGATGTATAACTTACCCGCCTCCAACGCTTAAGTAATCTTGCTCACAGAATATCATATAATCATTGATACCGCTATAGGGAAATGCCTTGAAACGTATTCGCTCAGGCGTACTTGTGCCGCTTCGACCAGATGTAGGAGGGTTGAGACGTGCCAGTGTAGTCATCCGCTGTGCATTGGTCGTGTCTGCGCTAGGTGGAGGTGGTAGATTCGCTAGCGTTGGGATAGATGGTAAAGTATGTGCCCTCCACAGAAAGCATTCACCATTGCCGAAGTAATGAGGAGCAGGGTGTGGTGGATCACTCAAGTAGGCGCCAAAAGCCTGTCATATGTACAATCAGCCCAGATCGCTAATGATATCTCATGAACTCACGCCTCCTTCGCCATCTCGTATGACGAGCACGTACCCTCCTCTTCTACCACGGTATTGATCGCAATTTTTATAAAGTGTCGCTAGGCTCACGCCATCCTGCTCGAGGCTGTAGGCGAGTGACCAGTTCTCCTGTAATTGAAGCCTCGGTGGCATTAAGAGGCGTATCTCTTCAGCGAGCGACTTCGAGAGTAGTTTGGCGGAGTCTGCCGTCCCGGACTTGTACCCTTGAAGTGTTAAAGGCGTAAGAGGTGGAGGTTGAAATGGCGATGCATGCCGTCTAGGAGGACTAAAAACACTACCCATATCTTTCAAGCTGCTACTGCGATCTATATTCACTTGGGTAGGTCCTGGATCGGTAGAAAGTCGCCTTAGTACGCTCGAAACTGCATATGTAACGGGATACGTAAAGTACGAAGAGGTAGAGTTTCGTGAATGGTTTGGTGATGTCTCTGACTGGTCTAAGGATGGCGCGGTCGACATTGTTAGCTATTGATGCTTTAGTTGGTTCGTTCGACGAAGTTCCCGTACATTCTGCAGTGGTCGAGTAATTGGTGTTGTGTAAGTTGAATCTCTACTAGAGCAACAGTGGGGACGTGAACACCTATTCAATAGACATTTCTGGGGTCCACAGCTAGCTGCATCCCTCTATCCATGGATTTCGGCAAACCAGATTGCACCTTAACACCATACTGCAGGACACAATTACTGCGAACTACGATCCGAGCGCGCTTGAGATGTATAAAGACATAGATAATTCAACTACAAAAACGCTGATTTTAATTATTAAGTCAAAGAAAACAATCTCAAAATGGTCTGGTCACGCGAGCTGCTGTGACCATCGTAGAATGTATTGCTTCATAGTCATAGCCCGGCTCTAATTCTGACGGATTAGTGTCGGAGAGGCTTACACTTGGCGAGTATCCTCTGTTCAGATAAGTACATATCCGTGACTTTGTCGAGATCGCAAACTTACAATCCCGATGGTCAGTAATATATGTTACAGCCTGAGGCAGACTACCGAGTTCCGCAAGACACGCTAATTTTGGTCGCAGTCAATCTGGATGGATGAGTGGAACCTCGAACACTCGCACTCATCGCGTGTGCGACTCCGCGCTGAGCGATCGGCCTTTGTGACGATGCAGAAGAATGCACTCCTCAGAGTGAGTGAAATCTCCAATGGCCTGAGTGTATGACCCACTGCTAACCTCACCAGGGCTCAGCTCGCAATATTTGCGTCTTCTGCGAGCATCGCCGCATCGTCATTTCAGAGCAGCGCAGACCCATCACATCTTCCACAACTCCCAATAATGGCGCTTCACACAACGTGGATATGGCGAAGTGGCAGTTGAAATGTAGATCACGACAGCTACAGCGCACTAGAGCTCAGTCTGCTATGATGCAGCACCAAGCACGATGTTTTGGTGGTTTTGCATTGTCTTCAGAGGAGCGAAAGTCACCTCTTGCCACACGCCAACAACCTGCTATACATCCTGCTCTGACCAAGACGCGCAATACCAATCAAGAAGATCTGAATGCACGCTCTGACCAACAACAGACGAGCTATACTGGGCGCCCTTATCGTGAGCTGCCTAGATTCAGAGTACAACCCAATAACACACATCATGCTCCTCGTATACAATCAAGGGCCCCAATGCCTATCATACGTGAAGAGCGAGGACGCCTTCTGTCGTTGGACGAGCCAGTAAAAGAGCCTGTCCCTGTTAACTGGCAAGGTCTGCGGAAGAAACCGAGTCCAGAAGATATTTCCAAGCTACTTGAGAGCGCGGAATCAAGACCTCCTGTGCTTAGAAGAGTTATCCAAAAACAACCGATCCGCGATGTCATGAGAAATGCAGAGAGATTCCGTCCATCATACACACCATTCCTACCACAACGGATACGAGATCTGGGACGGCGAGACCCTGAACAGCGAGGAAGCGTATTGGGCAGCGCCACATCTGTTGAAGACCACTCTTTGGTCAAGGAGCCACCGTCTGGTAGCATGGAAGGGTCAGTTGGTCTGACGCCAAAGAAGTCTAACTCAGAATTCGTAACGTTCAGTCCGTTTTCAACTAGCGGTGCCGCTACCACAACGCATAGAAGCAAAGAGGATGGTAGAATTGTTGAAGAAAATGAACCCACAGGAGCAGTGGAGAGTTATCGACAACGACGAGAACGACGACGTCTGGAGGCTGCCGGCGCTTTCATGGAAGGAGATACTTGGGCAAGAGATTCTAGGAACACGAGACGCAAGGGTAGAAGGACCCAAATAGAGCATGAGCAAGAAGCAGAGGATGAGGCACGAGCTCTACGCGAGGAAAGACGGAGGTCGAGGCAAGAAAAGAAAATGACCAAGAAGGAAGCACCGAAACCGATCAGTCTGCCAGAGTACATCAGTGTTGTCAATCTTGCTACAGCACTTCGGGTTCATGTGGATCGCCTCGTCACCAAAATGGAAGAGCTTGGGTTCGAAGATGTTCAGAATTACCATATCCTCACGTCGGAAGACGCGTCACTCATTGCAATGGAATACAACTTTCAACCACTCGTTGAGGATGAGTTTGCTAGAGATTTGCAAGCTTTGCCTGAACCCGAAGACAAGGCACATCTCCCAGCACGACCCCCGATAGTCACAATCATGGGACACGTTGATCACGGCAAGACAACACTATTGGACTATCTGAGAAAGTCGGCGGTAGTAAAGAGCGAATTCGGAGGGATCACTCAACATATCGGTGCTTTTAGCGTGCCATTGCCCTCGGGGAAAACCATCACTTTCTTGGATACGCCTGGACATGCTGCATTTTTAGATATGCGCCAACGTGGTGCCAATGTGACTGATATTGTTGTCCTTGTTGTTGCGGCAGATGATAGTGTGAAGCCGCAGACCATCGAAGCTATCAATCATGCGCAGGGTGCAGGTGTGCCTATGATCGTTGCGATCAATAAGATGGACAAGCAAGGAGCCGCCCCCGAAGTGGTCAAGCGAGATCTCATGGCGAATGGAGTGGAAGTCGAGGACTTCGGTGGTGATGTTCAAGCCATCCATGTCAGCGGCAAGACCGGTCAAGGGATGGAGGATCTCGAAGAGGCAATTGTCACTTTGTCGGAAATGCTCGATCATCGTGCGGATCCTCAAAGGCAGGTCGAGGGATGGGTGATCGAAGCCGCAACGAAGACCTCTGGAAAGGTTGCTACTGTTCTCGTACGCCAAGGTACTCTTCGCATCGGCGACGTCTTGGTTGCGGGTCAAACATGGGCAAGGGTGCGATCACTGAAGACAGATGCTGGTATCGTTGTTGAATCGGCAGGGCCAGGTACCCCTGTTGAAGTCGGTGGTTGGCGCGAGCAACCCGAAGCTGGAGATGAGGTGATTCAAGCTTCAGATGAACACAAGGCCACCAGTGTAGTTGATTACCGTATCGAGAAGGCTGAGCGTATCAAACTCGCTGTAGATATGGAAGCCATCAATGAAGCTCGGCGAGCCGAAGCGGCTAAAAAAGCGACTGACGAAGAAGCCACTCGACGAGCTGAAGAGTATCCAGACGGTGAGCCGGAGGATGCTAAAACAGAAGAAATATCAACTGGTCCAACCAACGTACCGTTTATTATCAAAGCTGATGTATCCGGCTCTGCTGAAGCGATTCTTAATTCGGTTTCGGCCATTGGAAATGGTGAAGTCCAAGCGCAAGTACTCAGGACTGGTGTTGGTGCGGTATCAGAGTTCGACATCGAACACGCTGCAACTGCTGGCGGGTCTATCATCAATTTCAACACCCAAACACCCGGTCACATCGCCGCTCTTGCTGACGCAAACAAAGTGCGGATACTGAATCACAATATTATCTACCGGCTAGTCGACGACGTGAAGAGCATCGTTAGTGAGAAGCTCGCACCGAAGGTGACACAGCGCGTGACGGGCGAGGCGGAAATTTTGCAGACTTTCAACTTCAATATCAGGGGTCGAAAGTTCATACTGATCGCTGGTTCGAGGGTTCGTACGGGTACACTGAAGAAAGATGGCAAAGTCAGAGTTCTGCGCAACCAGGAAATCATCTACGACGGTAAGTCACTCATCGCAACTATCAGTCTGAATCGAAATCAAGTTAACCTTCGCAGGTACCATTTCCTCGCTGAAGAGCCACAAAAAAGATGTCCAGGAGATTTCAAAGGGGACTGAATGTGGTGTCTCTTTCGAAAATTTCGAAGACTTCTTCGTTGGCGATGTAATCCAGCATTATGAGGAGAAGTCCGAGAAACGCTTGCTGTAGGCCTATGTTTGGATGGTCACATGATTGTAGGTACATATAAGCATTGCGTGGCGTGCCCTGTCTAGCTCATTGTATCACACCACATGTGCGGCCTCAGAAGATTGATGTTACTTTCCCCACTTCATGTACAGTATATTAGACAAAGATCATGCGAAAGAGCTGATATACTCCATATAAGCACAGAGCCACAGAACTTTTATCAATAGTCAACAGTTCATGTCTATACGTCCTTCCGCAATCCTGCTCCTGCCCATAACACTGGCGCGAAGTGTTTCGGTAGGTTTGTCGTGAAGAGACTGATCAGCCATATAGTTGCGATGACAGGCACTGGTCCAAGGAGTAGTTCTGTGTGGTGGAGGAAGGGCAGAGCTGTTAATACGTTAACCACACTTCCATCTTCCTCAGCGGTCCATAACTCACCGTTGAATCCCAAAAATAAGATAACGAAGTAATAAGCGAACGCGATCAGATACAATGAATTCCCAACAAGCTTCGATAACCAGAATTCCTTTGCAATTACCGGCATAAGGACGAACTGCACCACATACAGGAATACCCACACCGGTACGAATGCCCTGATGGATACATCCCAGCAGTACCCATACTCGAGCTGTTCTCCTTCGCCAGGGCGCATGAAGAGCCCCTGTCTTCTCTTTCCAGGCAGACCGGGCACACCTGGGCCTAGAAACTTGCCTACGAGAACGTATAACGCAGCAGCCACAAGGACAGACACGAGCAGGAAGTGAATCGCGATGAATATTATGGTGATAGCTACTATGTTCGTGATACCACGTGCGTATGCGAGTCCCCATGCGAACGACGTGAGGAGGAGGAAGAAAGACAAAAGGTACGTGAAGGATGGATCTGGCCGGTGCCATGTATTTTTGGTTTGTTTCTAGCAAGACTTGGTCAGAACAACGCTTCAACATTTACACTATGCAGTCTCACATGGTAGTATATTGACCTGAAAACCTTCTTTGGTGCTATGATCAAGCTAGTCATCTCCCAAATGGCCATCTCGAAGTCCATCTGCGGAAACTTGAACAGGCGCTTGAAGAATCTAGGCATGCGGAAGCCTTCGCTCTGATTGCTGGGAGGAGCACCACCGAAGTTTGAAGGTTCACCATGACGTGGGAGTGATATGTGAGGGTTCATGTCGGGATAGAATCGTGTGAGGAGATGGATGTGTATGTCGGTCTTCTAGGGGATACAAGAATTTCCTTTGAATATGCTGGCGTTTTGATTGACTCTCAGCGCGTGACCAAGGTGTTACTACGGTATAAGGGTGTTTTATTTCATTGTGACGTTGTTCACTTACCATGAGTGTATGTCCTGACAAGTGACGTTGGTGCCGAAGCTGTATGCATCAATCGGTCTTGGCGCGAATTGATTCGCGCTAGCTTTCTAACAATAGGTACGCTCAAGGACAAACTTTCCATTCTCAAACAGCTCACCGCAGACTCTCACGTCGACCGAACTGTCCGCTACCATCGTCATCTACACACTCTATCACGACAATTACTGCAAAGTTGTTATCTACTGCCGAAAGTGGTCCTCTTGCACCGCCATCTTGGGCCTGCGCGCCTGGTTTGCGCCCAAACCGCTGTCTAGCGACTCTCTAGGTTGCCTACCACTACGTGGCCACTCATCGTCCCAAATCTCTTTATATTCAGCTTAATAAGACCTCACGATGACTGACGCAGATGCCGAACTTGCCTTCCTGCAATCGATGCAGGATGGGACACCCGCATATGTTAACGGTGACAACGAACAGACGGTTGATAACGAAGGAGATGAAGACTACGACCCTGCGCGCCTCATTGCAAGTAATGAGCACTCGCATGATGAGGACGAGAGCGGATCGAATCGTACGTCTATGTCTGGCTCCATGCCTCAAAGCCCTGCCACGCCTGCCATCGCCTCTGCAGACATGCATGCGCCTGCTCCTTCCGAGTCGCCTGCTTTTTCGAAGCAGCCACGGACAGTTGGTGGTTTCGTTGTTGACGATGATGACGAAGATGAGGATGAGACACCAGTATCTTTATCAAAGGGACAAAGTGTTGGAGACAAGGGCATGGGCAATCTAGAAGCGGCACCAGAAACGGCGCTACATTCTGTTCCTCAAACTCCTATCAATACTCTTTCCCAACCAGATGTACCTTTACAAAACGCGCAAGATCAGGATGTATCTGGTGCTCTTTCTATTGGCGTTACTGACACTGTCCCTCACTCTACCTCTGTTCCTGCTGAAACCAGTGCTCCCGCTAAAGTCTACTCAACTGCTGCACCTCCCGATCCATCTACTACCACTACAGCTTCTGCCGATACAGCTGCACTCATTCCAAGCTCTTTTCCCAAGGGCCGCTTACCGCAAGACCGCATCGGTATACTTGAGGATAGGATTAAGGAAGACCCACGAGGCGACATCGACGCATATTTAAGCTTGATTGCGGAATATCGTAAACGCAACAAGCTTGATGATGCACGAGCAATCTACACACGATTCTTCGAAAAGTTTCCACAGGCGGTGCGTTGCTTGACGTTGGTGGGAAAATATTGACTGACAAACCCGCAGGTCGAACAATGGCTTATTTATGCTCACATGGAATTGCAGGAAGAGGAGCTCTCGCGCCTGGAACAGATCTTCAGCATATCTCTCGAAAGGCTTTGGAACGTCGAAATGTGGTCCATGTACCTTGACTACGTTCGTCGTCGTAACAATCTTATGTCGGATTCTTCAGGCCAAGCCCGACAAGTCATCACCTCTGCTTACGAGTACGCGCTGGGGAAGGTGGGTATTGACAAAGACTCGGGCAAGATGTGGCAAGATTACATTGAGTTTCTCAAAAGCGCACCTGGAACCGTTGGTGGCACTACGTGGCAGGATCAGCAGAAGATGGACTCTCTCAGGAAGATATATCAGCGTGCTGTATGTATACCAACGGAAAAGCTCCACGATATCTGGAAACAATACGATACATTCGAAACGACTCTTAACAGGGTCACAGTAAGTTCTGCCATCTGTTATAACCAGTGGCAATAGAGCTAATGCATACAAGGGTCGCAAGTTTCTACAAGAACGTTCACCTGCTTTTGTAACAGCTAGGAGCTCGTACGTGCAGCTTGATAACATCACCCGAGATCTACTGCGCAACACGACACCTCGCCTACCTCCGATGAAAGGATTCGATGGCGAGGAGGAATACACGAGGCAGATTGAGATATGGAGCAATTGGATCAGGTGGGAGAAGGAAGATCCTCTGGTGCTCAAAGACGAAGACTTGGACGCATATAAGGCTAGGGTGCTGTACGCTTACAGACAGTCTGTCATGCCTCTTCGATTCTGGCCTGATATGTGGTTCGATGCTGCTGAGTGGTGCTTTCAAAATGATATGGAAGCGGAAGGGAACAAATTTCTGGACGACGGCATAACAGCCAACCCCGAGAACTGTCTTCTGGCCTTCAAGAAAGCAGACCGGGTCGAGCTCACAACGCTCCCTGAAGAGACTGACGAGGCAAAGATCAAACGTGGCTCGCTTATCAGAGCACCTTACGATAAATTGTTAGACGCTCTTTATGAGCTCATCGACAAAGCCAAGAAACGACAGCAACAGCTTATTGAGACCGTTAAAGAGCGGTTCCGAGCAGAAGAGCCTGAAATTTCCATCGAAGATGATGATGGCGATGACGATGACGATGTTGCTGAACAGAAGAAAGCCCACGAGGCCTGGAAGACTGCCCAACAGGTGCAGATAGATGCTATCAAGCGGGGCAGTGACGCTCAATTGAAGGTAATCAAACGAACAATATCATACAGCTGGATTGCATTGATGAGGGCAATGCGTCGTGTGCAAGGCAAAGGAACGGGCAAGAAGACCTCTGACAAGCCTGGTGGCTTCCGAGCTGTCTTTATCGATGCCCGAGCGCGAGGTCAATGGACAGCTGAGATATGGATCACCAGCGCTCTGATGGAGTATCACTATAAAGACCCAGTAGCCACCAAGCTCTTCGAAAGGGCACAGAAGCTTTTCCCAGATGATGAGCTATTTAATTTGGAGTATCTGAAGCATTTAATCAACACCAGAGACATCACAAGTAGGTGGAGACAAATCTTAAACACGGCGGCCACTGACATGAACTACAGACGCCCGAGCAGTCTTTGAAACCACAGTCTCTAGGATGACAGCCAAACCGGAAAATGTACACAAGGCCAAGTCTCTTTTCGCATTCTTCCATGAATACGAATCACAGTACGGCGAACTCAGCCAAATCGTGCAGTTAGAGAAACGCATGGCCACACTTTTCCCCGAAGACCCAAGACTCGCCAGCTTCGCTCACCGGTATACAGAACACGAGTTCGACCCAACAACTATACGCCATATTATCTCTCCCGGAACGCAAGTACGTCCGAAAGCTCTATCTTCAGTTATGCCTGCTATCTCCGCACCGGCACCTCCTTCTGTTCGATCTCCTCAAATGCCACCTGCGGCGCTCGCTGTACAACCTCAGGTCATCACCAACTCACCAAAACGACCGTTCGTGGGAGACGACTCTGACACTGAGCGTCCTGCTAAGTTCATTCGTGGGGAGTCACCTCTCAAAGGTGCTGCCGGTCGTCGTCTGGACGCTCAGAGGCGTAACCAACAGAGGAGTGATGGAAACATTAACATGGCTATGACACAGCCTCCGGGCCCGGCGCCTCTGCCTAAGGAAATCAATTTCCTTCTGAGCATTATACCAGCTGCTCATTATTACAAGGCAGTAGTCCTAGACCCACGCAAGATGGTGGAGCTACTTGGTAATGTCGACCTCAACCGAGCTAACACTCAGCACCCTAGTATGTCAGCCATGCAACACATACGACCTACACAATCACAGGCTCCTCAGTTCCCATACGGAGCTCCTCCATCGTATGTTCAACCTCCAGGTATGTATCATCTTATGCTTTGAGGTCATCCTTTCTACCGTTTTGAGGCAACGACTGATGGTGAGCACAGTCTACCACTACACACGCTAAGGCCTCACATGTTCCGCGCATGTATCATATGCTCGTGCTTACAAAATATAATCTACTTACTGCCGAGATTGTACATTAAACACAATTGGGCCCATCTCCGCAAACTGTGTTATATCGTATACGGGAGTTGGCACACCACTTGGTAATAGGGTTTGGGAATGGGAGTAAACGTCTCATACCATGAATATTTCATGAGTGGCATTATCTGGCGTCTGAAACATTCCTTCACATCTCACTGTAGGCGATACATAGAGAGAAAACATATGAACTCTCTATCAGTTCCTTCCTAGAAGACAATAGTGAGTATGCCAAAGGACTGATGTGATTGAAGGGCGGTGGATGTTACTCAGCAGGGGTACTATTGCTGTCTGACTCTTTCGTGACCGCACAATGTAAGTATAAATGATCTGAAGAGATGCGAGGGAGAGCACGCCAGGAACATTGAGGTCAAGATGAAGTTCCCGTATGCATCCTTTCTGTCAGATTCGGGTTCCCTACTGTCAAGTTCCTGTGGGCTTTTTCTCACTTTACTATTGCTCGGCTCTCGCCATCGTGCCGCCAGCTAAATTTCCATTTCCTAGACAATAGGAGTCTAGTCAAAAATGACATCGTCCAGTTTCTATGGCATTCTTGTTGCAATAGTCACGTCTCAAACTCACCTCACAAAATCAGCTTTGTCGCTGAGCACATCATATGGGCAGTGGCAGCCTAAACCACGTTGTTCACGTCCGCCCTTGCCTCGTTGCCCAGCATCAGTGGTCTGTGCGCAATTTCTGTGAGTCTATTACCATCCTTCTGTTTACTCGTCTCCACTCTCCTCTCTACACCTCACTCTACTTCGACCATCTCTTTCTTGGCCTTCTTCTTAAGGTTACGACGCTCATCCTTCCACCAACTCTCTCATCACCGCCACTCTACTACAAGCACATTCCCTTGAAAAGTCACATCATTGCGACGCCACTCGATTCTCAGAGATCTTCGCCTGATCAAAAGCATCAACACCGTACAATTGACTCACTACTTCACCAAATCTCTCAGAGCTGACACTAGAGATCTGAAAGCAAGAATCTTTACCGTTTTTTCTACGTTCGTACTTGGTAGGTCGATCCTGTCTTTCTGTCATAAGTCATATTTTCAGCCAGAGGGGAGTCTTTTCACGCCTTGAAGTGCGGAAAAGGTCTTATGTATTCTCTCTCTCTTCACGTAAGCTTTCATCACAAGCACTTCATGTATTCACATGGCGAGATTGTGATTTCAAGCGTTCGAAAAACCCATTCCGTCCCCTTTCATGTCAAGTCTTGGCTTGCACAATGATCATCATCATCATCATCATCATCACAATCACTCATCACCATTGTCATTCGTCAACCATGGGTCTAGACTCCTCTATCATCATTCTCCTTGGGGAACGGTGCCCAACAATTGAACAAAGCCTGACAATACTACAGCATAACAATCACTTCGCTTTCTCAGACTCCTTTGCGCCGCGTTCATACCACTGAAACCACAAAAGGTCAGTACAGCCCTCAGATCCTATAGCACAGCAGAGATCATATGCCCTCCCGTGCTCGCAAACTTCAGTATCTGTGTCGTGTGCACCTGGCTGATCCATCGGTGATAGTCATCATCATCCATTAGCAATAATGGCTGGTGCATCCAAGAGACGTGCGGCCAAGGAAGCCGGTGCTGGTGGTTCGACCAGAGGCACTCGACAGAGCAACACCACCGCCGGACAGCAGGATTCTCCTTCTTCTGCTGGTGCCCAACGCCCTTCTCCAAATTCGCCACCACGCTTCGATGGTCCGCCGAAGGAACCAACACCTGCTGGTCGGTCTGCGCCGACCTCGGTCGATGTTCGTAACATATCCGAAGCCATTGGCATGGCAGGTTGGGCTTTGGCTCGAGGGGTAAGTCCATTTTCTTGTCCATTCTGCATCATTACACAGTTTCAAGATGTTTGTTCTACACCTTTTATTCCTCCAAATGCTTTTCATCACCCGTCTCCAATACATCTTTCTCTTCGCATCAATTCTTCACCGTATGTATCTGCCTTTGGAATGGAGCGCGTGGCTTTTCAGACAGCATATCTACCTCGTACGAGAGTATATCCTACCCGGCATTCAATCTCGTACCCGCCAATATGTGTGCAAAATATATTGCGCCCTTCACCAATTCACCGCTCTCATGAGCAAACTGTCAGGTATCAGACTTCTCTGCAGAGTTCAACCCGGCATTGTCAATATTCATATAGATAGCCAACTGTCCTCACATTTCCTTCTCTTTTCGCTCCCTCTATCATCTCAACACAATCTTGGATTATCAGACACTATTTTATCGCTTGCATTTATTGCTTCTTTCCTATCACACTTCAAACCACCCTTATTTCATCCTTTCTCTGTCTACACGTTATCTACCCAGCGTTGAAGTCATGGCCGCCCGCGCTCAACACACCTTCCGCAACCTTGATATCAGAATTAACAATGTCGAACAGTTCAAAGCTCCAGGATCTTTACCTGCACGTCCACCCGTTCTAAACAGCAACGGGTATGAGTGTGTTGTCAAGCTGAACAGCTTCGGCGTTGCAAATATGCCCGCGAAAGCTGTCTATCAATATGATGTAGGTCAACTTACTTATGTTGCTTTGATCGATACTGACGCGCACGTGCAGATCGTCGTGAACAAAGGCGATGAGAAACGCGGCCTCGTCAAGAAGGTCTGGGCTTCCAAGACCATCCAGCATAGGCTTGCTGGATGGCTCTTCGATGGTAATAAGCTTGCTTGGTATGTGGATTTGTGCCATTCTTCTCTATGCTAAAATGATATTAACTTGTATTTTCAAGGTCCCTCGACCTCCACGCCGAGATGCTCACTATCACTGTTGACCTTGACGCTGAACAGGGCCGCACGGTAAGGCCCGGTGGCCGAAGCAACAAGCACAATGTCTTTATCAAAAAGACTAAAACCCTGAAGTTTGATACACTTGAGCATTATATGAATGGCAAAGGTGCTGTGGCTTTCGACAGCGACTGCCTTGAGGCAATCAACTTTTTAGACCACCTAATGAGAGAATATCCCTCCCAGTTGTACACCAAAATCAAGCGGTCCTTCTTTCCCCCGTCCAGCAATGCTCCAGGTCGAATTCAGCTTGGGAATGGCGTTGAGGCATTCAAGGGTGTCTACTCTTCTATGCGTGTTGTCAACCGTCCTGAGCCAATGAAGCTTGCAGTCAATGTTGACGTTGCCAACGGGACATTCTGGACAGCAATGAAGCTAGAGATGTCTATCTTGCAGGTCATGAAGTACCGCAATACTTCTGAACTTCAAGCGAACTTTGCGCACGAGAAAAATAGCTGGGACAGGTCTCGCCTCAAGCGTGAGCTGAAGCGTTACAGTCGTGTCAGTGTCGTTACCAACCATCGTGGAGGACCTTCAGAGCTGTTCACCATCGACAAATTTATTGCTCAGAGTGCGCAGGAGAAGAAATTTGAGATGACTGAACGCAACGATGCTGGAGATATTATCAAACGCGAATGGGTCACGTATGCCCAATATTTCAAGAGGAAATACAACATCACACTGACCACCGGTCTTCCGCTCATCAAGACCACGAAGAAAGATGTCTATCTGCCTCTCGATGTGTTGTCGATCCCTCCGAACCAACGTTATGCCTTCAAGCTTGATGAGAAGCAGACTTCTAACATGATCAAGTTCGCTGTTACCCTTCCAAGGCAACGTTGGGATGCTATCCAGGATGGTGTCAATATGCTCAAGTGGAATCTCGACCCGTACTTGATAAAGTTCAACGTAAAGATTAACCCGGACGCCACTCGGATCAAGGCTCGTGTCCTTCCTGCACCAGACCTCAAATTCGCTGGGTCTGGCAAGGTGGGAAGTGGGGAGTGTGCCAAAGGCAGGTGGCGCATCGACGATCTGAAATTCCTTTACTCAAACGTGAATATTCTCAAGTCATGGGGTATCTGTGTCGTTCAGGGTCGTGGTGGTGTTGATAAAACGTCCGTCCAACAATTCATGTCAAACTTCATTAGGATCTACGAGAAGCACGGCGGAAGAATTGACCCTGGAAGCAAACAACCACCAATTGAACTCGGGAACCTCGCTCAAGGCGGTGAGATGATCACGACCATCTGGAATACTACCGGCAACAGGTTCCAAGTCAAGCCGCAGATCTTGATCTTTATCGTCCCCGACCGAAATGCGGACACTTATAACCGCATCAAGAAGTCTTGTGAATGCCGCTATGGAATCCCCTCGCAAGTAATGCAGGCTTCCCATGTCCAGCAGAATAAACCTCAGTACATCTCCAACGTCCTCATGAAGGTCAACGCCAAGCTCGGAGGTGCTACATCGTTGGCCGTGCCGTCCAACATCGACGCGGCGAAGAGGAACGCCCAGAAGAATTGGGGCCAGCCTACAATGTGTATTGGTGCTGATGTCTCTCATCCTGCTCCGGGTTCTCAAGGCGGTTCTTATGCAGCGCTCACGGTATCATTGAACCTTCAATGCACTCGTTACGCAGCTCAGGTCAACACCAACGGCCATCGCGTTGAGATGATTACCACTTCCAATTTCGACCAGCATCTGTATAGCATGTTCAACTGGTGGGTTCAAAACGTTGGTGGTGGAAGAGTCCCTCAGCGAGTCTTCTATTTCCGCGATGGTGTATCCGAGGGACAATACGCACATGTTCTCGAACAAGAAGTACGAGACATGAAGCAAGTCTTCAAGAAGGTTGCACCAAACTCGAACGTTAAAGTTACCGTTATTGTCGCTTCCAAGCGTCATCATATTCGATTCTTCCCTGAGACTCGGGCAGACAGGAATGGCAATCCCCAACCAGGTACTTTGGTCGAGACCGGAGTAACTCATCCATTTGAATTTGATTTCTACCTCAATGCCCATTCCGCCATTAAGGGAACCGCTCGGCCTGTTCATTACCATGTGCTCCTCAATGAGGCTGGAGTCCACTCCGCGGAGCTTCAACAGTACATCTTTGAACACAGTTTCCAGTACGCCCGCTCCACCACTCCGGTCTCCATCTTCCCTGCTGTCTACTATGCCCATCTGGCATCTCAGCGCGCCCGAGCTCACGAGAATACCCCAGCTGTCTCGTCGGGAAAGAAGGAGACACAGGCTGGCGGTACTGCAAAGCCTCCCGGTGTTTCCTCAGCTTCCGACAAAACTCAGACTGAGGTTCCCCCTCTCATTCCAATGAACCAGTCTTCTGGTCTGCAGTACTCCATGTGGTACATTTAGGGGGCTCGACCTCTTCGTACTGCATCGACGGGAAGGAACGGAAATAAAATGGAGGTCGGTATATTGGTGAAAACGGACATTAAGTTGGATTCTCAAAGATGGCAGCTCTGGCTCCTGGCGTTGATCGGTCTTGACAGAATGACAAAGCACTCCTTTCATAGTCTGTCGACTCGATATCGGACACATTATCATCACATTTGTATTATATTGATGACTGGGAATGAGCACGGCGCAGGACAGTACTATATCTACCTGCAGGAACCGACGAGATAGCTTAGTCAATGGGAGTGGTCTCCGATCATTTGAAACAATCCATTCGTCAATGCTTTCCGTGTCTATGCTGTATCGAACCAAACGCGACATATGCCGTGATAACTACTGGTGCTGAGAGTAATGTGATGGCATGATCTTCTCAGTCATGAGGAGAGTAATGAATTCTATTTCTTCTTTCCACCACGCTTCGCATTCTTCTTCTCTGCATCTCTCGCCATTCTCGCAAGCTGCTCCTTCTTGGCTTTGTCCGCCTCCGCCTTCTCTTCCGCCTCAGCTTTTTTCCTTGCGGCAGCCTCCTCACGCTTCTCGCGAATCTCCTTCAGCCTCGCCATATCGGCCTGCGCCTCATCTGTCTTCAGTTCACGATGGGCCTTCTCATACGCCGCTTTCTTCCTTGCCGCTTCCATAGCTTCACGCTCCTTCCTGCTCAGCTCACCGACCGGCTTCTTGCCACCCCCCTTGCCTTTGTCTGCATCTTCCTCCTCGTCGATAGTCTTGGGCGCGGCAGCCTGACTGCGTGCCTTGGCAGTATGGTTTGGGTTTGCAGGCATGTCGTCGTCTTCCTCTTCGGAGGACTCTTCGCTATCCGTTGGCATGTCGCCTGGGGCGGCCGGCTTTGCGTTTTGGCGACGGATTGCGGCTTCTTTGCGAGCCTTTGCAGCGGCTTTGCGTTCTTCACGTGTCATCTCGGCGATTGGGGGGGCCGTCGAGGGGCCTGAGGGGCCGTCGTCCTCTGAGGAGGTTTCTTCTTCTTCAGAGGAGTCATCCTCTTCGGGCTTGTCGCGGACCTGGATGTGACAAGTAAGCTTGATTCGTTGGCATGGTGGGGATGTGACCTGGGGTCAGGGCACGGCGAGTGTATCAATGGACAGTGGTGATGTGTGGTATGGGTTGGAAGGTCGAAGCATGTGTTCAAGCGGGCTGGGCTGTAGTAGTCTTGCCGCGTATCATGCCGGGTACGGTGCTGGGAAGATGTATGATAGGAAAGGAAGATATGATATACGTACACCCCACATGCCTACAACCTCTCCATCGGCATTGAGTGGCTGTAGATCACGGCTAAACTTCTTTCCGCCTGTGCAGCAAACATTAGCCAAGTCCCTATGTACGGCAGCCGTTGAAGGCGGGGTGTAGACAGACCTCCTCTCTTGGGCTTTGTGTATTTCCCTGCGCGGGCTCTTGCTTGTGCGGCGGACATTCTGGTTTCGTTGTAGATTGTACGTCTAGGATGTTGTGAGGTATCAGGGTGTGATGATGTACGACCAAGTGAGCAGGGTATCTGGTATCAGAAGGTGTGCGGACAGTAGGGTGCTCTGCACGATGTCTTTCTAGCGTATCAGTCAAGGATACCGTTAATTTACGAAGCTCAAGAAGGGCAATGCCAAGTTCGAAGACAGGAATGTGAAGAGGGGAAGGGTGGTAGAGAGCAGTGTCTGTTGTGACCTGTGACAAAATGCCCCTCGCTAGTAGTGGTGGCAGGTGGGGCTACTGGCTCGAGGGGAAAGGGTCCGGTCCACTGTACCTAGATACTGAGTCCGCGAGCGACCAATGAAAGTGGTTACATCACAAATTATGGCCTCAGGCTCTAAGGCAGCAAGGAACCTTATCCTGCTTCCCCCTGCCTGTATTGTTTACACCCATCAACCCCAGCACGCGACATGAGAACCGACTACAAGCAAAGCAATCCACGCCCTTCTGCGCAGTCAGCCGCCTGTATTATCACTGATGACTTACCACTGTCCATCAATGAGAAAGCCGTGGTGAGATTTGATAGACCTCCCCGGCATGCCACCACACGACAAACCAACGGCGTACGTCATCTTTGCAGTCTCAAGTCGATTTATCTGGTTGTGGTTGATACCAAGACAGCAGCACCTCCGTTCTCGTGCGTCGGTGTCCATCAGTAGCATGTGTGGAACAGAAGGTGAGTATCATGCAGGGTCCGTTCTCTTCGGTGTGTCGGACAGCTCGCTTGTTACAGACGTGCTTATAGCGGATATTTGGATATTTAGACATGCAACTTGGTTTGATGCTGCAGCTGCATATACTGGTATTGGGCCGTGAGTATTATGCAGTCAAGCTTAGTGATCTTTTGAATCATGGCATGTGCAATCGCAAGTATGAGGGCGTGTGCTTAATCGTGGGAGACATAACGGTCGTATCAGCTGCATTGCTGCCGTACACGTTGCTATTCATGAATGATGATTTTAAGATTAAAAGGGGCTCGCCAACGTCTGCAAAACAACATCCAGAAGCCTAGTGTGTTAAAGGAGCACCGGTCAAGTCCCAGTCAGCTGGCAAGTATACGATATCAATATATGCTGTGACGATGATAACTTATACCACTCGCCAGAACGAACTGACTACGTTGCAGGATACGTGTGTATCTAGTCTGCAGATCCAAACACTTGTAACCTTGAGCATGACATTTCCACGACAGACTAGACTCCAAAAGCACCTAACGCTCAACAGACACATATCTCCACATCTCAGCAAAGTACATGCACTGGGCTAGAATATAGCTTTCTCCTCAATCGACCGCATCAGCTCTGGGAAAGCCACGGCTCACTCGCTAATCTGATGCTAGAAATGTGCACCGGTATGAGTCATAAAGTTTTCCGTATGTAGACAGACAGCTAGCTGGACTATTGTACGCGTCTGCCATACCAGAGAGACTTTGTGTTATACAGTTTCTCCATAGGCTGGCTGCTGAATGCCACGATGTTAGGAAGAGACAGTATGTACCGTGGAACTTCCGTCGACCCCTTTTTTTTTTCCTTTCTGTGAAAACAGAAAAAGGGAAAGAGAAATTGCGACGATACACGTACGCTGTGTATATACCTAGTCTATGGGAACCGCAGGAAAGAGGTGGTTACTCGTGTGAGAGTCGGAAGAGATATACATAGGTAGGGAGGGACACTTAGCACCATGCCTACTGCTTGCCTCATTCCTGGGTTCGTCTCTCTAATCATCTATCTATCTACGGACCACACTCTTCGCTGATTCCTGTCTACTAGCACGCACGATTCGCAGCATATCTGCGCTGCTATGCCCCCGCCCCCCCTTTTTCCTCTCTAGAGAATCAGCAAAGCTCGGAGTCATCATATCGTACGTCTAGATACCAGAGCCAGTCATGTACGCTGTGCGAAGATGCCAGGGATCTGATAACATAGAGGAGATGCGACGATAGCTAGGGATGTATGGGATGCGTGCTGCACGTGTTGTATTTGCCATTGTCGTTGCTCATGCCTACGTAGATCATTACCATAGGCATGCAGGTCGTGGGCGAGTGAATGGGCCTGCTCGGGTGACGTATAGATGAACGGATAGAATAAAAACCAGGTAGTAATAAATAGTGACCATGAACGAATGAATGGCATAGCGTTGTGTACGTATCAGGACAAATTAATACAAGCGCTGTATTCGTAAATTCAGACCTCCAACACTGCATGCAATACACATCATAGAAGGAACAACAACAGTTCAGAAAAAGATATAAATATATATCTACGAAGGCGATATGAGAGAGGTAGTAAGCAGCCAATAACCAAAAACACCCTGCATAGTACTACCCGTCCATCGGAACATGCCGCGTTTAGGACTTTTCTTTTCGTAGATCGGACAAGCATGCAAGCATCGTCTACGCGATTCAGCGGTGGCCGGATCCATATCGAGATCCAAAGATGAAGCGAACAGAATGAGATAGAATAGTTTTTTCTTTTCTCTTTTCTCTCATCGACATTACTGTCTTAGTATCCGATGGAATGGCAACAACATATGCCGAGGCTGGGAAGCCGCGTATTATTTGATTGCCAGTCCACACCACTCCGCTCCACTCCAGCCCAGCGCAATTTAGTATACATCACACATACATACATACAGACAGCTGGTCGATCACGCACATATCCACGTGTGGCGTCAAAAGCGACGAGTGGATACAGCTCCGACAACGACAACGACAATGACACCACCAACAGCCCACAAACTGACTATACAGAGCCTAATTAATTATTTCATTCCCGGCGCGTAAGTTTACCCGCTGCACGCCCGTATTTACGCGTAGCGCCGTGTGGGTTGCTTGCTTGGATTGGAATGGATTGGGAATTCGGCTATTGTTGTTGATGACTACGCCGATGGTGATGATGACAAAGACAAGGGAGTGGTCGGCTGGAGTTGCCTGTCTGCACGGACGGACTTGTGGGTTAGGTTATGGATCCATGGATGGATTAGGTTGTTATCCGATGCTATTCTGTAGTAGTATTAATTAGTACATACACGTAGTAATCAAGTAGCCAGCCAGTCAGCCAGCCAGCCAGCCAAGATCGAAACACGCAGAGAGACGGAGCTCCTAGTCGTCGTACTCGCACTCGCTACTCGCTAGTCGCTAGGTAGGAAACGTGGTCATGTTCTGACGTTATTAGCTGCACGATGTGAATGAATGAAGCATGAAGCATGAATCATGAGGGCGTGGTGTGGACACTGGACAGTGGAGAAATGAAGAGAGTATAGAATAGACGACTAGTCAGATGTACGTACTCGGATCGGACGGACGTACTGACGGACGTCTGTAAGCGTAAGCATGGATGGGCATTTTCGTCCGAGAAACGGCGAGCCGGCGCCGTTCCCGCTCCAGAAGAAGCTTTTGTAGTGACTGCTGTTCTCCAGCTCACAAAGTCAGTGTTGTCGCGACTCTCTCCTTGACGTTCGCGCTCTCGCTGCTAATTGTCGGAGCTGCCAGTTGCCAGTTTGCCATATCATATGTATAGCATGCAGTGCGGGGAGTGTGTGCACTGTGGAGAGCATGGTGCAGTCATCAGTCAGCAAGCAAGCCTAGGTAGGCAATCCTAGCTTCGGAACTGGCAACTCTGAGAGTCCGAAGCAGTCAGACTGTACCTAAGCAGTCATGTGTACGATTACCAAGCCCCCTCCCCTCCCCTCCCCTTCCAAGGAAACCAGCAGCAGATATGATCTGCAACAAGCACCGCACCTGGTAGTAGACAGCGAGACGAGTCTGGCGCTGCTGCTCTCCCGCGTCCCGGGTTAGCGACAACGGTTGCGATCCATGGCATGTCCAAGTTCATGCCAACGATAGAGTCACAAAGGTTTTTAGGACGGACGGTGGCGCTTTTGGCGCCATGTACACTTTCCTGCGCTTCGTTCCAAGGCCAAACGCCAACGATGACTTGACTTGACTCACTCGGTGTCATCAACAACAATCGAGCAATCGAGCAAATCATTCATGTCGGTGGTGGGGCACCGGCGAGGGAACCAACGTGCACAGCACACCACCCACCGACCGATCAGGGTGGATCATACGGATCAGGATCAAGTTAACCGGGTGCGCGATCGCAGGTTGATCGTTGATCGCGTCTCACGGATTGAATGCCAGTGCTTTAGAAGTGCTGACTACTGTACCTGCGAGACCGCTGTTGCGCCACTCGTCACGTTCGCGTCTGTTGGTCAGGACAAACCTAATGCGCGACAAAGGCGGTCAGACTCGACTCGACTGGAATCCAGTCATCCAGTCGTCCAGTCATCCAGTCATCCAGTCGTCCAGTCATCCAGTCATCCAGTCATGCATGTATGCAATAGCCGCAACGTTGACATGTACATATTCAGCATACCTGCCCGGGATCATCGCGGCGACAGGCGTGGTGCTCGCAGGCACGAACCCAGCTGGTAGATGTGAACGTGATGCAGGCCGTCAGTCAGTAAATTGTGAAGCCAGCCAGCACCTCAAAAAAGGCATTAATTAGACCGGGGGAGGAGGTTGTTGGGGGGAGCATTACCGTAATTACTAGCCCAACAGCGTACGGATGGTTCGGAAGCGCTAATGGAGCAAGCACTCAGCAGCGAAGACAGAGAGAGGGACGGACTAGGAGAAAGCTGTCTAAACCACCCACCCAACACCACCTACCACCCCCCCTTGGCAACAATAGACGTCATACCCGGCTTTAGACAGACATTACTAGGTAGGTGGGTTGTTGACGTTGACGTTGACATTGGCTGCTGGCGGTCGACTCGCACTTGAGTGGTCCCGTCGGTCGCGTCGTGTCGTTTGAAGGGCCGGAGTTAGTAGCTTGCTGGGGTGATGGTGGTGGTGGCCATAGCTCCACGTGTGGTGTGTTTGTATTACACACACACACACACACACACACAAGCCGTAATTAGTGGTAGTGGTAGCTTCATAGCAAGCAAGCAAGCAAGCAAGCAAGCAAACTCGGGCTTTGCATCCAACGGCAACGGAGCGGCAGGCTGGCTGAGGTGGTCCCGTTTGGTATCTGTTCCCATCGCTGACATATGTCCGTCTAAACCCGTAGTAGGTAGGTAGCTTCGATCGTTTGCTTGCTCTGTAATTATATTAAAACATCTGGGCGCCGACACCACCCCCTTCTCACCCTCTCTCACCCTCCCATCCTAACACACCCCTCTCTCATACCCGGCAGCAGCACTCTGTCGTTACTATCCTGCGATTCCTCCTCTTAATGTCCCACTCTCCTCCAACCCATCACTCACCATAAGCCTAAAAGACATAGATAGATATTACACCCGACAAAACCACTCCAAAATCCTATCCATACAACCCACCTCCTCCGCCGACACCAACATATCCCCCACCCGTCGTTCCTCCCCAGTATACGCAACATACATGCACCGCGCGCGCTCCCTAGCCATCGCAACGACCGCCGCGGTACTACTGAGCCACCTCCCCGCTCTAGTAGCCGCTCACGGCTCCGGGTCCGGCCACGATGACACAGACACAAACGGCATGAACGGCATGGATCAACCGTCCGTGACCGCGCACCCACCTGCTCCGCCGCCAGACATGCCCTCAAGCTACTGGAGTCTGACCTCGCATACAAGCCTGATGTACGCGCACATTTTCAGCATGGTAGGCGCATGGATCGTCGTCGCTCCGCTCGGTGAGTATCGCACCCCAAACAACACGCATATGTGCATATGTAAACTGACAAGACCGCGCAGCCGTAATGCTCAGCATCGCAAAATCACGCCTCACGCTCCCCGCGCAGACTCTTTTCCTAGCTTCGAACGCGCTCGGTCTGGTTCTCGGCGCGGTATACGCGCGGCGCACGCCGGAGCTGTACGCGCACAACTCGCACGGCAGGCTGGGCTGGGTGCTGAGCTGGATTGTGAGCGCGTGGGTGGTGCTGGGCTTGGTGAGGAGGTATGGCGCGCGGGCGGCGAGGGCGGAGCAGCAGGGTGTTGGCGCGGCGACGCATCCTGTGTCTGTTGCTGCGCTGGCGCAGTATACGCGTGTGCAGCAGGCTCCGACTTTGCATTCTGCCTCACCCTCACCCTCTCCCGGCGGCGAGGCGCGGTGGTCGCGCGATTCGGGGCAGGGCACGGAGCGGGGTTCGGAGTCGTTGTTTGGTCATTCGCGCTCGCCGAGTGATTTGTCTGAGACGCGGCGCTTTGAGGTGCCGGGGCAGCGCTATGATCATGGTCATGATGAGGATGACGACGAAGACGAGTTCGACGGTGATGCGGAGAAGAAGGGGTTCCTGCGGAATGCGGCCGTGGATCGGTTCCTGACGGGCAAGCTGGCCGGGTTCGTGTCGTGCCGGCGTACGCTGCAGGTAGTCAACTTCCTGTATATTGCTGTGGAGCGCACGATCCCCATTCTCGGCTTCGTGGCCATTTCCACCGGCGCCATTGTGCTCGGTGGCATCGCTGTAAGTGACTGATGAAAATGGGTGTGTAGCAAATGCATGACTGACAAACCACCTCCCAGCGCGGCGGCGCCGTGTTCAACGTGCTCGCACACTTCATCAAGGGCGGCATCTTCTTCTGGTACGGCGTGCTGACGCTCGGCCGCTGGCTCGGCAGCTTTGCCGACGCCGGGTGGGCTTGGAACGTCAAGCCGCCGCCGGGCGAATTGGTCGGGCGTCGATGCGCTGCGCTGCCGACGGCCGAGTTCACCGAGTCGTTTGTCATCTTCCTCTACGGGTCCACGAATGTCTTTCTCGAGCATCTGGCGGCGTGGGGCGATGCGTGGACGCCGCAGGACCTGGAGCACGTTTCCATTTCCGTCATGTTCTTCGGAGGGGGCTTGGTAAGTCGTTTCTTTGTGGGAAGTCCGAGGGATTTTTTTTGTGTCTCTCGGATTCACTCCGGCACAAGGGTTCCTTTTTATTCTAAGCTAACACTGCTCTAGCTCGGAATGCTCGTCGAATCAACGCGCATCCGTGGATTGCTGAATGCGTACATTCTCCAGACAAACAAGCACACGTCCAGCGATACAGCAACAACAGCCTTCACGCCTCCCAAAACCTACAAAGTCTCCCTGAACCCCATCCCGGCCCTAATCATCCTGCTGCTAGGCGTCATGATGTCGTCGCACCACCAAGACTCGATGCTCTCGACAATGGTGCACAAGCAATGGGGCACAATGTTTGTCGGATTCGCGCTCGCCCGCGCCGTCACCTACATGCTCGTCTATCTCGCGCCGCCGACGTCCTATCTGCCGAGCCGGCCGCCGAGCGAGCTCATCAGCGCCTTCTGCCTGACGGCCGGCGGCATCACCTTCATCCTCAGCAACAAGGACACGGTCGCGTGCATGGAGCAGTACGGCCTGGACGCCATGTTTACCTTTACTGTTACCGTTGGCCTTACATGTCTCGTGCTGTCCTGGGCTACGGTGCTCTGTGCGATCAAGGGCTGGGCTACGCGTCGGGAGCATCCGCGGCAGGTGGCGTTCCTGACGCGGGAGGTGGGCATGCCTGCGTGAGGGGAGCTTGCTGGGTGTTGTGATTTGGGGTTTTATTCTGCATTTTAGCGTTCTTCTTTGTTTGTTTTCCGTTTGCGACGCTCCTTTTAGCATGCATGGCGGTGTTGGAGCGCAGCGTTTTGCATGACATGAGTTGATTTTTTATGATACCACTGCCGCGAATAGAACGCGTGCTTTTTCGACGAGGTGGCTTGTAGATGATTGCAATTTTGGAGGGTTGAAGATGTCCGGTTATGAATATATGGAGGGTTTCTGCGAGGGAGACTGGACGTAATGCGGGCAGACGAGCTTTATGTGTAGATGATGATAAGGATGATGGTTCTTGGTCGCTCTGGCGTGCCTCATAGTCGGTTGTTGTGTGATGAGACGACCGTTACACGTCGTCTCAACCAAGCCCATGATCCCTCTCAAGCCCCCCGTCCCCGTCCCCTCGCCCTCCCTCTCCCCACCATCGATCCCCTCGCCGGAATGCCACTCCCGCGTCCTCGTCCACCAGCACGCGGAATGCCGCCTCCACCGCCACGGCCAATCCTGCTCGCCGGCGTCGGTGTCTGAAATTTATTGCCGGTGCGACTGGACGGCGGATTCTCAACAAAGGAGGTATCAGTAGTCAGAAAGGTCGCTTCAGGATCGGGATCAGAGGGCGCTGGGCCGCGCGAAGGCAGGTGCGAGAGCAGCGACTGCGGCCGCGCAGTGGCAGTAGCAGCGGGCCGGGTGAATGAAGGCGGGATGGGCGCCTGGGAATTACACATCAGCTTTCCATACCACACGCATGGATACACGAAGCAATGAAAAGTAGCATACCTCCGGAAAATCAACACAAAAGGCATTCATGTTCAGGCCGTACAGAAAGGCGGCAAAGCTCTCGCTGAAGCGCGCCAGGCTCTCGTGCATGAGGCCGAGGTAGATGAAGTTTGCCTCGAGGTCGGCCATGCCGTCGCTCAGCTCGGCGAATTGGGAGTCGAGATGCTCGAGGGGGAGGGTGCTGGTGGCGGCGGTGGATGTGGATGTGCTGGCGCGTAGGGAGGAGCGGGAGGGTGGGCGGAGGGGCGTTGTTGGGCGGGAGAGTGGACGGCGGGTCTGGGAGGAGGGTCGGCGGCGGTGGGTGTGGGTGTGGGTGTGTGAGGTGGGAGTGGTGGACATGATTGTGGTTGTGGTTGTGGTGGTGGTGGGATTGTCGTGTGTGTGCGAGTGTGTGAGAGAGTGAGTGAGTGTGTGTGTGTGAGAGAGTGCGAGTGAGAGTAAACACTGGACGAGGCAAAATATCGCGAGGCTTGGCGAGTCCCGCGCTGCACACGGGCGGAAACCGGGGGGCAAGCTGGCAGTTGGGCGGAACTTTGGGCGGCACTGGGGCGACACTGGGGCGACACTGGGCCAGCACTCGGGCGGGTCTGGCGGGTCTTGGGGCGCAAATCGGGGGCTTCTGCCACGCGGTCGGCGGCGGTGGTGGTGGTGCTGCTGCAATTCCCAACTTAATTAGTCATCCTGGCTGCTTGCTGCTGAACTCCTCCTGATCGCGTATCCCGATGTGCACTGTGGATTTTCATCGTGTACTGTGGATCGCGTGTAGTGTATCCTATCATACCATGCACCGTGCCTAACATCATGTTCCAGATACGCAGATCCCACATCGTACTCGCGTCCTCTCATCCGGTACGTACCTACATACTGTAATTACTGCAAAGCCCCATATCGAGGCGTCATGATGCAGACACATGCATCTTGGCAGGGCCGTCTGTACCTTAATTACGTATCCCACTATCCCTTCAACCTCGCTCCATTCATTTCGTGATGCTATAATTAATTCATCGTGTCTTTTTACTGCTTCGGCATTTTTATTCTTAGATACAGTACAACTTCTTGCGCACTATTCACTCTCATCCGCTTTAGCTCCTGTGCCGGCGTCTGGTAGCCACTAAACCAGTAGTAAACCCACCACGCCGCCCTTGTAGAACCCCAAGCCCAACCCCCAATTAACTTTTGACTTTTCGTCCTGCAATTTGTTGATTGACCTCGAGCAAGCAAGCAAGCAAGCAAGCAAGCAAGCAAGCAAGCAAGCAAGCAAGCAAGCAAGCAAGCAAGCAATCCCTTCGTCCTCGTCCTCGTCTCGCCTCTCTTTCTCGTCCGCTCTTCCGCGTCAGCCCGGCCAGCTTCAATCTTCGCGCGTCCACGTCAGACATAGACTTTTTGTTTGTGTGTTTCCTTTCTATGTTTGCTCGTCGCTGTCTTGTGCCGCCATCTGCACTTGTTCGCCAGCCAAACCCTCATCCGCTCCCTCATCCTCCTTCTCTGGTCGTCCGACCCACCACCCTTCCACTCCCGCAAACCACCAGCCTCTTCTTCACATTCAGCCGCGGCTTTCTCCAGACCACTTCCCCCACTTCTACTCTCTCACACTCACGCTCACGCTCACGCTCACGCTCCTCTGCTGCTCCTCGCCGCGCCTGTCTGTTTCCGTCCTCTGCGCCATCCAAGCCGGGCAATTTCTGGGGAATCCGTCCCTCCACTCCCTCCCTCTCCCGCAACGCCTGCGCAAATCACCTGTCAGGGAGCCGAGGATCCAGTCCGTCTGCCCACTATCAGCAGCAAGCCAACTCTACTTCCCTCCTAGTTGTGCTAGCTTCAGGGCTCGCACTCGCCGCTCTGCTATATATGTCTTCATCCGCTGCCGTGGTCGAGGACCCCTCGTCATCATCATCATTACCACAACCGCCGCCTCAACCTCCCACCAATCCCACCAATCCCACTCCCGCTGCCTCAACTTCCACTCCCTCAAATCACCCTACACACGCAAAACTACCCGGTGTTGTCCTAGACGAAGACATGGCCGACACTTCTGCTCCAGGCCGGCCCGGCAACCTCACTCCGGAGCAGGAGATCAAGCTCAAAGAGATGTGGACATTGATGCACAACCTTTTCGGTATACATGGTGATGCGGATTCGCAAGCCACCCCTGCTGCTACAACAGATGCTACCGCTTCCTCTCCCGCTCCTACAGAAAAGAAGAAGTCACGGTTCAGCATATGGGGCCGCAGCAAAGAACCTGAGCCTGCCCCCAAGCCCTCAACCGCTGGTGGCGTCGATCTGACGTCCATCGAGGCCGACGATAAGTACGGCCTCAGCAAGGACTTCAAGGAGACCTTGGCGACTCTGTCCAAGGAAGAGATTCGCGACTCGTTCTGGAAGATGACCAAGCACGACCACCCCGACGCCGTGCTCCTCCGCTTCCTCCGCGCCCGCAAGTGGGACGTCAATGCTGCGCTCGTCATGGGTGTGTCGACGCTCAAATGGCGTCTCAAAACATACAAGCTCGACGATGTGCTCCTGGCCGGCGGTGAGCCGGCTGAGGTTGTGCGGTCCGAGAGCTCCGATCCCAAGGAAAAGAAGGATGGAAATGATTATATCCAACAATGGGAGATGGGAAAGAGCTTCATCCACGGTGTTGACTCCGAGGAACGACCAATCTGCTACGTCCGCGTGCGGCTGCATCATGGTGGCGAGCAAGGTGTTGACCCGCTGGAGAAATATATCGTGCACACAATTGAGACTGCGCGTTTCATGCTAAGGCCGCCCGTCGATACTGCCGTAAGTGGTTGTAGTGTGCTTTTGTACGACAATCTCAACTGACATGACAAAGACTCTCGTATTCGACATGACGGGCTTCTCGCTAGCCAACATGGACTACACACCTGTCAAGTTCATGATCAAGTGCTTCGAAGCCAACTACCCCGAGTCTCTCGGTCTCATCCTCATCCACAACGCACCATGGGTGTTCCAAGGTTTGTGTCGCTAGTTCGAGACCTAATCACATGACTGACATGAATTCCAGGTGTATGGAAGATCATCAAGGGCTGGATGGACCCTGTCGTATCCAGCAAAGTAAACTTCACCTCGGGTGTCGAGGGCATGTCCGAATTCATCCCCGTCGACCAGATCCCCAAAGAGCTCGGCGGCGACGAAGACTGGGAATACAAATACGTCAAGCCCACGGCAAACGAGAACGAGAAGCTGTCCGACACCGCCACCCGTGACAAGATCCAAGCCGAGCGCAAGACCATCTCCGACAAGTTCGAAGACGCCACCATGCGCTGGATCAAGGGTGACGAGGCCGCCAAAGCCGAGCGCACACAGCTGGCCCTGGAGCTGAAGAAGAACTACTGGGATCTGGACCCATACATTCGCGCACGCACATTTTACGACGCACCTAGGAGCTGCATCATCAACCCAGGCGGCATAGTCGACTACTACCCGAGCGAGAAGACGGCTGAGGCAGCGGCGGCGCCATCAGCAACATCAGATGCAGTCAACGGCGAGCTCGCGCAGAAGCTCGACGAGAAGGCCGTAGTAACGCAGACAACGCCAGCGAACGGGACCGTGGCAACATAAATTTTAGGGGGGAGCAACATATATAAATATATACGAACAAACCTAATACATAAACTACATGGTCGTTGGTAGGAGCGGGGTTGAGGAGGAGGAGGAGGAGGGAGGGGCTCAAATGTGCAAATTCCGAATATATTGGGGGAGAAGGTCCATGTCACGGGCTTTCTTGTTTTGATTGGAGATACGATACGATACGATACCTCTTGTTATCTCCGTTTTCACACGCGCGACAAAGAAGTATGCGTTGTTGTTGCGTGGATATATATAATCCCTTCATAACTCTCTCCCTCTCTCTCTGTGTGTGTAGAACCTGCCTGTGATTAATTATCGACCATACAATACAACCAAGTGGGTCGGTAGATCAGTGCAGATCCACCACTCGTGCTATTGTTTCATGTTCTCCTGAACCTGAGCCTGGGCTTGAACCTGGAACCACAATCACAACCCACAACCCATACACCATTCTCCCCACATTCACCATACGAAACCCCATCCGTGCACGCATGTTAACTAACCCTGTTCGTCGCCAGGGGGGAGTGTTTGTAAGGTCCTCTTGGCAGTAAGTAAGTACTGTAGCATGTGATACAACCCCATAATTAGCGTTGGTTCTGTCACATGGCTGGCGGATCATATCGGGGGTCACGGGGTGCGGGTGCGGGTTTTTCACATGCATGTCTTTCATTGTGGGTGTTGGAAGGTGGGGTTGGGGTATTTGGGTTGGGTTAGTGGTGTGTGTGCGTGTGTGTGCCTGAGGCAGAAGTACTGTGTGCCTGAGACAGTAGTGTAGTGTAGCTAGGCTAGGCTAGAGTGCATACATCTCATCTACTATTAATTACAGCATATACGGAGCAGCTGTTTAGATGAAATGAGACTCTTGGGGTCCAAGTTTGGTTCAGTTCAGTTCGTTCTCGTGTTTCGGTGTCTATCTGTTCTGCTTGTTTTTTTCTTCTTCCTGTTTTACGTCTTTTACGTCTCGCTGCTTCTTACTGCTTCTGACATTGTGTCTTTTCTTTGTGCTTTTTGCTTGTGGATTGAGTGTGCTGCCTTTTGTCCTGCTCGCGGGAGAGATGGCGTGCGTGCATGCATGCCGGCCTCAAGGTCTTCCATATCTGTCTTGATGGTCTTGATGGTCCTCATGAAGGTCGTCGGTTGTTTAGGCTGTGGCAAAGTGAGTGAGTGTATGTATGTCGTGCATGAGCACGTCCCGGCAACGAAGTACAAATGGCACAAACGCACCACGACGCGTTCCACGATGCAATATCGCCAAGACCGGACTTTTGTCAATATAGACATACCGGGCGGGGATTGAGGGGATGGATGGATGGATGGATGGATGGATGGGATTATTACTCGAGCAACAGAGGGGAGGCTTGCATATTATATATGTTTGGGCCTTTCGTCCTGTCTGTCCGTTCTCATTCACTCATTCCTTCTTCCACCGTGCGGTCCATCTTCGCTTCGCTTCGCTTCTCCGTGCTCGACAGTCCACGCGTCTCAAACCCTCAAGTCACACAAGACAAACCCTCCCCCTTTCCTTTCCCGCCCAGCCAGCCTCCGGCTCCCCACACCCAGCCGCAATGGGCGACATAACCCCAGCAGCGACAACAACAACAACAACAACAAACGCACACCCCCAACCCCCACCACCACCACCCCCCAAGAAACCCCTCTCCATCGCCATAATCGGCGGCGGCATAGCCGGCCTAGCCCTCGCAATCGGCCTCCAAAACCACGGCCACGCCGACACCAAAATCTACGAAGCCGCGCCCGCATTCGGCGAAATCGGCGCGGGCATCGCCTTCGGGCCCAACGCGATGCGCGCCTGCAGCCTCATCGACGGGCGAATCCTCGCGGGCTTCAAAAAGGGCGCTACATGCAACGTCAGTCCGGAGCGCTACGATACCTTTCTGTCGTATGTGTATGCGCAGGATTCGCGGAGCGGGGATGGGCGCAAGGCGGGCGAGTTGATTGTGCATGCGCGGCGCGAGGGCCAGGGCGGGTGTTGGACGGGAGCGCAGGCGCGGTGTGGTGTGCATAGGCGGTATGCGCTTGGGGTGCTGGTCGGCTTGCTGCCGGCTGGGACGGCGGTGTTTGGGAAGCAGCTTGTTGGTATTGAGGAGTCTGGCTGTGATGACGACGATGATGATGATGATGGCGGCGGGAGGATGATTCTCAGGTTCGCGGACGGGAGCACGGCGTCTGCGGATGCGGTTGTTGGGTGCGATGGGATCAAGAGTCGGACCCGTGAGATCCTGCACCCGGGGAAGATCAGGGCGCAGTTTTCGGGCGAGTATGGCTATCGTGCGCTCCTGCCGCGGGAGGAGGCGGTGTCGATTCTCGGTGCGGATTTTGCGCTCAATGGGATGCTGTATTGTGGGTATAATATCGGGATGATCACGTATCCGGTCGAGAACCATGCTCTTGTCAATGCGTTCGCCGTGTGTCGCGGGGAGTGGACGAGTGAGACTAACATGGCGCCCTGCTCGAAGGCACAGATGCTCGCTGACTTTACCACCACTGACGGCGATGATGATGGGGTTGATAAAGGGGGCCTCGACGCCCGGCTCGTGAAAATGCTGCACGCCTTCCCCGACAGCAGCAGATGGGGCATCTTCGACGTCCCGCACAACGAACCATACTACCGCAACCGGATCTGCATCCTCGGCGACGCCGCACATGCCGCCACGCCGAACCTAGGTGCCGGCGCCGGCATGGCTATTGAAGACGCGCTTGTGCTGAGTCGGCTGCTGGGGCGAATTGAGCATAAGTCGCAGATTGAGGATGCGTTTCGGGCGTATGATGCCGTCAGGCGGCCGCGTACGCAGAAGGTTGTGTGGGAGAGTCGTCGCGCGGGGCTGGCGAATGAGTTTTTGATGGAGGGGGTGGGGGATAATTTTGAGGAGCTGGAGAGGGAGTTGAATGAGCGGTATCAGTGGATATGGGACGTTGATTTGGAGGGCATGGTGGATGAGGCGCTTGGGTTGCTTGAACGCGGGTGGAAAGGGGAGGGGTGGTCGGATGTATAGATTTGTGTTTCTCGTGCGGGGCTCGGAGTGGGTGAGAGCATTTCCGGTGGTTATGCTACAAGGTCTTACCTAAGGGAAGGACCCATGTATGTAATGGAGGCGATGATCCGAGAGTTGGGAAACACATGTTCGAACCGCAGGATCGCAGGGACAGGCAGACGAGAAGAAGACCCCCGCGTTGCCCACATTCAGACACCAGGGAACATATTGAATTATGACTACTTCCCCTTTGCTTCCTTGGCGGCTCGTACGTCCTCTGCGACATCGCGCAGGCAGCCTGCGTTTGCAAGCTCGACTAGATACTGATAGTGGAATGAGCGATAGTCGGAGCGGGAGTCTCGTGCATGTTCCGACTCCTGTCGCTCATCTGCAGTCGCAACCTGCAGGACACTCTGGTCAATCGCCTTCTGCTTGTCGACAAGACGAGTGCGGAAATCGATGAGCATCGTCGGACTGTCTTCGTCGATTCGATGTTGCACTGGTAGAGGCACTTTGATCTTGGCGAGGTAGTCTTCGTCGATGCCCAGGTCTGTGTTTGGGCCGACGATGAGGCCGGGATCTTCTTCGAGGAAGTTGCGCCAGTCTGGCTGCAGCGTGTCGAGCCTGGCATCAGCGGCTCTTATGGAGACAATGTTTTGGGCGAGATGCTCGCGCAGTTCGGCGGCTTCGTCCTTGTGCAGGCACATCAGGTTGACTTCGGCGCCGTATTGCTCGCTGAGCAGGAGGATTCGCTCTTCCAGGAGTGGTCTGAACACTTCGGTCCAGTCCTGGCCTTCTTCGAATGTGCCTGTGGAAGGTTTAGAATGGGTTTTCAAGTAAAATATTGTGGCACTCACCAAGTTTCTCCGGATAGTAATCCATTCCGTCCAGTTTCCACAGCTCGTTTCCAATCGGCAGGAAGGCTTGATAGTGAAAGGCAGCCTCCGCATCGGATTCGTCATCAGCCTTCCGTTTCTTCTTCTTTCGAGGAGTGCTCGTTTTGCCCGTTCGTGCCTTTTGTTTGGCTTGCTGTGCCTCCCGTCTAGCCTGCTGTGCTTTGGCTTTCATGGCCGTGTCAAAGCTACCCTTCATTTGAAGGTCAAAGTTCATCATATCGCTGCGGGTGGCGAATGAATTATGAATGCGCTTGACAAATTCAAACTCAGCTAGAGCTTCACCGCGCGGAAATGGCTCAAACGTGCGTGTGAAGTCCTTGAAGCTCTGGAGATTCTCGCCCAGGACCAGCCCAGGGACGTTGTTGAGAATGTTCAACATGGTCACGGTAGCACATGAACTTGTCGATAGCTGGTTGGCGAACCATATATGCTCAGGGCAACTCTTTTCGTGCATCCCATAGTCTGGCTCAAAGTACTGGTAGCAGAAGACCAGGCCAAACACGTGCTTGCTGCCAGCCATTAGCATTTGGCATAATGTGTGTGGACAATCTAGCCTCACGGTGAGTATTCAGCGCCTAGATCGTCGAGCGAAAAGATCTCGCGAACCCTCGCACTCCGAACACCCCATTCTCTCAGCATCACATTGAGCAAGGCCTGTGAGGTATCGTGAGTGGAAGAGACAACGCAAACGACGTGGTGCAACTCACCGGTTCAGACTCAATGTCGCAGAACCCTTGCCAGGTTGCTTTGTCCTGCGCTGTGGCTCCATGAGTTATCGACTTCGAGTATTTTCCGACAGATCCGTTGACTAAAGTGTCAGGGCCAGACCGACTTGGACTTGAGCTTCCATCTTCTGACGTTTTTACTCGTTTTCGTGGAGGTGACATCCCGTGATCGGATCGGTTCAACGCAGACTCCTCGCGAATATGATGCCTTTCTCAGCACTCCGACGGAAATTTCTTGAGGGCCACAGGCTTATAGTAAGTAATGTATCCAGGTTACCACGTAGCGCCAGAGGGATGAAGTAAGAAAGACCCAGATTGAAGGAACGAGGCCGAAGTGCCGCAAGGCTTCATTTTGAGGAGGCTGGGCGACTACTGAGCCAGGTAGAGGGATTCCGTGACAAGCTCACTCACTATGCCAGACAATACCAGGCTTTCATTCTTGCGTGAACAACGCGTGATGGAAACACTTCACTCTGCACTTTCTCTATGGAAGAATGTTACTACTTGGTTTCTGCCCCAGGCAATCATCAGGGTCCGCCAAGCATCATCTTGGCAGACGCGGGTTTTCAGTGACGCGCTGCCGTGTGTTATTAGAGCTTCGATGTTAATTGACTTTCAGTGCAAACTTCCCGAACTCACTCATCAGCAAACACAGCACACGACTCAGCGAACCGTCGTCCTGATAGTCAGGCGCTCCACTCTTTACTGCCTGTAAGTAACTATACAATTCGCAGGATGCAATGAACGGCACTCCACGACTTCGCTCTGCCTTCCCGCAGACGCCGCAATCAACTCCTACGGCTCGCCGGCGACAAAATGCGCAAAATGCGCCCCCAGCCGACACAGCCAAGGTGAGCACAGGCTTGCAGAGCATGCCAAAGGCACCTACACAAACCTCAGCTGCCTCTCCTCTGATACCCTTCGATACGATTGACGCTCCCTCGCAACGACTCTACATTCTTCTATTCTATGGCATCCTCCACGCATGGCGGTTCTACGACTACTACAATTTGGTCGCCGATGACACAGAATCCTTCTGGGCCTTTCTGAAATGGTGCGGCTTCGACCTCGTCTTCATCTTTGGCATACCAGTCCTTCAAATCCCATGGCTAGAGTGGTCTACATCCTTCACTGCTCTCATCTGGGGGGCTCATATGGTGCTGAATATAATACTAATGTTCCGTGTCGGGGTACGTTCGATAATTTGTAGTATTGTGATTGATTCTTACGGACATGCAGATACCAATACACCTATGGCTGTTTGGATTCCTGAAGGCAATACAGGACGATGAGATGGGTCTGATGGGTCGTTCTGTCAAGCCGGGACATATCATACAAAATGCGTCTCTGATTCTGGGAAAACAGATCATCAATATCTTACCAGAGGGGTACGTTCTGATTCACTAATTGTCCAAGGCTTTACTGACTTGAGGTGTATAGTTCCGCGCTGCTGAATCCGACAAATGACGCGTTCTGCATCGGTGGCGGTGTCAACTCGATACATATACCCATTCAGATCAACCAAACCAACCCGGTTCGCATGGAAATTCTACACATCGATCTCGAGAACACCAGTAGTGACCTCATCACACTGTCGGCGAAGGATATCAAGAAGCTTAGAAACCAGTCTAAGAAGGAGCAGAAAACGTCGGATCCCACAGCGCCAATCTTGATGAACTATCCAGTGAAGAAGACTGGGTTGTACATCCTGCAAAGGGTAGTGGACGAAACTGATCTCGAAGTTCAGGCACACATGTCCGAACTCTTGGTCGTGAACTGTCCACAAGCCCGGATAAAGTCGACAGGAAGCAACAGATGTCGGAACGAATTGTCCGATATCACTATGGAAGTCGAGGGCGCTCCACCTTTGAAAGTTGTCTACCACCGCTTCATGAATGGTGAGCCACACAGCTCATCTTTTCAGAGCATTCAACCAGACGATTTCGTCTCTCCTTATGGAAAGCAAAAATCGTCTACTTTGGTCAGGAGCGGAGAGTCCGATTTATCATGGGCTCGCTCACATACCGTCTCTGTCCCGCTAAGCGAAACCCTCCATCACAGCGGAGTATGGTCATACACCATAGATGAAGTGCAAGATGCTCTGGGTAACAAGGTTTCATACGGTGCCCCTGGATCCGATGAAGAGGGCACACGGGCGTCCGGAAAGAACACTGCTCACCACCAAACGTTGATGGTCCATGAGCGACCCAAAGTCAAGCTCAGCAAATGCAATTACCAGAAACCTCTGCAGGTCGCGAAGGGAAGAGCGACTGCGCTACCCCTTGACTTCTCCTCCTCAGGCAAAGGCCCAATTCAAGGCACGGTGCACGACTTGGAGTACATCTTTACCAAGGAAGACGATCTCACTCCAAATGGTGAACACGGCCCTCTAGCCGTGATACAGAAGCATACACTCAAGAGCCTGCAAGATAGATTTTATGTACATGAGAGCGGACTTTACACGTTGCGGTCAGTTTCCAGTGCTTACTGTTCAGGAGAGGTCATGGAGCCAGCTTCATGTTTACTTCAAAACCCCCCTGAACCAGAAATGTCCATTACGACAGAGCACATCCATGATAAATGCGCCGGCAATCCAATTGGTATTCGATTAGATTTGGACCTCATCGGCACACCTCCGTTTGACATCAGTTGGATCGAAGAGAAGAGCGGCTCCCCGCCTACTCCCAAATCCGCGCAGATCTCCGGTCTCAGAGGCCAGATTATCCTTCAACCCTCGCTTGCTGGAAAATACACATATAGGTTCTTGGAAATTAGCGACGCCGTCTACAAGCAAGTATCCCTTGGCGATCGTGTCACTCAGGATGTAAAACCAGCTGCGTCGGCACGATTTACTGACGATAGCCCACAAGAAGCCTGTATCGATGGGCCCGTCTCTTATGGTGTCCGTCTCCAAGGCGAAGGCCCATTCACTCTCGAATACGAACTTGTGCATGGCGGCAAGCGAAGCAAACGCAAGGAAGAGGATATCAGTGGCCCAGACTTCAAAATTCAGACAGAGCCGCTCAAATCCGGCGGAGACTATTCGCTCGTCCTGACGGGAATCACGGACAGGCTTGGGTGCAAGGAGTTTCTGGACAAGACAGCAAAGTTCAAGGTCCGCAATGAACGACCGAAGGCCTACTTTGGGCTTATTGAAGGCAAACGTTCCCTTCAGATCTTAGAAGGCAAGAAAGTGCGTCTACCTCTTCGTTTGACAGGTAAGCCCAACTGGATGGCGACGTACCGAAATCTCGAACAGCCAGAGAAAAAATTGACAATATTACTCACCCGAGAGAATGATGCCCTGGAAGTCTCACAATCAGGGACATACGAGCTTGTAAGCTTGTATGACGCTAACTGTCCTGGATCTATCGAGGAAAGTGGGAAGCGATTTGATGTTGGCTGGGTCCCACGCCCAGGAATCAGCATACCTGAGAATCCTTCCATGACGCTGTCTGGTGATCGTTACATTAAGAACGCTGTATGTGAAGGGGACGAAGATTCCTTTGACGTAATGATTTCAGGTGAGTGCAGAATTTAACAATATAAAACTTCGGCCTAACTTGAACAGGTACGCCTCCGTATGATCTCGAATATACCGAAAACATCAAGCCAGACAAAGGTCCCAGACAGACCAGCCAAAAACAGATCAAGGCTGCCCTTGGTGTCGCTAACGTCAGAGTGGATACTATGAAACCGGGTATCTACGAATATGACTTCAACAAACTGAACGACGCAAATTACCTCGGGACGAAAAATACGATCATAGTGGTCGAACAAAGGGTCCACCCACGCCCTGATGGGCAATTTGAGCAGCCCGGGAAGACATACAGCTACTGCTCTAGAGAAGCAGATGGCGAGGAAGTGATTCCGGTCAAGCTTACTGGTGTCCCGCCTTTCACCCTTGAGGTTGAGATCAAACATTTGAGCGGACGCAGCCGCAGCCCAGAATATGTCACCATTCCGAATATCCCCAGCAACCTTTACGAGCTTCGCATCTCGCATAAACACTTACAACACGGTGTCTCGAATGTCTTCATTCGCAAAATTCGGGACAGCCGTGGCTGTCAACGGCGGCTAGGTGCAGATGCAAAGAAGGTCTCAATCTCGGTACACGATGCTCCAACTATCACCGCCGTGGAAAGTCGCACTGACTACTGTGTTGGTGAGCGCCTTTCGTACACGCTTTCCGGCACTCCTCCGTTCCAAGTGTTTACAAAGTTCAACGACAAGACCCTCAAGGCTGCGTCTCCAGACACCTCGTTCCGACGTCTTGCGGAGGCCCCGGGAGCGTTTGCCATCACGGGAATATCCGACAATGCTTCAAATTGCCGTGCCAACACGAACTTAGAAGCTACTATTCACCCAATGCCGACAGTGCGTATATCGCAGGGTAGAGTCACAAGCATAAATCTACGGGAAGGCGGCGAGACGGAAATCTCGTTTGACTTTACGGGAACACCCCCTTTCGAGGTTACATACACACGCAGCACACTTGCGAATGCTAAAAGCGGACATAAGAGCAAAGTCCTTGAGACTAGAGTCGAAAGGACCGACGACTTCAGCATCAAGGTCAAAGCTAGCGAAGAGGGCCAGTACGAGGCCGTTGCAATCAAAGACCGATGGTGTGCCTTTCCGCGTCCAGGAGAAGATGGCGCAAGATCGAGAAAAGGGCAAAAGTTGTTACAGAACTAGCAGCGTCTGGCCATTGACTTTTTGCATGGAGAGGCGTTCTGAGCATGTTGCATATCTTTATTTTTTTTTTCGCTATTTTTGAGCGGCATACTGTGTACAATTGTTGGAGAGTAGATATTGATGTCACCTGGAAGCCCTGAACTGAGTGTTGCTGTTAGAATCCTCAGCAACGTTGGAGATATGAGGTTATTTACCCATGACTCAGGAGGCCAAGCGAGACATGAAGTCAGCATCGGCATTGCATACTCGGACCATCTTAAAACCCGAGTCAAGACAGGGGAGCCCGGAGGTGGTTGGGAGGGAGCTTGGACCAGCGGACACCGATTTCCGATCTGACGTCGTGCCTCCAACTGACCGGTCCACGTCAGAAATTGAATCTATGAACAATTGTTGATAGAGTTGTTTGCCTCATAGATTGCGCTTCTTTGCGCCGATACACATTCTATTCCTATATTTTCACCTTAACTTGCCATAACATCATGGCCGACCTCACCAAAGTTCCTTCGTTCCAATACCCCGCGGCGCACATCGGTCATCTCAATGCTCAACAACAAGCTTCATTAACTGCGTTCAAAGTTCTATGCGAAGAGAAAGGCTACTACAAACCGAAAGGCGAGGATGGCAAGGGAGAGCCCAGCCACGACGATGAGACCTTACTGTAATTGATCCCGCTCCTTTCTCCAAGGGGCTCAAAGCTGACAGCTCCCCAAAGGCGATACCTGCGTGCGCGAAAGTTCAACGCACAAGAAGCGTATGGGCAGTTTAAAGACACAGAGGACTGGAGAAAAGAGAATAACCTTGAGGAACTTTACGAGCGTATCAATGTCGGCGAATATGAGGCTACGCGCAAGCTAGTATGTCAGCATCTTCCAGCCCAGGTGGTATAGCTACTTATGAACCACCAGTATCCCCAGTGGACCGGCCGTCGTGACCGAAGAGGCATACCTGTGTATGTGTACGAGGTCGCACCTTTGAATCAGAAAACCCTCACCGCATACGAAGAGAACACCGCTAAATACCCACCTCCGATCAATTTCAACGCCACCAAAGTTCCCACGAAGATGCTCCGTCTCTTTGCTCTCTATGAGAATATGATCACGTTCATCCTTCCGCTATGTACGGCCATCAAAGGGCGCGACCACCCTGAGACGCCCATCAGCCAGAGCAACAACATAGTTGATATCTCCAAAGTCGGGCTAAAGCAGTTTTGGAATCTGAAGGCGCATATGCAAGATGCAAGTACGTTGGCTACTGCACATTATCCGGAGACATTGGATAGGATATTTGTAGGTGGTTCGATTTTTCCTAAGACCTGGCTGACAAAATTGCAGATTATTGGTGCTCCCGCATTTTTCCCCACTGTGTGGGGTTGGATAAAACGGTGGTTCGACCCGATCACTGTGTCTAAGATCTTCATTCTAGGCGCAAATGACGTGAAACCAACACTGGAGCGATACATCGACCCGGCAAACATTCCAAAGAAGTATGGCGGGCAACTCGACTATGAGTTTGGTCAGATGCCCAACATCGAGCCAGACATCGCAGAGGCGTTGGTATGGGAAAGCTCAGCGGACGAGAACGGACGGAGAACATTCCCAACGGGGCCTATTAAGTGGATCCCAAACGAGAAGGGGGAGACGGAAGCTGTTGCTGTTGGGACGGAGGATGGCAAACTTAGACGTAGAGTTGTAGCGAAGCTCGCTCCTGGTCATACTTTCAAGGGCTTCGAGGACACACCTAGTAGACCGATTGGACGCAAAACGCTCGAACGCTTTGAGACCGGAAACTCTACTCACCCGACCACTGAGGGCACACCTCTCGACACTGAGCCGTCGTCTTCATCCTCGCCAGGAGCATCCACTCCGGCTCAAAATAAGGAAGCCCTCGGTGTTGCTGTCCCCGCTTCTGCACTAAATCCGGCGCATCCCGATGTTGATGAAGTCTCCAAGAAACTCGAAGGTGCACGGATTGGCACGTCTGAGACTCGTTTCGAGCAGCAGGAGCCAACTCACGCTGCCGGACAGGGCGCTGAAGGTACTCCTGCCGTTAACCACCATGGAGACGGCGACAAGACTGTTTCTATGGAACCAGGTACGGTTGGTCAGGCACCAAAGGACGTATCACAACCTCTCGGAGCACAGGACACGACGCAGCCTGGTTACGTAGATCAAGCAAAGTCAGTGGCGAACCAGGCGTATGAGGGCGCATCCGCTGCCGCTGGCATGCTTGCTGGGGCGGTCGGCCTTGGGGCGGCAGACAAGGATAAGGAAATACAGCCTCAGACTAAAAGAGAAGACCCTCGAGTTGATGCTGCAGAAGACAAAGACGTAGAAGAGTATCTGCGAAGTAAAACGCAAGTAGAGACAGGAGGGGAGACTAAGTCATAGACATATAGCGCAGCCAGGTCCACGCAGTTGTTGACATAAAGCCTTAACGATTACCATGAACAACGAAACCCAAAGAAAATAGAATCCAGATCCACGACTAGGTTCTTATTCAAATATATTTAGCCACTTACAGAGTCCATCTACACGCCCAAACTCTGATACATCTGTGAAATACATAGTGTAACTTGGAGGGTCACACGCACGATGGTGTAACACTGACTGTTGCATCATATAAGTGGGAATATTCGGATCGACCACATGTATGCCCTTGTCACCATGATTTGTGGTAATTTTTATTTTCTTTTCTGCTTTGTTCTATGCTGTATCTAGCATAGAGGCCAGCCTCGAAATTAGTTCTACCCCACATTTCACAAGCAACCACAACCACAACCGTCGACTCGCAACAAGTCCAACGGCAATCTTCTGCCATATTTCCCTTCCCGGCGCGAGCGCCTCAAGGCCATGCCTCTAGCGCCCTCCACTCGGCCTCAGCATGGAATTTGAGGTCTCATACTCTCTCGACAACGAGGAGCAATTCTGGGAAGGTCAGTACCACCCTTCGCTCGAAGAATCCCCGCTATTCGACACACAAAAGTGTGTGCATGTCATAAAACGACCCGTGCTGACTGTTGCTGCCGCAGAACTGAGCGATATCCTGTCCTCGGACTCCACAGACCATGAGCTGATAGACAACGCTCTGCGGAGCTACTTGAGCTTCACGACCAAATTCAAGGGTGCGCGTTCCGGTGTCTGCTTGCGTGGAAGAAAGCTGACTGACGAAGACGAGTACCTACAGTCTGAATACGATGTGGCGCGGTCCTCGTACAGACTGACGCAGTCGGCCTTGTTCAAGACGTCAAAAGAGTATGTGCGGAGGCAGATTGTGTATGGCTTGCTACAGGTATAAAGAGGCGCCAAGTTGAGGAAGGGTTAAGAGCTGACACTTTCTGCAGGAGGAGGATGCGCCGACACTGCATATGATAGCAGCTTTTCTTCTGATTGATGGTCGAAGCGACGATGAGACCCTACGCATGATGCAGACTGAGGGGGTGTTTCCTCGCTTGGTGGAGTTAACGCAAGAAGAGCAGATACAGGAAGATCCAAGCTTGCATAGAACGCTGCTGGAGCTGTTGTATGAGATGTCGAGGATACAACGACTGACATGGGAAGACTTGAGTATGACGCCTGAATGATAGTGGAGATTGAGCTAATAGCTCTTCAGCGGCTGTTAACGACACATTCGTTCTCTACTTATTCCAAGTAATCGAAGGCGCTTCTGACGACGTGAACGACCCATACCACTACCCTATAATACGAGTCTTAGTATGGCCCATACAGTCCAACTTTGAATTTCACGCATACTAATGAATATTCAGCTTGTCCTCAATGAACAATACATGGTCTCATCGACCCATCCCGCCAAAGGCGCCCGCACCCCTACGCCCCTCACAAACCGCGTAATCAAAGCCCTTAGCACTCACGGCACGTCCTACAAGACCTTCGGCTGTAACCTCATCCTACTTCTCAACCGCGAGTCGGAGACTTCACTCCAGCTACTGATCCTCAAACTCTTATACCTCCTCTTCCAGTCCACATATACGGCAGAGTACTTCTACACCAATGACCTCTACGTTCTACTCGACGTGATACTGCGCAACCTGCTTGATTTACCATCTGATAGCCCCCCAGCTGCCGCTCTTAGACATACCTATCTACGTGTTCTGCATCCACTACTCGCGAATAGCCAGCTCGCTACACCGCCGCATTACAAACGCGCCGAGGTGCTCAAGATGCTAAGCCTCCTCGCCGATTCTGGCACACACTTCGCGCCCGTAGACGAGACGACGATGCGGCTCGTCACACGCTGTACCTCAGTCCCATGGCTAGTACCGAAAACTCCCCTGAACTATCATGACGACGACAACGACTCGCCGACCACACCCCAAGCTACAGAGGGTGCGGACGAACCAAGCTCAAGCCCCGAAAAGGGCGCAGCGGGTGCAGGCCAGAGGGAACTGGCAAGACGGATGCTGGGCATGAGTGTGAAAGGAGAGGGTGCGAGCGAGAGCACGTTAAGCGTGGTGCAAGTCGCAGAGCACATGGCGAAGCCAGGTGAGGTGACGCCGAGTCGGGGGTTTACATAGCGATATCCCATGATTTAGTCATCGGTTTATATATATATATATATACAATTATAGCTAGTATGTAAATAGAGCTGCCATACGACGCGTACACATGCTTTTCCTATATCCACACTGGACTAGTTAGTACATACAGTAGCAACACTACAGACTCTAATTCATCTATCAAACACTCCCTTCCTCAATCCCCTCTCACTCAAGCCTCAAGCCTCATCCCCAGCATCAACAACCCCCCTCCCAATCCTCTCCCTCTCGCCGCGCGCAAACCCACGCTCCCCTTGCCGCAGCGCACGCACAAGCACATCCAAGCTCGCAATGCGGAAATCAGGCGCGCGCCGCAGCTTCTCCAGATCGTCCGCGAACTCGGCCGTTACGGCGGCGAGGTAGAAGTCTGAGAAGGCGGAGAGTGCGGTCGCGGGTGTTGTGGTTTTTGTGGGCGGATGGAAGGATGGGGATGGGGATGGGGAGGCGGTGTTGGTATTGTCGTCCATGTCGATGTCGGTGTCGGTGTCTTCGTCGCTGCTTTGATCATTGCTTTGATCGCTGCTTGAATCGCTGCTGTCATTGCCGCTTTCGTCGTTGGTCTCAGTGCTGCTTTCGTCGCTGCTCTCGTCATCAACACCATCATCAACACCATCATCAACACCATCATCAACACCATCATCAACATCCTCCTCCTCGTCGTCGTCGTCGTCTTCATCATCATCATCTTCTTCTTCCTCCGCCATCACTACATGATCCCCCACAACCCCATCCTTCATACTCTTTCCAGCCTCTTCGCTGGCCGTCTTGCGTTTCTTAGCCGCATGCTTGTCAGACTCTGACTCGTGTGATTCTAAGAGATTTATTAGATGAATCAGGTCGAAAGATAACCGGAAAAACGAAAAAGAGAAAAAGTTTAGTGTGCACGTGATGCACATGAACTATCTCTACGTACGAATTTTTGTAGATTTGGACTTCGTCTGCTTTGGAGGCGTGCCAGCAGTTCTCTTACTTCTTTCCTTTCGCGTCAGATGAGGCATTTCGTGAGTGTGCTGGTGTTGTGTTATGTTACTGGAGTGGAAAGGTATAGAGGTTGGACTTGGGCGGAAATTCACAATGCCAAGCCTTTTCAGCAGAAAACATGTCTCAAGTGGAAATATATTTGTGTTCAACCACATCATATCTATCTATGCTCATGAAAACTATCGTGATGCTGTCATACAACGTATGGGTATTTAGAGTGGTGATGTTCGAGGTAACCACATGTGCTTTGCGTGAAACTAGTGGACCATAACGTCCTGACCACCCGGTTGAGCTGCATCCTTTGGTTGAGCCTCGTCCGTTTCCATGTCGTCGCCAGCCTCCTCGACAACTTCTTCCTCTTCATCCTCCTCGTCATCTTCGCCACTGCTTTCGGCTTCCAAATCTTCGCTGCCAGCGTCTGAGGCGGCATCATCTTCGACCTTGGCCTCGGCCGCCTCTTCGACACCACCCATTTCCATGTCTTCGCCCTGTGCGGCCTCGCCCTCACCCTCAACTGCAGCGTCAGCCTCCTCTTCCTCCTCTTCCTCAGCGCCGTATGCATCGGCGTCGTCTTCAGCCTGATCAGCTTCTGGCTGGTCGGGCGGGAATTCGGCGGGAGCCGATTCTTCAGAGTCCCTATAGGAATTGTGTTAGCTGGAAAACAATGTGATAGGAAAGGTAGTCGCACCATTTGATGGCGAAACGAGTGACTCTTGGCTTTTCAGCCAAAATGCTCCTCCTCACTTTCTCGATGATGGGTTTCGAAGGCGGCTCTGCATTCAAGGCCTCTTCAGAATATTCGTTGTTGACGTAATAACCAACTCTGACAAACTCCCTGCCATCATAGCTGCAGCTTAGCAGGATGACAGTAACACCAAGAATTTCGTTGTTGGGAATACGGGTGAGGTCTGGCGCGTCTGCCTCGAAGAGAAACTTGTTTACACCCACAGGCACGGGCCCAACGAGTAACGAGTCTAATTCTTGATCGTATTCGGAAGATGTAGCCGATCCGACATAGGTGAGTTTCCACTCCAGGTCTTTCGAGAGAGACTCGAGACACTCGAATGTTATCTCAAATAAATATTTTGCGTCAAACGAAGTGGGGTTGTTGAGGACTTTGACGCCGAGAAGGGAGACAACAGACATATTTGCGAGATGATGGAGGATTGACTGTTCGAGATAAATGCGATATGATGCTTAGTGGGTAGAAGCTGTTGCAAAGCTGAATGAAGTTTTCCAAGAGACTGATTATGGTGTTGAGGTGGAAAAAGAAAGAAAGGAAGGTTGGGGAGGAGACGAAAGGAGCTTTGAGCCAAAACTGGTTGGAGGTGTTTGGACCCTCGAAGCAGCAGCGGAACAGGAACAGCAGGCGCGTCTTGTTTGGACGCGTCGGTGGGGGCCCTCGCGTAAAGTGGTTTTCCGTTCTGTATATCTACCTGTGCCTTAGATTTCAGGTCGTCGAATCGATCTCTTGCAAGCATCTTTGTCGACACATATAGCGGCTGGTATGTGGCTTTTCACCAAATGATGTTGTCGATATCACGACCTGTCAGGTAAGGAGAAGCTCCGGTATGATCGGAACACGTCTTGGATCGTCAAACTGGACGCGACTTGATTCACACTGAGAGTCAATTATTTATTTTTGTGTCAAAGTAGGCATCGGCATACACGCATATGCTCTATTACTCACAACCTTTAAAGCATGGATGCAGTCTGATGATTCGAACGAGACCTGTGCAAATCAATACATACAGCACAGCGTGGACTCATAAAACAACAAGGAATACTGTAACAGGATATCTGTCTATTTGGAAACGCGGGCTATCATCCATTCCATCTTTCCTATGGCGTAAGTACATATAAGGCACACTGAACATTGGTGGTTTATTTTTGGAAGCACGACGTGAATAATGCTAGTAGCGGTATGTAAGTCATTATGCATGAACATGGCGCTTAGCTCGAGGTTCAAATCTCCAGACTGCTTGCGGCGATGGACGAATCATTGACCAATCTGTGTGCTTGATACTCAGACAACTGAGCCGCGGACGGCGATGCTGTTGTTGTATGAAACCCTGGTACCTCAAGTTTAGGCGGGTTTGCTGCTCGACTGCAACCAACGTTATAATGATCAACCGCTGGCAAGCGCACAAGAAAAATGCAGTCGTGTTTCACTGAGTATCTCCCTGACACTGCTCTGTGAAACACACAGTGCGCACTCAGCCTCACCTGTCGAGAGTTTGGACGGACCGCCCAAGGCCCAGCCATGCGGAGGCTGAGTGACCACGCACAAAGTGGCGTCAGGCTCGACTGTTATACGAGGAGGACACACGTATCCGTATTCTTCACGGGAGGGTAACGGTGACGGTGCGAATAGAGTCGAGAAGAGGTTGCGGTAGATGGTGAAGCCAATGGGAAAGCATCAGGAAATGAATACTGGACTCGTTAACTGGAGAAGAAGCTTGGTTTAGAAGAACAGACCATAGTATAATTATACCTAATTAGCTTGCATACCCGGCCTACCTACGACATCATGCTGTGTAGGGGGAGGGGGAGGGGGGGTGTGCAGAAGGTGGGTGGAGCGCAGTGAGAGATCATTGCTGCCACTTTACACGCGCCCGCCTGGGTCGGTCGCTGCTGCCCTAATTACTGCTTTATTACTGACCTGCCGAGCCATTCCGCCACCTTTCGAAGGACGAGGCCAGCATTAGATCGACCAAACCATCTGCATGACCACACGCTACACTCTGCCTCCCACTTCATCTTCACTCTGCCATATCCATAATATTATACGCTCTCTTCCCGCGTCGCGTCTGCGTAAAACGCCCTGGTCTTTCTTTGCTTCTTCGTCTTTTCTCTATGCCGAATAAGCACTCCCTTGCTGACCCCGGCCCAAGCTTCCAGCTCCGTCGCATTCCTGCGCCCGAAAAGGCTGATTGTGGCATAATTGTCTTTGCAGCTCCACCATAATAGCTCGCCAGTCATGTCCTACCAACCGAATCACCAGAGGCCCCAGCTGGGGGCCACCTTTGTTCCTGGTGGCATAGACGACTATTATATGCCTGTTGGATCTCCTGAGCTCGTCTCTCCTGCTCCTCAACGGTGTGCCCCTCCACCCAAAACCCTCTTATCATGGCCGCTATATTGATGCCTTCCTATAGAATCATGCCAGAGGTGCCTGAGCAGATGCAATACAACATTGCGCGCCTTGAGCTCGACGCCAACCAGTCTCCGCGTCAGACCAACCCTCCTCCCGTAAATTTCTCTCACCCCAATCAATACCACCAAGGTCAGAGCCCATATCATGACCAACAATCTCCTCCGCCGAGCACAACATATCCTCCACGGCAAGCGAGTCTTCAAACTACACGTACCTCTCCCATGCAAGCTCCTTCACAGCTCAGTCATGACTATCGCAACATGGCAGACATACCAGACATACCAAACTTCTCTGCCTTTCCACGTCTCGAGAACAGGCCTCCGCAGGTGCCACCTTCAGATGAAGAGAAAGAATCGATCCTGGACTCTGCGAGACTGCATGTGCTGAACTCGAATGACCCCGAAATGCAGTTGGCATGGGCTCAAGATGCTTTGGCCTATGTGGAAGCCGCTATGGTACATGAGGAGAGAGTGTCTGCAACTCAACCTGCGAGACCGGTGACACCAGCTGTGGAACACCAACTTCGCGTGGATGCTATGAGCATTGTAAATTTTCTTGCGGATCAGCACCATCCCAAAGCATCATTTCTGAGGGGTGTGTGGTTGGAATTTGGAAAGTTTGGGCTGAGGGTGGACAAAAGAGAGGCATTTCGAAGCTATTCTCGCGCAGCCGACAAGGGCTACTGGAGAGCAGAGTATCGGATTGGTACACAATTCGAACAGTCAAACGACGCCGTCAAAGCTCTCCAGCATTATAAGCGGGGCTCAGAAATGGGAGATTCAGCGTCCAACTACCGACTTGGCATGATGACTCTTCTAGGCCAGCACAGTCAACCACAGGATTTCGCGAGAGGTCTTCAGCTGATCAGACAAGCTGCTGCCGATGCTGATGAGAATGCTCCTCAAGGTGCATATGTGCTCGGCATGCTTCTGGCTCGAGAGCTGCCTCAGATCCAGATACCAGAGGTCATCCTACCTTACAACGAGAAGGAGGCGCGGATCAACATTGAGAGAGCAGCCTTCCTCGGGTTCTCAAAAGCCCAGCTGAAGATGGGATCAGCATATGAGCTTTGTACTTTAGGCTGCGAATTCAGCCCTAAACTGTCGCTTCACTACAACGCACTCGCGGCCCGCCAGGGTGAGCTAGAAGGCGACATGGCCATTAGCAAATGGTTCCTCTGCGGATATGAAGGCATGTTCCCGAAGAACGAGGAGCTAGCCTATGTGCACGCTCAGCGAGCTGCCCAGGGCGGCTTAGCTACGGCTGAATTTGCGATGGGCTACTTTAATGAGATCGGCATGCATGTACCAGTCAACATTGACAAAGCCCTCGAGTGGTATGAAAAGGCCGCCAACAGTGGAAACAAAGATGCAGAGGGTCGGATCGAGGGCATCTCGAAGTCTCGGACACTGTCGAAGAAGGATCACGAGGATGTCGCTATCAACATGATAAAATCCCAATACGGATCAAAGAGAGGTCAGCGGCCGGATCGTTTCAAGCAGAAAGAATCTACGTTACCCCCTGTGGGCGAAAATACCCCCACCGACTACAGTAATAACCAAAAACGATTTCCAGAACGAGGATCTTCCACAACCCCGTATCCCATGACTGACAGACCTCCTGTGGTGGCACCATTCGACCGTCCCGCTACAACCGCTCCGTATCCACTTGCTGATCTGCCTTCAGCAGGTGGTGACCGTCCAGGTCCAGGTCTGGGAGGCCACCTTAATCCTGACTTCCGCTCGCAATCTGCAGCACCTGCTCCAGTCAAAAGACCAGGTTCGGCATTCCAGGTCAACCCAAATATATACCAGCAGAGTGGCCCACCACCGGCTGGGGGCCGCCAACAAATACCAATGCGGCCGAATACGGCAATGGACTATGGCGGGGGACGAGGAGGTCGGCCTCCAAACGATCGTATGTCTAATGGTCCTCAGTTTGGTGGTTACGGGGGACCAGGCCCTCGACCAGGCGGGGGGCCTCCGGGTAGGGGTGGACCAGGACCAGGACCAGGGCCAAATCAAGGGCCGCCAAAGTCTGACCTACCGCCTCTAGACATTGGCTATCAGGCGCCGCTTGAGAGCAAACAACAGCAGCGCCCTAACGGCAACGGCTTTCAAAGACCTGGCGACCGTCCTCCATCTGCGCGTCCTGGCCCAGCGCCTAATCGATCTGATACTGGGCATATGTCCCCTCATACTTCATCGGGTGCGCCACCACCGCGGAAAGATTCTGTTAAACCACCTGGAGCACAAACAAGGCCTCAGCCGGGTAGACAACAGAATGGACCGCAGACGCCGATCAGTGGAAAGCCTTCACCAGGCGGGAATCCACCGACACAAGCACCTCCGAGCAAGCCTGCTGCTCCATCTGGTGGTGGTGGTGGTGGTGCTGGCTCTGGTAAGGGACCGAAGACATTCGATGAAATGGGTGTTCCAAAGACGAAGGAGCAGGGTGATTGCGTGAGTTACATCGTACTATACCTAACCGTCCTCGATATACTAACGAGTTTCAAGATATTAATGTGAGCGCGAACTACTTTTTTCGAACAGTGGATCGCTTATCATTAGGGTGGGCATGTATAGCATATGGAGCGACTGCAGGAGTGCGTTTTGCATAGCGTAAGCTTTGGGATTGGGGCTTGGTTTTTTAGCGGTTGGAAATAGGAGCATAGGCTGCGCTCGGAGTGACGAGAACCACGAGATATATCGCGAGGTAGGAGTTTGTTGGATAATGTATTGGAGAATACCCGATTCTGCTCCTAGTTGGGCGGCAATATACTTGGCATCTGAAATCACTGTATGCACTGGTGATTATCCAAGATGAAGAATCATTACAGAATTGTCTCAGTAAACTTGTAATCGAAATTATGAAATCGGGAAGTTAGCTGAGAGTGCGCAGTCTGGTACATATCTTTCCCATACATATCCTGTCACTTGAATCCGAGGTGTGAAAAGGCGAATGCCAAGCTTTTGTGAAGCTCTACCAACTTCGTCGGAACCTCACTTTTTGACCTCTGTCTGAGCTTCACCATCGACATCTACCCAATACCACCCTCAAGTCATGGCTTCTCGATACGCTATGAGGCAGCTCCACGCCTCTCGTATCAGCAAACAAAACGTATGACCCTTCGACATCCGCCCAGCCCATTCAATTGACTTTAACATCACTTCCCAGGCCCTGCTCCTCACCAGCGCGCTCGCAACTGGAACGGCAATTACAATGACCACTTGGGCGATGCCATCTCGTGAACTCTACGCCGAAGAGCACCCCAGCTCGGAGTCATCAGACGTATGTCCCCGACTACTACATCACGCCCAAAAAAGATACATCAACTGACCATCCCCGAACAGATATCCCGCAAACCCATCTACGACGATCTCCCCCTTTCCATCCCCTCACCCGCCGCCGTGGCCGCAGCACCCGCCGTAAACACCCCGGATACACCCAAAACCGCTCCCACAGCCCGCACCGCGCCCACGCCTACCGACCGCCTCGCATCCCAGATCCGCCGCGCCCGCCTCGCAGCCCACGCCTCCGCACAACGCACCGAAGACGCCCTCGACGACGCGCTGAGCTCTGCCATGAACACGGAGCGCAGCGTCGCAGGCACAATCGCCTCGCTCGCGCCGCCCAAGGGCTCGGGCGAACGCCTCCTGCCCGGCAGCATCTACGTGCTTGTGGCGGCCATGGCGGGCAGCATCGTCAGCCGGAACAGAAATATCCTGCTTCGCTTCAGTGTCCCAGCTGCGGTGGGCTTGGGTGCTGCGTATACGATTCTGCCGCTGACGATGCGTAATGTGGGCGATTTGGTGTGGAGCTGGGAGGAGAAATACCCGGAGTTGGCGAGGCGGCATGTGCAGGTCAAGGAGCGCGTAGAGCGCGTGTGGGAGACGGGTAAGGCGCATAGTCAGATGACGGTGGGGATGGTGGAGGAGAAGGTTGGTGAGGCGAGGGGTGCGGTGGAAGGGTGGGTCAAGAAGGGGAGGTAGATGGTAGATGTGAGGCTTGCGGGAGGATAGATGGGACTGTAATTATATGCTGTAACTGCGCAGCAGTTCACGTAGATGGTGATGCAAAAGTAGACAATGAGTGTGGCAGTTTACTTAGAAGTGGGCATTGCGAAAAATCCTAGATCTCCTTGCGTCTCCAACAGTTCTTCACGTGCACAATTGTTTTGGCCTCCTTCGAGTATCTCATAGGTTGTATAAGTAGATAGATCGCGACATGTCACAATCATCGTAGAACAGTCTTAACTGTGGAGACTCTTGTCTTTGGAAAGGAACTGTGATATGGCAGTGGGGAACGGAGACTGGGTATGCATCATCTGGAATGAGAAGAGCGTCCCTTGCGAGCGCTTTTGGGTATGTAGTTGTATGGTATATATAGGCGTGCGCATTTTGGTGACTGATGTTCGTCGCTGCTTTACCTGCCTGCCCATAGATCGATGAAAGTGAGCAATGCGCAAGCGAGTAGATCAGTATGTATGTGTAGTTGGCGAGTGGCAGGCAGTACAAAAAATCACTATGCCTTGCGGACGGCAGTATACAGTGTCTTTGTACCACCAATATTACACTGACATCTGATACGTGATATCATTCAAATCTCGTATTCCTCAGTACGTGAGTGTATAAGCTACTCTACTCAGGACCTCCAGGCCCAGTTTCACGGCCCATCTGCCTAGCCTTCAACATCTCGTCACAGAGCAGCAGATTGCTCGCGATGCCTGTACTGCTTGCGACGCAATTCCTCAGCACGCGGAACGAGTCATACACACCCTCTTGTGTGGGATCCATCGGGTCGCCCGTCGTCAGGTTCAAGCCCACCGTGTTGCCCTCGGCATGCTCATCCTGCAGATCTGCAATGGCGTCCTGGATATCGTGGCCGGAATTCGCGGCCAGGGTCTTGGGGATGACGAGGAGGGCATCGGCGAATGCGTCGACGCCCCATTTTGCCTTGCCCTTGACACTCTTGCGGAAGGCTTCGGAGGTGAGATGGGCTGCACATGCGATTTGGAATGCACCTCCGCCAGGCACAACGGACTTGTCGACAATCATGTTGTACACTGAGCGCAGGCCATCGCGGACGGCGTCTTTGATCTGGGTGATTGTGTGTGCGTTCGGACCCTTGATCAGGAGAGTCACAGATTTCGCTTCCTTGACGTCTTCGATGAACGTGTACTTCTCCTCTCCGAGTTGGTGCTCGTACACGTGGCCTGCCCAGCCAAGAACCTCAGGACTGAGGTCCTCGACGCTGTTTTGTGCCGTGCCACCACAGACGAGTTGGAGACGCTCCATGTTACGGCGCTTGGCGCGACGAAGCGCGAAGATGCCATTCTTGACAAGCACGTCAAGACTCAAGGGGTCGATACCTTTCTGGTTGACGATCACAAAGCCCTTGGAGGGATCAGTGCCGCACACTTCTTTTTTGAGCTCGACGATCTTGCGGAGTTTGTCGTCGACGAAACGGCGTTCACTCTCGACGAGCTTCTCGCGTTGTTGTGCGCTGGAATAGTAAAAGCCAGAATTGATCTCAGACTTCTCGTACTCTAAACTGACGTTGAGAGTTAGGATGTGAGCGTTCTTCACATCTTTCGGCATGTCGGGGTGGCGCGCTCCGTGGTCCAGAGCAAGACCGCGTATCAGTTGGGTATCAGCAGCAGTGCGATGTTGCATGGTCATGATCTCGATCATGTGTAAATCCGGCTTTGCCTCTCCGTTATAAATTGCCAGCACTGCATCCACAATATCTGGCGTGAGTTGTTCGGCGAGGGTGCTGTTGAGCTTCGTTGACAGAGATGTTCTTGCTACTGAAAGCAAGAGCTCGCGATCTACCTCTTTCTCAAGCTTGAATCCATCAAGGAATTTGAGCGCTTCGGTCTTGGCCAGTTCGAAACCGTCTGTTATAACGCGGGGATGCAGTCCTTCTGATATGTACCGATTCGCCTGTTTGAGCAGTTCTCCAATCATAAGCACACATGATGTTGTGCCATCACCCGTAATCTCGTCTTGCGCGGTTGCTGCTCTTGCGATCATGACCTTCATACGTTCAGTAGCTGGATGTGGATTCAAACGGCCAAGGGACATACCGCTGTGGGATTTTGTATCTGCATCTCTTTCAAAAGTACACTTCCATCTTTTGTGAGCTTGATTTGACCTGACCCATCCACGAGCATCTTTAAGGTTCCTCGCGGTCCTAAATTTGACGCCAGGACCTGACTGCTGTATTAGTAGTGGTCGCATAAATTCTATGAAACTGCACATACTCCTTGCAGACCCTCTCCGGCGGATATGTTGACCGACAAAGCTTCACCGCGCCGCTGCCAGCTTGTCAGTACATGCTACATCGAGCTCTCGTGCAAGTCAACATACCCTTGACTCGGCCTTTGGGTTGAGAAGTTGTGCTGCAGACATGTTGAATATTGTGTGTTCAACGGTTCAACTTTAGGATATTAAAACCAGATACAGCCCAATTACGCTGTGAATCGTGGAGTTGGCGAGCTTCTACCGACACTGACTGCCTGGTCGCGTCTCTGATATTTTCATGATGCTCCTCCCACGCCGGAGAGGGACCGTGCCAAGACGCTAACGCCTGAGCTTTTTGCTTCATATTTTCGGCGTGGGCATCTTGAAAAAAATAGAGCTCCCATATCATTGCGCCAGACAACAACTCCTGCATAGGTGCAACGCACCACTTATCGTCTTAAGAACCTTTACCAAACCGCAGACCTGATATGTCTGTCAACTACATTCTCGATGACTCGGCCGTGGGCTTCTCGGTATGTTTCACATACGTGCGACTGCGCGCATAGCTAACAACATCTAGGTGTACAAGGTTGTGATGCAGCCCGACACCATTGGCTCTCGGTTGAAGGAAGTCCAGAAGAGTGTTACTGATCTTGCCAAGTTCGGTATGTCTGTCGACAATAATCTTTCGCCCGTTGCGAGCGCGAGTTGACAGTATTGTAGGAAAACTGGTTGAGCTCGTCACTTTTGTTCCGTTCCAGAGCACCCAGCATGCCCTCGAAAATCAAAACGTCTTATCTGAGGGAATATTGTCCGACTACCTCAAGGCTACTTTGGAAAGTGCACTCCCAAAGGCGGGCAAGAAGAACAAGATCACCTTGGGCCTGCTCGACAAGACACTGGCTGGAAGTATCAAGGAAGAATTCCCCGGAGTCAACTGCGAAACTGCGGATACCAGTGAAGTTGTTGCGGATCTGCTCCGTGGAGCTCGTGAGCACGGATCGAAGCTGGTCAAGAAGCTGAATGAGGGGGATCTCGAGCGCTCGCAACTCGGTCTCGGCCACGCGTACTCGAGAGCCAAAGTGAAGTTCAGCGTACAGAAGAACGATAACCACATTATGCAAGCGATTGCGACTCTGGATCAGCTCGACAAAGCATGTAACACTTTCGGCATGCGAGTTCGCGAGTGGTACGGATGGCACTTTCCTGAATTAATCAGGATCGTTTCGGAGAACCAGGCCTACGCCCAGCTTGTCTTACATATTGGTAACAAGTCGACTCTTTCAATGGACAGTCTTCATGAGCTTGCAGCTCAAGTGAACGATGACGAATCCATTGCTACCGATATCATCAACGCCGCACGCGTGAGCATGGGTCGGGATCTGTCAGAGGGTGATATGGAACACCTCATGCTGTTTGCGAACCGCGCCGTCAAGCTCTATGCATACCGCAAGAGACTAGCTCTGTATCTTGGCAAGAAGATGGGCATCGTTGCACCAAACTTAAAGGCACTTATGGGTGAGATCATCGGTGCCCGTCTGATCTCCAAGGCCGGAAGTTTGACGAATCTGTCGAAGATGCCTGCCTCAACCGTACAAATTCTTGGTGCCGAGAAGGCTCTTTTCCGCGCCCTCAAGACCAAGGGCAACACCCCCAAGTACGGTATCATTTACCACTCTTCATTCATCGGCCGAACTGGCACCAAAAACAAGGGTCGGATCTCGAGATACATTGCCAACAAGTGCGCAATGGCTTCGCGTATCGATAACTTCTCTGAGTTTCCTAGCTCTAAGTTCGGAGAAGCCCTGAAGGCACAGGTAGAGGACCGCATGGAGTTCTATACTACTGGAAAGGCACCTATCAAGAACTCGTTGGTCATGGTAAGAACTTCAATTTGACTTGGAACCCAAGAACAAAATTAACTCGATGCAGGCACAAGCAATGGACGCAGTTCTAGGGGACATTAACGTTGAGGACCCAACAGCCGGCGGCGTAGAGGATGTCGAGATGGTTGACGGGGTTACATCTGGTCCTCTTGAACAGGAACGCCGCAAGAAGAAGGACAAGTCAGAGAAGAAGGATAAGTCAGAGAAGAAAGATAAGAAGAAGAAGAGAAAGTCTGAGGGTGGCGAGGAGATCGAGAAGAAGAAAAAGAAGAAGTCCAGAGATTCGATATAAAAACTCTTTCTGAATTATTTCTTACGACGGCGCATTTGGGTGCACATCTGGCTAGGCGTAGAAAGGCGTTTTGACATAAGGGCACGGTCTGTACAAGATGAATGGTTATGTTTGTTTTCTATCCATGGTCTTGTTCGACATGAAGTAGTCCAGTGGGAATGGGCATCGTATCTCATGTAGGAGAGATTTGATAAGTCGAGTCCAAGCCTTCGATATTTTCCGTTCCGCTTGTCAACAAATAATCTCAATACAACTCCGCCATACTCATTTGCACATATCCCCTTGCCGTCACACTCTCGTATTTCTTTGGGTTGCTCTCACTCCAACACCCCGGGAGCGCCTCGATCACGGTATCATCATTCGCCGTAGCAAAAAATGGTATCGAATATCGCGGCGCACACATGTCTTCTTCCGCACTCCCCTCCACAACGGGCGGCACCCCGACCCTGTGCACCGTACTCTTCCACCGATCATTGCTCCACCGCGCAAGCAGATCCCCCACATTCACCAACACACTCTCGCCCCTCTCGCCCTGCGCTCCCGGAACCCCAATAAACGTACCCGACCCAGGCGGAGACTCAACCTCCAGCCCACCAACCTCATCCTGAAACAGCAGCGTCAGCGTACCAAAGTCGCTATGCGCACCAATCCGCGTAGCCTCATTACGCTGCAGCACACGCCTAGCCACAGCGGGATAGTGCAGCAGACGCAGCTGGAACAGACTCTCACTATGCGTGGCGCTCAAGTCGGAGTCCATGTCGAGGGCGAGCGACAGCGCGGTGAGCAAGATGTGCACGAACGCCGCGCAGGACGTGAAGAAGGACTCCATGAAGGGCTGGAAGCCTGGGATTAAGTCGGCGGGAGGCCAGATGTTGGGCTGTGCGGCGTCGAGTGGGTTTCCGGATTCGTAGGATTCTTTGGTGTCCGGGATGCTGGTTAAGTGTTCAGTGCTGAGGGCGGAGTAGCCGCGGTGGTGGGCGCCGCCTGGGGGGTGTGGGCAGAGCATTTTGGATTCGAGGGGTAGGGAGAAGAATGTCTTGGACTGTGGCGAGGTGGGTGTGAGTAAAGGGAGATGGAGATGGGATAGTAGAGGGTGTGAGAAGTGGTGTAGGGTTTATTAAGGTTCGAGGGTGACAATGATTAGTGCGTAGTGCGGTGGTTTGATATAGGGATATTATGAACGAGAGGAGAAGGAAACACACCCAGTCGAAGCATTTCTGTACCATGTCCTTGGGTACACTGTGGTTTGTAAGTTTGACGAAGCCGATGTTGCGGAATGCGTCGTCAATCTGCACCGCAACTTCTTTCTTCTCCGATGGGCTGCCATGGATAAATTTGCCGAAGTCGACGGTGGGTACAGTTGGAGACATGGCGATGTTGACTTTGAGCTGGATGAAGTTGAGTAGAAACTTTAGGTTAAGAATGACAGAATGAAGTGAAAACCCAGACAGCTAGATGGCGGGGTAGGTAGTAGGTAGACATAGGAAGGTAGGCAAGAGATGGGATACACCGCATATTTGAAGTATCTCAGGCGTCCTGCCTAATACATGGAATGAAGGATGGATGGACGTTGAATCATAGTGTGAGCCCTGTTTTTAGTGTCCACGGCTGCAGGCTTGGTGGCAGGGTTGATGATTGTTCAGCAAGTGAGGTAATCACTACTGAACAAGTCAGGGACTATATATGGCTAGAGATGATGATCTTTGGGGGCCTGTTTGATCGTGACATAAGAACTAGCGCACATCATTTGTTTGATGATACTGATATCTGTCATGTAATCTTTGGGTACATCTGATATATTGGATGTGGCTCAGGCTTCCTATACACATCAATCGTCTCTTTCGTAGTACATGAATATGATAAAGCTGTGGCTACCTCTCCGCTTTACGATGCTTCGCCAAAGTCGTAATGGCCTGTCTCATTTGCATGCGCTACAGCTCCTTTCTCACCCTTCCCTTTCCATCCACACTTATTACATTTAATGTCGAAGCCGCCAGTATCAGTGAAATAATGCTTGCCTTGGAGAATCTTACAAAGGTCTCTCGCTTTTTCCAGTACCTCCTCATCCCAAGTACCGAAAAGCTTAATATCAACATCAGCAGGCATGTCGGCCCTCGTGTGCGGCGGATCACTCGGACTCATAGCGATGGTATCATAATGAATTCCGGAGTAGACGAGGATGATACGGTTATCCTTGCCCTCATTGAATCGATCCACGCGCAAGTCTTGCACGCTGATACTGCATATCTCGATATCGAAATTCTGCGCTAGAATGCCAAGTTCGATCGCACCTCCCCAGCTATCCTCCCGCTGAATCCACTTGCAGTACTCATCAGGTGATTTTTGTAATACGGCGGCGCTGTAGAGATCGGGATTGGCTTGGATGCCTTGCGCAACTGCGGAGCGGAGTTCTGTCATGACGTCTAAACTATCAGAGAGTACGGCGGAGCCAACAGCACGGAACATGCAGCTGTTGTCGTCTGGCATGACTCGGAGCACCATGGTCGCTTGGTGTGACGGAATAGGAACCTCTGGCGGATCTGATTCGAGGTCACGGGGCGATCTAGATAGAGAGAGTGGTTGTTGAGCAGAGCCCTGGGACGAAGTTTTGCTTTGACGAGCGGGTTGCTGTGATGAGAGAGTCGGAGGGGCAGCATGAAGAGGATGAGACATTTGAGCTTGAACGTCTCGAGATAAGACGATAAGTTGTTCGCCATTTAGCTTAAGACCGGTATCTTTGAGTGACAGCGAGGAATCGAAAGACGTGAGATCCAAGGGCTGGGGTGGAAACCCTGACTTGAGATCGAATGAGGGCAGAGATGTCTCTTTTGATATTGCGGATGTCAGATCTGCGACAGTGGCATCGTCGGCCACAGTTATGATAGAGACACCGGATGGCGCTCGCAATCTGATTCTCATTTTATGAATGAAGGTGTGCTGTCAGTGTGGAAAATTATGCTGTATCGAAGTTCCAGTCTTGTGATACCGATATAGACAGATAATAGCTTAGAGGGTGGCGCTGTTGCTAACGTGCGTTTATTCTGTCTCTAACGGCTCCTAACTCTTAAAAGTAGTCAGTCGCAGATTCCATGGATCAATCCCCAGGCAACTTCTTGTGAAGCGAGCAAAAATCGTTGATGGTAGTCGATGGTGTTGTCTGAAGGACTATTGCATAGTCCATAGACCAATTCATCATTATTCTAGGATGCTTAGCGTGCATTCCGTTACCCGCAGGCCCAAAGAGAAATGCAGGTGTATCGTGAATAAAATATTCGCAGAACCTCATCATTTCCAGAGGATCTCTAGGGGGACCTAAGTTACACAGAGTATGGTAAAACAGGGAAACCCAAATTCATTTGCGTTACTTTCGTGGCATCTTGAGTGATAATAATGCAACCAATCAAGTTTGGCCTTGGCATATTCCACTCCAAAGCCGTCCGGCTTGCGGCGCGTCGCGTTTTAGTAACCATCTTCGAACTTCTCATTCGTAGCAGCTTCTCCCATCGCAGTGCTTGCGCATATTCGACTGCGTGTCGCAACATCACTAGACACTATGGCAGCCGAACGCGCACCCAGCGACACTCCTTTGCCTACGACCGAGACCGTGGAGCCGACATCTCAGTCCGATGCAGCCCCCTCGACGGTCTCAGACGAAGAATGGCAAGCCATGCAATCGGTTTTGCAGTACATCTACGACTATAGACAAGAGTAAGCTCCCAAATCTATTCTGTGGTCTTGACGTCCTGATCTCTTTGCAGTGGTGAAGATCCCTCGAAGTGGTTCCAGCGCAAGGTCAACAAGCGCAATGTTCCGGACTACTACCTCGTCATCCAAGAGCCAATGGCGCTTAGTGTGATTAAAGGCAAGATCAACAACAAGGAATACAAGAACTTCGCCGAGTTTGTCAGGGATTTTGCTTTGATCCCCTTCAATGCGCAGGTCTACAACATTCCGAACTCTGGCCCCTACCAGGATGCGCTCATAATAAAAAATGTTCTCGAGGCTCAACTGCAGAAGTTAGTCGAACAGAAGATCATCACCGAGGAGGTTGCAACACTTCCGTATCTCGGCGAGATTCCCACTCACGACGAGGTGGCTGATGGCGAAGAGGAAGATGAGGAGGAAGATGATGAGGACGAGGACGAGAAAGAAGAAGACGAAGATGCCGACGAATCTGACGAAGAGGGTGGGAGACGCAAAAAGCGGAAAGGCGCCAGGACATCGACGGCCATAGCCAAGCGCGAGGCAGATGTCAAAGCTGACGCCGCAGAAAAGGCTGCCGCAGAGGCAGAATCTCGAAAGAAGCGTGGCCGGCCACCACGGGTGGATACTCCCATGGAAGCCAGGATCAAGAATATCATGAAAGCAATGCGCAAACCGAAGAACTCGCAATCGCAGCTCATGATCAGCGCCTTTGAACGACTGCCCGATAAGACCACGATGCCCGAGTACTATGTCGAAATAAAAGTCCCTATGGCCATGGACGTACTAAAGAAAAAATTGAAGCGTAAGAAGTATACCTCTGTCGACCAGTTCATGAAGGATGTTGAGATTATGTTCGAAAATGCCAAAAGCTACAACAAGGATGATAGTCAGATATATCAGGATGCCATTCATCTCCAGAAGGAGGCTCGAGACTCGGCAGCGGCCGAGAAGCAGAAGGCTGACACGGAGTTCGTTATGGAAGATGGTCGACTACCTATGCCAAACGGCATTTTGCACAACGGAGAGCTCTGGAAGGTTGGCGACTGGGTCCATATCCAAAACGCAAACGACGTGACCAAGCCGATTGTCGCACAAGTATACAGGACGTGGCAAGATCAAGAAGGCGCTAAATGGGTCAATGCATGTTGGTACTACCGCCCCGAGCAGACTATCCATCGCTTTGACCGTCACTTTCTGGAGAATGAGGTGGTCAAGACCGGCCAGTATCGCGACCACCCTATAGAAGAGGTGGTTGACAGATGCTTCGTCATGTTCGTCACACGGTATAATAAAGGCCGTCCACGTAACTTTCCTGCAGACAAAGAGATATATGTTTGTGAGGCTCGGTACAACGAAGAAAAGCATAAGCTCAATAAGATCAAGACTTGGGCCAGCTGCCTGCCGGACGAGGTCAGGGAAAAGGACTATGAGATGGATTTGTTCGATGTACCCAAAAAGATGAAAAAGAACCCAAGTCCAATTGCATATCTACTCGCGGACGACGCGAAAGAGACAGACGATCTTCCTAAACCTCAATGGGGCGCTGAAAACGCGCCTCCAAAGATTGGTGCGGTTCACAACCGCCCGCGAGATCCAAAGGTAAGGATTTGTTTTTGTTGTGCATTGTTCACCTGGGAACAACACCGCTGACATGATACGCAGGACTCACCACCTCCGGAGCCCACTCCAACTCCACCACCTCAACCTCCACCGCCCCCTCCACGACAGATCTCAAACGTGCCAGCGCCACAACAAGACGGCTACTCGAATCAGTCGCGGCGAGATTACAACATGAATATATCTCAAACCCCAATACCGGCGCCTACGCCTACCCCAAACCACCACCCACAGCCTGCGTACACACCGTCGCATCATCAGCATACCTACAGCCAGAACGCTGCATCTCCAGCACAGCACATGCCGCAACATCCCTCTCCCAGTCAACCACCTCCCGTCTTCCCACAATTGACCCCCCACATAAATTATGCGCACCAGCCAGCTCCTATGCCACACCATTCACATGCCACATCTCATACACCCAGCGTCTACCAACAACGTTCGACCGGTCCGCCTCAGAGCATGCACAGTTACCAAGCGCCCAAAGCCCCAGAGGTCTGGACTCTCGACACCCACGCAAACCTAACCATCCCACCAGAGATCCGCGAGCAGTTCCAGCGCGACGCACAGGGCCGTGTCCTGTTCTTCACCGTGCCGCCACTCGACGTTATGCAACCAGAAAAGCACGGTGCAGCCCTCGGGCATTCAGCGAGGTATCTTGCCGCAAAGGCGAAGCGTGAGCAAGTGCTTAGTGAGAAGCGCAAGCGAGACGCAGAAGCAGCGAAGGAAACCGAGCACGAACGCAAGAAGGCGAAGCTAGAGGCGGAGAGCAAGGCGCTGCGCGACGTGACTGCGAAGGCCAAGACTGTATTGAGTGCAATCGAGACCGAGCTTGCAGTACAGACCAGGAAACAGTACGAGGAACTGTATGGTGCAGAAAGGTTTCAGGCTGCATTGGACGTCGGGTTGCAGAGGATGGCGGAGAGGCAGAGGGATCAGGCGGTACTAGAGCGCGCTGTTACGGGAAGATTGGAGAAGGAGAGAGAGGCAGATGAAAACAGTAGGAGAGTGAGAGGGCTTACGACGGCATTGGTTGATGGAACGTGATGTCTCCCATCTATTACGGACTATGTACCAGGTTTAGCAGGTCGGCGTTGGCGTTCAAATCACAGACCAGGCCCACAGGATCAGTGGCCCTTTAGCTGGCGTTAAAGTCATACATTATGATGACTCGTAAAACGTGCCTGCCATTTCAACGCTCATGATCAATGTAGTTGTGCTCATTGTGGTGCCTAAAGTTATCTTGTTCGTGATCGTAGTAGTTATGGTCCGGGTGGTTGTGATCGATGTTGGCATCGTCTTGCCTGTGTGTCTACCATGCATTCAGCCTTCATCTCTCTAGAACATATGTCGAGTGCTCTGATGTAAATGATTCATGTTCGCGTGAGAGGCGTGAGCTACTGTGTCTTGGCCGCTGAAGTGATGGTCCGTCATAGTAGATCTAGAAGACATTGGAATATCATGTAACGTTTTCGTGGACGACGAACGATATCTACAGCCACTTTGAATGAGAAGGATAGATCCAAGGGTCGGAAAGAGACACGCCTGCGTTAGGTCGCATAAAGGTGGTGTTGCTCTTGGCATTTTGCTCACGCGTTACTGGTCCTGAGACACAAGACAGACGCGTAGAATGATAAGACGTCTGTATTGTCTTCTCCAAGTCTCGTCCAGACGAGATCAGAGACGACTCAGCCGTCGAGGTGCAACGCTAAACTAGAATCATGTCCTAGTATCGTGTATAAGACGCAATGCGGAGCCATGGCTGCTATATATATCGTTTCATCGTCTAACCCTTGTGTCGCCCTGTCGAACGCCGTGTCATACTGCTGCGTGGAACACCGTGACAAACCACAATGTATTTTTCTCCAAGCAGAGAGTCACTTGACGTCTCCAGCGACCCCTCCACTTTCACAGACCTCCTTGCGCGGCAGCATTTTCCTTAGCGCTTCTTTCTGCCATTTTTCGCCCTTTCCTGCCCTCGAATCCAAGAAATATTGGATACTCTCCTCCGTATCCCCAGCCGCCCTTCCCGCCTCTCTTACATGCCGCAAATCCTTCGCGCTCTCCCGATTGACCCGTTCCTGAAGGTCCTCCCACTTTTCCGCCGCAACCTCGATGCGCTGGTTCTGCAAACTTGCCCCGACTGCCGTCAAGCACAAAACGAACATCACCATCGTGCCGTTGCTCACATAAATCGGCTTCTGTGTATGTCCGTCTGGATTGACCCGCTTGCGCCACGCCTCCCAATCCTCCCACGTCGCGTTACCCATGGGAGACTCGCCGGGCCGCCATCTCTCTCGCTGTGCCTTGTAGGATGAATCCATGTGAGAGTCGTATGGGTAGTACCAGCTTGACTTGCCGGTCGTGGATGACGAGGAGCCGAGCGTGCTGGAGGCAGACCAGCCGGCCCCGAAGCGGTCATACGCAGAGCGACGCACAGGGTCAGAGAGAATGGTGTGGGCGGCTATGATGAGGCGGTAGCGTTCGGCGAGGATATGTGGAGGGAGGGCACGGATGCGTGAGTCTGCTTTAGCAAGGTCGGGGTGGTAGAGCTTTACGAGCTGGTAGAAGGGTGTTTTGGAGTACCGATCGGATGGTTTATGGTGGAGGATCTGGTAGGGGGTGGGTGTACGATGGGGAGGCTCAGGAACAGGCCATGAGTATAGGTCTTCGTGCGGCTTGGAGTGAACTTGAGCGTAGGTACGGCGGCGAGGACGTATGCTTTCCCGCGTAGCGTCTATGACGCTGATCTTGGGCGAGGTGGTGCTGCATTGCAGGCAGTTGAAAGGGAAGGTAAGGACTGGACCCCTCAGCTGCATCATGTTGGATGATTGAGATTGTGAGATGCCTGGCAGTGATGCCTCATCGCGAAGCGGAGGAGTGAAGGTTTCTTGAGGCCATGATGGTGTCGTCTTCTATATAACCGCGTATTCAAGCCCGAGGGAGCCATCAAATTAGTGGGGTTGCTTCGAGATCCGAACAATCGCCGATATCGGCCACTGTGATTGAGCTTGTTTGCGCAGGATAGTGTTTGCAAGTACTATCGCATAAATGTATCAACCCACTCTAACATCAGACCTGGGCCTCACACATCCCAATGAGATGAACACTTGATCAGAAGCATGCACTCTCCATCTCATATTAGACCTATAACGTCTTCAGATATAATCTCTAGAAATCATCTGTAGAAATCCCTTCCGTTGTTGGTGAAGAGATGCAGCGATCAAATCAACGTCCTCGCCGCCGGCCCCTTGGGACTGACGCACTACCAGATTGTCCCTGCCTCCTGAGAACCTGAGGGATATGGTGTGGCGAAGGGCAATATGGCTCTTTTTCGCTCATATACTATTCAATAGGAGCCATGGCTTTCATAGCACTCTTGGGGAAACCTACAAACATTTAACCTGATTTCCGACTCGTGAAAGCTGTTCGCACCTTTTATGCTCTCAAAAATGCTCGCGCCATGGGCTAGTCAGGCCAGGTCTTACCTTTTCATCGCCCGTATACATCAGCTGTGCCATCACCCGGGACACATCCTTACTCGAACAATACAGCAACTTGATCACTATAGACCAAATTTACCCTTAACAGCTATAGGCGATTAGTTTCATGCTAAGCAGCCCTGCAAATGATGTTACATACCTCCCATGATCATGTTTCGCTTCTGTTTCTGCACAAACTTGCCTACATCATCTGCCCATCCTTGACTGGCGTTTCCAAGCTGGTCCATCGAGTCGCCTACAATGTTCAATCTTTCGGCTCTCTCGTTGAGCTGACGTTGCATGTATGCCCAATACCCCTCATCACTAGAGGCTGTGGCTGCGGCTGGCCGTTTCAGCGCTCTCTCGGCTTGCATGCGTTCACGGTCTTCAGCACGAGCCTGCATGATCATTTTCTTGGATGGTGGTCGATCGGGCCCCCCGATCAGTAAGTCCAGGTCCAGTGGTGTCACATATTGGGTCCCGGACATCCATTGAAAGTTCGAGATGGTTGGTCGAGGCGGAAACATCAACTCGGGATTGAACAACCCATCGCGAGCCTTGTTAAGGTCCAGTCCAGCGCCCCAGAGATTGACCAGTGCCATCTCAGATGGTCCAGTCCAACCTAGGATATCTGCAGTCGCAGTGATGATAGCGTCTTGGAAGCGACGGATGTCAAAAATATGGTCGATTCTCACAGCCGCAATTTCTTTCAAGGCAGGGAGTGAATATACTCTTGCATATCCATCACCGTAAAGACCCATGAGAGCGTAGCCGGCATCTTGGTAGCGGACCACGGTAGCAGAGTCACAAAAGAATTCATCCCATGTCTTGTGTGCTCCTTTATTTGTCGCGGGCTTGAATACTCTTGCACCGGTCTGCGACACCGCTACTATCACGCCGCTTGTCTTGAACCCCGTCCGGAGCCCGGCGACCGCATTTTGAGTTGCAAAGGCAGCATTACCTGTGCCTGAATTGATAGGGTGTATAGTAATGATGCGGTCATCAACACTGACCGAGCCAGCGTATTTCACCGTGTAGATACCTCCACTTCCTGGTAGTATTTTGAATGTTGCAACGTGACCATTGCTCGTGCCAACATGCATCAATATGCTTGAATAATCTGAAATAATCAATGTGAAGCCATAGAAGCTTATCGACTAACTCACCGTCGCCTTCAGCTGTCATGACGCTGAACTCTATCGCTGTTGGATATGCTGATGATGGATTTTTGTCCTGGCTTCTTCGCTTGAAACTACCACCTTTGTTATCCTTTATAAACTCTGTGACGCTAGTATTGTATATTATTGCAGGTCCTCGCATGTCTATGACAGACAGACTGCCGCCTTGAAATCCAGCCGCCAAGAATCCTACGTCTGACATGTTTAACGCACTGACCGGGCCATTCTGTTCGTCTAGGAGCGTGTAAGGATGAAACCCCTCGGATAGAGCTGGGTCTTTCCGGTCTGTAATATCAGTGAGCTCCCGTATTGCATTCTTTCTATTGGTGCGAGGTTCTACACCGGGTGATCTGTTAGTTGCCCATCGGAACACTACTACCTCACCACTTTCTAGACCAGTGGCAAGTTCAGCACTTGCACCGGACAAGGAAATCTTCGATACCTTAACGCCATCAAGACGGCCCAGTGCCCGACCTACGTCAGCTTGTAGCAGTGTATCGTTCTCGATCTCGTCTCCATGACCAACATCCCACATTCGGATCGTCCCGTCTACATGCGCTGTCTGTATGACGTTACGATTCTCGAATCGTTTCGGCACATGCCGTTCCTCAAAACCACCACGAAGAATTGGCGGCCCATGCTGTCTTCTTTCGGTCAATCCCAGCCAGCGAGTCCGATCCATTGGCGATAGACTGAAATTCGAGATATATGGGTGAACGAAGGTCATAGAAGGATGTAAATGATTTGTGGGGTTGATTGGAATACCGCTGGGGAAGCTAAGCGTAATGATTTCTCCAGAAGACAAGATTGCGAGCACAGCTATCGGATCGTGTGCACCGGCGAAATGTGGCGACGTACGTGGAATCAGACAAAAATCCACAACTTCAGCATTAGGAGGAGACGGAAGGATTCGTTGTCGCTTGGGGTCTGCGAGATGGCCTGATAGAATTTGCCAGGAAGAGGTAGCATAGTTCGGAGTTCGACCAAGTTCAAACAAAGTAAGACCTTTGGTCGCTAGAGTGGTTGAGGCGCCGCCGCTGATCAAAATGCATGTATCGTCGGGGTCTGTGTTGGCGCACCATGCGATCTTGAAGATAGGCTCTTTCGCAGCAAACGTGCCCGGGGTATTACCCATGCTGACAATTCCTGCACCTGGCTGGTTGACATTTGTATCCGTAAGCGTCCTTGCCATCACAATGCGCCCGTCTTTAGGGTCCCAAAAGACAAGACTACCATCTTCGTGACCAGTAAGGATGAATGTTCCAGTTGGATGCCACAAGGCTTGAGTCAGCTTCGGCCATCTGAGTCTATTCATTGTCCCTGGATCTGAGTCGCCACCTGGGGCTCCTCGAGGGATCTCGTAATGGAAGAACTTGGAGGCTTGGTTCAGCTTGAAGCTATACAAGACTGCTCCTTCAGTATAACCTATCAGGAGCGAACCAACATCTCGAGGATGAAGTTGCAATGAGATAATAGGGGCGGAACGAACTTGCGGGTTCTGTTGCCGCCAGTAGTTGGGCAGTTTGAATGGTGCCATAGCCTCTCTGTCCAAATCATAGGCGAATATCTCACCTAATTTATGGTCAGTATTCGTCCAGAGTCATGTCTAATAAAGGTACGAGCCTGATGTAGTGCCAAGCAGCACATAGTCAAGAGTAGGATCGCTGTGCATTGTAGTCACCGTAGCTGGAGGCGTGTATGAAACCAGTATCTTTTTCGTATCCAAAGAGAAGATGGTCAAGTGGTTATTCGAATTCAAGCATATCAGCTTGTCCGCGCAGAACTGTAGTATTCTCACAGATGCTTTCATCTTCATATCCAGCATGACAGCAACCCTCTTTTGACCAAAAACATATATTTGCCCATTGCCGAACTTCGTGTCGTTCGTTCCAACTGCAACTAGGGACTGCACCGGGTCATACGCGATTTGCGAAACTTGAGAGTTGATACCCAGACGAGTGATCTACACCTTAGATATGAGTGAAGTCCATAAAGAAGTATGTTGGGTTGAAATGGATTGCTTACATCGTCAATTCTGAAGAACTCTGGCAGTATTCCTGCGGACAAATCATTGTGGATGCCAGCCTGTTTACCTCTCAAGAGGTGCGTCATAATGGAGTGGACCTGAGCCAATACCGTTGTTCCGTGTGTAACGAAAGGAAGAGTATAAATCTTTGCTTGACGCAGCTGTAGACTCTATGAGACCTTGTTGGTATCCTAACTGGCGTGAGGTTGATGAATCAAAACAGCTTCAGCTCCCGTTTGGTCTTCCCGCACCGGGCAACGTCATCTGTGGTGTGGCGGCTGGAGATCGCCAGGGTGCAGCCGGGACAAGTGGGTACCGCACCGTGACAGCCGCGACACGTCTGCACACATTTGCACGTATCCACATCGTCGTCGCGTCAACCCAACTCCATTTGTTCAATAACGCTCGAAGTACTTGTTCCTGGACCCGCCCGTTGGTCGATTCGTTTACCGATTGCTACGACGTCGTGCAACCATCACCATCATCATGCGCTGTAAAATATAGGCTATGGCTACGGGCAAGCGCAAGAGACAGGACCTGACTGGGACCCTGAGTACCTTGAAACAGTGGAGTGGCACAGAAGAGGAAGAAATCAAACTTTTCGAGAACCACACCTGTTTCAGGTCGGTCGACAGCAAGACCCAATTCGACGTGGACGTCACAATTCTCGACTACATGGTCTACAAGTGCATCAAATCACTCATCAAGGCTCGTGAGAATGAGCTGAACGGCGCAAAGCCGCATTGGAATATCGCCTCGGGAGAACTCGAAGCAGTCCATGGTACGATCACTCCTCGAGTCTTGCTGGCAATAAGCTAGACTTCCTGGTATAACAAACAAGCTGACTAAATCGGATTAAAGAATGGCTCGGTCTCTTGAAGCCAGCTTTAGAAAATCGAAAGCTTCCTACTGACGCGGAATACCGTCTTCGCCTGCTCTATACCACCTCAATATTTACATGTAGGTACCGCGCAAACTTTATAAGTGACTCAGCATTACAAGACATCCGACGCAGTAACTCAAATCGATTAAAGGAGCGGGAAGATGGTTACGTGCACTCACATGTACTCATGAGCAAATACTTCCCTTTAGAGGAGCAGATACGCTATCAATACGTGAGCTTTCTGGTGAATGATCTTCAGTCGAATCACAGGTATGACCTAAGGTCTGATGTCGAACATGTTTATGCGAGTCTACGCGATATTCTGGTGATATTCCTTGAACAGACACTCGCACGCACGTACCGATACGCAGGGGAGATAAACGAGCGTTTACTCGAACTGTTTGGTGAATGGATGCTTCAAGCAAGTGTGGAATCGTACCTTCATCTCGGCTCACATGGTTCCGAACCTCTGAACGAAATTTTTGCGTTTGGTTTTGGGACGTGTAGTCTCGAAGAGAGACCCAGTGTGCAAGAGCTCTTCTGTGACGATGAAGCGGCTCTACAAGAGTCTCCGATGTGGACAGATATACGGCAGAGATACATGAATAAGGTACGTTAGTCTCACTGGCCGGTCAAATATGGCTACTCATGTGGTATTAGGCGGTTTTGCTGCTTGAGGCCGCTGTCCGTGAGGGAATGCACTTACCGAGCGAAAGCTATCCTGTGCGCGCGTTCGAGCTGAAGGTGCTCAGTTATCTCAAGGCACTTTCGAGAGAAATAGTATTACCTGATCTACAACAAGTGATTGCAGGTAAGATCGATATCGAAGGGATATCCAGTTCCGAATCAAAACGGGTTATCGATCGGATACGTCCGAGCTGTCAGGCGGGGTCATGATTTCGATATCTAGCCTAAGACTAATAAGTTTTCAGTCTTTCGACGGTTAATTTAACTTATAGCCGTTGGCTAACCGGCGGCTGGTTTTGGAATCTGAATGCTGCATGAAAGGCAAAGTTTTGTATCGCGAAAGATTTTACGTTCATCAAAAGTCACTTCGCAAGTCGAAAGTCCTGACACTATGTCCGCGGCTCTGGTCGTGATGGCCATATTCCTACACGCTATGAGCGTCTCTGCTTTCGATTATCCATCTAGTGTTAATGACACCACTCTACATGAAAATCCGTTCTTCTTGCAGATCTGGAGTACTGTCAATACTTCATCAGCGTATCGGACTATCGGTATTGTGCCCAAGGAAGATGGCACTTGGGGAGCTGCCATTGGGCCATCAAGCTTTATAACTGGCTTTCGCCTCACCAATGGAACTCTGCAACTTGCTAGTGCAGAGGGGTTACATGCGATCACCGACGGATTTCATGCTGCATTTGGGCCGGAAAAAACAGACGGGGACTTCATCTCGAAGCAATGGTTTTTTAGCAACGACACGACTGTTGGTAATAACGGTTGGGACTTGATTAGTGTCAGTCGGGATGGGTTATATGGAATACTGAGCAGTGATGGAGGGCCATCGATGTTCAACGGTAATTGCTGCAAAGTCCAGATTCTGCGTGATGCGACGTCCTATACTGATTGGGATTTTCAGGGTTCAAAGTTTGCACAGAAGATGCCCAGAATGATTATTTTATCAAGTACGAAGGTTCAAGGGACGGCGCAGTGTCAGAGGGATGTGAGGCCATCGCTTTGAGGGTGGGTTTTATCTCATTTAAAGCCCTTACTTCGTTTATTGACTTATGTTATTAATTAATTTTTGTTAGACATTCCTCGGGCCCCCTTACAGGTTCGAGCAAGATGAAGCCGCGCGTCCGAAGATCGCAGATCGGCAGTATTGACATATGAGGTGTATACTGAGCATACTCCGTGACTCTGGATGGGAATCAGTACTCTCTTTCCACCATGGGTCACCAAGTCTCCGTCGAATGTGTTATAATGTTCGATTCACATAAGGTACATACTGTTGTTTACAACGAAGTTCAATTGAATTCCGCTGCATTGCAACTCTGGAAATCCTTTGTATGTCAAGCGTAAGCCACGGTATTGATTTTTTCTACTTCTCCCTTGTTATTCACGGTCCGTCTCTCATTCTTCTCATGCTTCGTGCCTACTGCAGTTTACCTATCTGCAGCATATCCAACTCAACCTCATGTCTCTAACCAACATATATTCAATCAACTTTCGTCTGAAAGTTATGGAGCGATACAATTGAAACAATGCCCGGCACTGGCGCTATGTCGTTCACGTTCCCCATCTCCTGTTGTTCTAGTTGAACCATTTTAGAAAGTCTAACGGACCATCTATGTATACTTCGACTTCGTCAACCTATATCCAATCGCCGGAACCACGCTACCTGACCCGATATATTGTATGGCAGAAACTGCGCGCGCGATAGATGATATCTTCTACAGATTCACGATCTATACCACGGGCGAGGCGTTGGGCGCCAAAAATGTAGTCATGGCTGGCGATTGAAAGAGGACGGAGATGAATGTACGCAAAGTTTCTGCTGAATTTCTCTTGAAAACAACACGCGCCGTATGTCACGTCGATACGCATCTCTGGTACGATTGACAATGAGCTTTTTGAGTCCTGTACTTGCCAGGCCCATAATGCAGAACAAACATTATCTTCAGGATTTTATGGATATACTTACATCATTTCGACCCAGCCATTCGAGCGCTCCGTCGCTCCACTGTCACTACCACTTCGGTCAGATCTTGAGTCTGGCGTTTCACCACCTGGCTTCTGCGACTCGACCAGTCGATTAACGCTTTCACTATGTACACTAAATTCATCAACCCTCCTGATCGCACTCCTTGGCAGGGAACCAATGGCCTTGGAATTTTCGTCTCTCGATCTTGTAGACCTGTTCGATTTTGTGCTGCGAAAGTATGATTGACTGTGAGAGCTAAGATGCCCACCAACAGACCTGCAAGTCAGGGTCGCGAGATGGTACATTGCGGGTAGCGACGCGCATATGATCGCTATGTTGGTTTCGAGAGCTGACCACTGCACCGTTATGCTGCCGTACCAACTGTTATCGTCCATATGTCGTTCAAGAACCATCACAGTTTGTAGACGAAGGACAGAGACGACACAGACACTTTGATGGTTAACTGATGTCCGTATTGCATGCACAGGGGAGAGCTTACAAGCCTCCGAGCGCGAACAAGAGACAACATAAAATTCGCTTTGTTCTGGTCATTTTTAGACCCCATACAACACGCAGCGGCAATGCCGCGATGAGCACGTCTGATACAATATTTATGGCGGCAAGGGCCTTCCAGAGTCTATTGCAGTCAGCCACGAACAATCTATGTTCCAAGGCAGCCTTACGCAAAGGTATCCAGGCACTTCGCCGTCGGTTTGAGTGGAATCTCCCAGAATGCATGAATCGGCAAACAATGCAGCAGATTCGTCAAAATGACAGTGATCCAATTCAGGATGACGAAAATGCCCACTATTTTCACGCCTGTCATGATCCTATGGTCGCTGTTAAATACGCGTTGATAGTACATGAGAATACTCAGTTTCGTAGTATTCAGCGCGTTGGTGTAGGCGTATATGCTCCACCAAAGCCACTAATACCCATATCAGCAATCTGTACTGAAATCTGGTTACGCTATTGCTCACTTTGAGCTGATCTATCGCTTGCGACAGATTAATATGGTCCTGATGCTGACCTAGACCGGCTCGAAATTCTGCGACAATGTTACTTTGAGAACGTTCCTCTGAGTTTGGGATACTCACCGAGCATTTGGGCAATAGTCATGAGGATGGCGAATACCTTTGACGCGATTAGCCCCAAATTGTAACACAGATAAAGCAACGCCACACACCATGCCAACAGCCACAATCCAATCTTCATGACTTCCAGTTCTAGTGAGAATAAATTTGACGTAAAGCCGCAATAAAACCACAATCAATGCAACACTCGTATGGGTAATGATTGCAACGACCAAATTCCTGGCTTTTGACTCTTGTCCCATGTTTACGCGTAGCAGTAGAAGCAACTCAGAAAGAGACTGTTGCAGGTGGGCTACCTGAATTTGAAGTCTGCGAGATGACACGAGCTGGGGCGCTGTGTGGACGAGGTACATCCCGGTATGTTGATACACTGTTGCAGAGAGTCTGGGTGTCTATCGAAGCTTCCTGGTCGCGAGAGCGTCATCGCTCGAACCCTAATGTATATATCCATACAAGTGACAAGACTGGTGCGATCCGTTGTTTGATCTTTCAAGAGTCTACAGAGACATGTCATGTTGCCATGATGAGTAGCTGTAAGTCCTGCGTTGAGGGTACTCATCAATGCGCTTGAAGCCCAGACGCCTTGACTTGACGTTTGAATGACAAGCACTGATCGGCGCCCATGAAGCCCACTGTTCTCTTGCAGCGCATTGAACGTAGTATGTGCGCAAGAGACAGGATGCCTGCTAGAGCACCCTCGATCGGCAGTAAAGTCAGGTGTATCCCAGGTTGGACCATGCAAAGATTGGGAGACAGCCAAGGCACTATTATATTCGAGAATGTCACTCGCACCTCATTATCCAATGATTGTTTACGTACATAAAGATATGAAACTAGCGCCAAGTCTAGCTAAACGATATATATATTGAAACCCTCACACCTACCTAGGTGGGGACCTGCCCCCGGATAAGCTCAACTGAGTAACCTCTAGGCCCTTTTCAGTTAGACCTGACCTGAACTAAGTCAGAGAGTCCTGGACGGTCGTAGGGCTGTGAAAGTCCATGTCCCAGTCAAAAGTCCTAGAATAGCTCTCCCGACCCTCTCGATGGCGCTTGAAGTCTTGAAGTGTCTCGGCACGTCTATAGATAAGATGATGACTGCCACATACCATGGTTAATTCTCACTACATCTGAAGACTAACATAGACACGTAGCGCTACGAACAGCAGATTTTTCTTGACTGGTAAAGACTGGACGACCGTTTGTGGATTAGATTCCGAATCCGTGCGTGAAATGCCTGACACCTGGACCACCAGTGCTTACGCCGTTGTACCACATACCACATATCGCCCATCTATCGGACATGAACGGAATATTCCCTCGAGTTCCTGACTCGAGACTAGAACAAGCCTCATCGGATGCAGACCTCATTCGCGTGCCCAGCGACTAAATGACGGGTGTGACACCTTACATGTAGTTGAAAATCTTCACACACAAGGTTTTCCATACTGCAGCGACCATCCTCATACAAGTGGAAAACACGCTTGTTATATGTGAAAATCCATGCGCAGAAGTCAGACAGATCAGAACGAGATAGACTTCTCTCCACGGGCCCTCTACCTTCGTCAAAGCTATAGCACACGCGGCCTCGACGATGTCTCTAACAGGAGCCTGCGAAGCAAATCGTTCTTTAGCCGCATGGTTCTACGTAAAAACCTTTCGACGTGTTATTTCCGTGCTCCAGCCCACTAGGTGTTGCGACATCTGTAAAGATGAGTCCCTCTGAGATCATGGCGAAACCGAGCCACCTGGGTACGGAAGATGCCGCGAAGTAGACAGGAGAGCTCTGGTGTTATTTCCCTCCTGGTGTCCTTCTTCAGAGCCTGCTCTGTGCTGATATCAACTTATATGGATCTCATATGCTTACACGTTACAGCCCGAGTGATACGCGCCCACACATCCGTCGACAAGATGGATATATTAGGGCCTCAGTCATACCTACGCACGCCCGTGGCACTTCATTTCACGGCCTCGCCGACAGCGACAAGAATCTCGTATGCGCCCCAATAAACATCTCCGACCACGCTCAAGCATTAAATCGCACACTCTACACTTCGTATGCCGCTCTCATCGTCTCCTGCATCGTGTAAATGACGTACGACGCCGAGTCGATTGCAACAATTCTGACCCGCTCAACGGCCTCTAGCAATATGGTCTCAGTATACCGCCTGCGAGTTCATCTCAATGCCTAACTTCGAAAAAGAGGTTCATTATCTTCATGAATTACTACAGCGCGTGGTTATTCGCACGTGTTTTAAACTTTCACTAGTCAATAATGCATCTGTTGACGTGTGCACTGACCAGTTTTTATTACGTTGATCCTATCCTTCGGTATTATGACAGTTATGTTGTATACATGACTCGTCAGGCTGTGGGTACACCAGGTATGCTCACAGGGCAAGTCTAGTCATAGAAATCCACCGAGTGTTTCCATACACAAAAGAATGTAAAAATCTTTCCGGAAAGCAACAATGAACGCTCATTCGCGCCCCTCCACAGTTCCCATACAACTTTGAACTTCGAAATGAGGATTAACCTGATGGAAGATCTCAGACCTCTTCTTCACAATAATACCAAGGTCAGATCCGCTTTGATAAAGTGAGTAGCCATCCGGACAGCAGCTATCGGCGCATAAGAGGAAATGGACCGGTCGCTCTTGCGAAAGCGATCGCTGTAACTACTCGTGACTAATGTGATATTGGCTGTACGAGACTCGATGTGAAATGTCGCTACGAACGCGATGATTGAATCCTAAGGAATAAGATGTTTGGTACGGAATATTGATGTGCAAGTTTCGAGGTGGTCAAATAGCAGGTCTTAGCAGAGCCAGTGCTTAATGACCAGGTATCGGTGGTCAGAAGGCCAGTAATCTTGACCTGCTTGAAATTGGACCTGCAATTGTGGCAGAGAATAGAGGGTATCGCAGCAGAACTAAGCGGTAAACACTGTCGCGATTGGCTTCATTCATGTGCGGACTGCGGTCCTTCAACCCACGGGCAGCCCATCTGCTTCACCAATTGCAAATGCATGGTTAAAACATTAACGTATTGTGGAAGCCGCAAGATCTCGAGCTGCATATACGTTCATTCCCTTCGAAGCAGATGCATAGCGTCTCTAATACCGCATACCAGAGCGTAATTTATGATGGATGCGGTAACATGGAAGACTTATGTACGATATGACAAAAACCATGATCTGACCAGTCTATGCATGTCTATTAGGTCTCGCGTATGCTAACCTGATTAGGACTAGTTAATAGAGTCGCCAATTGTCGAAATAAATGAAATGTTCGTAGCAGTGCCTAGTGATTTATTCAGGTTGCGGGGAATTGGGCTCTTGGCGCGTGTAGGAAGGTAGTGTTTCTTAGAGGAGCTAGTGACATCAATTATCCGACTTATAACAAATGATGACGACCTCCACGGAGTGCGCGTAACGACCGACTACCACCACCATATCCTTACAGAGAGCTTCTGTTTCATATGGTGGCTCTTATTAGCTGAAATGCCTCCGCCAGTCATCTGAACTTCTTTCTACGAACATGTCTAGTTCGAAAGCAGCCCTCAAAGCTGCAAAAGCTGCAATCGATGCGGGCAAGTGGGGGGACGCTGTTGAACAGGCACTTCGAGTTCTCTCCAACGATCCCGAAAACTACTTTGCGTAATTGTCGACACATACACATCCAGAAACCTAACTGACGCACAAAGTAAACTATTCCTTGGTCGCGCCTACGACAAGCTAGGCAGAACAGACGATGCTAGTTCCGCCTACGAATCCGCTGCAGCCCTCAGGCCGAACGAGAAAGACCCATACCTTGGCTTGCGAGAGCTTTATGGCTCACAGGGAGGAAAGAAGGTCGATCAATATATCGATCTTTCAGTCAAGATTGCAGGGATTTATGCAGTTGCGGAGGACAAGCATAGATGCCAAGAGGCGGTTGACAAGCTCGTAGGTTTCGCAAAAGCTAATGGCACGAAATTACAATATTCAAAAGCCCTGCGGGTACTCTTACCGAACAGTAGTCTGTATGACTTTCTGGAGGGCAGGATTTCGCATCCTGCGATAACGTACAAGCGCCTGGTTGAACTTACCGAGACTGAGGAGAAAGAGAAGATTAACAAAGAAATTGGTGAGAGGAGGACGAGACTTGGTGCAAGGATTGGACAGGTCACGAATGAGGTTAGGAGAGAGGTGTTCGAGAGAAGCGACTTGGAAGAGCTGTATCAGCAAGTCATTGACTGGACAAATGAAGATGACGTACGGAGAGAGTACGAAGAGAAGCTTCTTCAAAGGATTTACGATGTGCTCGTCGTCACGCCCTCGGACAAGAAAGAAGAAAGGAGGAAACAAGTCATCAAAATGGCAGAAGGCATGGTAATAATCAAGCACTCATTTCTGCTTGCTTGGCAGATTGAACTCGAATGGAAAGACGTTGAAGAGATTGCTGAGATGGATGTCAACGTACTGAGAGAGTTCGTTGAGTTCTTTCCAGAGAATGGCCTCGCAAAAGTGCTCAAAGCATACTTGGCTAGCGATAGATCACCATTCCCAGAGGACGATTCCGACGAAGGCGGCGCAGCTTTGGAGAATTCGGACGACGAGCAAGACGGGCCGTTGACATCTGAAGATGTTTTGCTACTCATGACAGATGGCATTGACGCCGCAAAAGACTCATACCTAGCCCATCGTCTTATTTCGGAGTACTATCTCTACACAGAAGAGTATGAAAGCTCCGTGGAGACATCACGGAAGGCTCTAAAACTTCTCAAATCCGAATGTCAAAAGTCTGGTTTGAAGCTCCAGAATGACCTTGATTCTCTCAACAGCGTCCTTGGTACATCACTTGTGCAGTATCAGACACCACGACACCATCCGGAAGCGAAATCAATCTTCAGCGATATTCTATCAAGAAAGCCTCAGTTTACGCCTGCATTGATAGGCGTCGGTTTAGTGTTAGAGGAAGAGGAGGAATACGCCGAGGCGATTGGATTCTTGAGGAAAGCTTTCGAGCGAGACGACTCGAACATTCGAATAGGTACGGAGGCTGCCTGGTGTAAAGCTCTCAACGGAGACTACGCCACTGGCCGCGCAGAGCTCGAACAGCTCCTCGAACAGATAGATCTGAAAGACTCGCGCACTAGGGACTTGCGATCTCAAACATGCTATCGGATTGGTGTATGTCAATGGGAGTTAGACTCGTCAAAGGCCGCGCGGAAAGATCGAAAAAGGGCATATGCGATGTTCTTAGCTGCGATAAAAGCGAATCCAAACTTTGCACCCGCCTATACTAGTCTGGGCAATTACTATGCCGACTATGCCAAGGATAAGAAGAGAGCAAGGTCATGTTTCCAGAAAGCTTTCGAGCTCTCAGCATCAGAGATTGTTGCAGCAGAACGCTTAGCACGGTCGTTTGCGGATCAAGGCGAATGGGATATTGTGGAGATCATTGCACAACGAGTAGTCGACTCAGGTAAAGCAAAGCCTCCACCAGGATCTAGAAAGAAGAAAGGCATCAGCTGGCCATTCTCTGCACTTGGTGTGGTGCAAATGAACAAACAGGAGTACTCCAAAAGTGTTGTGTCCTTTCTAGCCGCCCTTCGAATAAGTCCAGATGACTACCATTCGTACGTTGGTCTTGGCGAAAGTTATCATAATTCAGGACGATACAACTCCGCTGCACGGACCTTCAAGTATGCAGAGAATCCAGCGGAAGGCGTTATGATGAAGAAGACTGGCGAGGCCTGGTTCACGAAGTATATGCTGGCAAATGTCAACCGTGAGCTTGGAGAATACGAAGCAGCTACTGCTGGGTATGAAGAGGTATTAAGAGAACGCAAGCAAGAATTCGGTGTAGCAATTGCACTTCTCCAAACTCTTGTCGACCAAGCTTGGAAAAGCCTCGCTACAGGATTCTTTGGCCAGGCAGCCCAAAGCGCTATACGAGCTATTGAGACCGCTACAGAAATCGCAGACTACAAACCCGAGGCTTTCAATCTATGGAAAGCTGTCGGTGATGCTTGCGCCGTCTTCTCTGCCGTACAGAGCAAACTGGATCACATACCATTCGACAAAATTCGGGTTCTGCTTGAAAAGAATATAAACATCGAGGAGTTTGATATCTTCGTCGAGACAAACAAAGTAGGCGCCGATCAGGTCAAGGAGATTGTATCATCGGATGAAGAGGGAGCAACTTCGAAGCTCCGTCTTGTACTACATGCTTCCATTCTTGCTCAAAAGCGCGCTATCTATAGCTGTGCTAATGACATACACGCGAGAGCTGTATCATGGTATAATCTTGGTTGGACCGAGCATAGAGCACACGTCCACATTGAACAGAATCCTGATGGCAGCGTACAAGGCGAAAAAGTGACGAAACATCTCAAAGCCGCAATGAAATGCTTTAAACGTGCTATCGAGCTAGAAGCTGGTAACTCAGAATTTTGGAATGCACTAGGAGTAGTATCAACACAGCTCAACCCAAAAGTCGCGCAGCACTGTTTTGTACGAAGTCTTCATCTTAACGAGCGAAGTGTGGTGGTCTGGACCAACCTTGGAACCTTGTACCTTCTACGTAATGACCTTGAGCTGGCACACCAGGCCTTTAGCCGCGCACAGTCAACTGATCCAGACTATGCCCATGCTTGGGTTGGAGAGGGCCTCATTGCTCTCCTCTGGGGAGATGCTAGAGAGGCTCTGTCCCACTTCACACATGCTTTCGAAATATCAGACTCTGCCTTGCTCATCACGAAACAACAATATACCCTGTCAACGTTTGATCATCTCTTGTCCTCGGCTGCAGACTCGAGCAACATCACAAACCTCATCCAACCCCTTTTCGCTCTCCAGCAGCTGATCTCCCAAACACCCACCGATACACCTTTCAGACACCTCTATGCGATCTACTTCGAACGAATTGGCGACTACTCTGCAGCTGTCGAGACTCTGAAAACCTTGTGCTCGGATCTCGAAGCAGAATACGAGACCACGGAATCTCTTACCTCACTATCATGCTTCGCGGCCGCAAAAGCCGACCTCGCCCGTAATCTCCTGGCTACACATGCCTATGCTACCGCCGCTGAAAATGCAGACACAGCTCTCGATCTGACCTCTGACAGTGACTCACTCACCATTGACGTTTCTACAATTACTCGAATCCGTCTAAGTTGTCGCCTCGTACTCGGCCTCGCCTACCACTATCTCGCACGCACCACATTTGATCAGTTATCCGCCTCACAAGCCATCGCAGCCTTCCGCACCGCTCTCGAAGAATCCGCATCCTCCGCAGAGGTAGTTTGCCTCCTCGCAACTATCCTGTGGGCCGATGGCGGTGCAAATGAAAAAGACGTCGCGCGCGACCAATTGTTCGACGTTATCAGCTCCTCGGACGCCCAAAATGTCGACGCTATCATCCTGCTCGGCGCCATGGCTGCTATCGAGAACGACACTGAGGCGCTCGAGGCTGTATACGAAGACCTGGCAAATATCCGGAGCGGAAGCGTGAGCATTGATACACTACAGGCGCGGCGCGTAGAAATCGTACTCGATGCCATCGCATCGCTTTCTTCCAAATCAGCAACAGACAATGATCCAAGCCCTGTCTTGGCGTCTATCCAGAAAAGCATCCTACTCAGTCCCGGCCAGCCGCATGGCTGGGCGCAACTCGCGGGCGAAACCGACGCGGTGTTTCCAGCGGAAATGGCGCTGGTAAGTGCGAGGCGCGCAGTCCCGCCAATGGGGCCATTAGATGCAGCGGATCTGGCCAAAGCGTATAGTGGCACCGGGACTGCGGCAGATGCTCAGAGAGCAACGGCTCTTGCGCCATGGATGAGGGTGGGATGGGAGACATTATCCGAGGCTGTCGAAGGTGCTATGGGTTGAAATGAGCACTAGACAGACGACTACCATAGAGCTTCAATACACCTATCATAGTGGCCTAGTGAACGTAAGAGCTAATATACAACGTTGTAACGCGAATATCTTGGCCGCTGTCATGATTCTCCCACGGAGCTCTTTAAGCCTCAAAAATTATGACTGACTGCAATAAAAGCGACAACACACCATCCTCGTCTGCGCCCAGCCATACTAAGCCAATACCCCTCAATACTTCCGAATGTCTTCAGCCCGCTCAGTGGGTTGTCACAGCCATTCAAATGTTTCATGCACGTGCGTTTACGAGGAGGGCCCATGGCTGATATTCTGTTGTCTTTCGAGGTTCACGGTTTAGTCGCGAGCGTCGTGTCTGAACATGAGCTAGCTTTCTCAGTTTGGGGGGTTCTTATTGCCCAGTTTAGAACGGGCGTGCTGGAAAGTCTGCGATGTTTCGTGGAAAGGTTTAAGGGGAGGGGGGATGTCTGCGCGCATATTGAAAAACGTGGCTTCTGGTTCTTAGAGATCGATACCTCTATTATGTCATGGCTGTATCATACGTGGTATCATAGCAAGTCCCGTAGGCACCTCATGCTACTCCCTAACGATATTGAAGTTTCTGGCGTACGCGCTCACACCATGGTTCATCCCTTCTTGACAGCCCACACGTCGGCCCCGGTGCTGTCCACCTTGCCAGCCTCTCTCAAGCCCTCGAGCACAGTCCCCACGTCCTCCGCTCCACCAGGAAACCCACCTGGTACCGCCATCTTCAGCATCATCAAGATCCGAGCCCTCGTCATGCCGCCCTGGTTCGTCAACATTCCTACCACGAACGTCTCGTACAGACTGCGATTACGATCGAGAAGGTCATTAGCTGTAACGACTCCGCCGCCCCCGGGTGCCTCCATTGCTGCCTCTTCTTTGGCGGCCTCGACCTCCGCCCGTGTCGTGCGTGCCGCACTGGTAAGGCGTTCGAGTACGACATATGTGTCTGGAGTGTCTGGATGTGGCGCAAGCACGCGTTCACCAACCCAGAATGCGAGTGCATTGCGCACGAGCGCTTCGTCCATTGCCAGGTGGTCCTCGAGCTGCTGCACAGAGCGCGCAACACCGCCGACGCGCTGGGGCTCGGACGAAGAGCGTTGGAACGCGTGAATTACGCTGGCTTGCCATGTCGTGCAGTCGACGGACACTTCGCGGTCCTGTAGCTCGAGCTCGACGGTGACTTTACCCAGAGCGGGCAGCCAGTGCAATTTGCGCATGTCCTTGATAGCTTCGAATCCGGCGGCGTAGATGGCCTGCGCTTCGGCAACTGTGGCGGGAATGGTGAATGTATCGTCGCGGAGGGGAGGCCAGAAGAAAGAAGACAGAACATGTGCGCGGATAGGGGGTTTTGTGGGACGGGAGGAAGAAATTGTGGTGTTGAGTCGTTTGGAGTCGACCACGTCGCGAAGCATGACGTCGCAGGCTTGCATTTGGGAGTCACCTAATCGGAGCTTGAAGAGTTCGAGAAGGCGAATCTCTTTGTCAAATGAGGAGTCTGAATTTGTGAGGAGGTGTTCGCCGAGGATATTTTTCAGCTCAGTGATGAAGTCGCCTGGATCGAAGAGGGTGAGGAGGTAGGATATGACGTCGTTTGCTCTCGAGCTCTTGTATTCAGCAGAGGCGTCTACTGGTTCCGGGGTCCAATTCAGGTCTCCCCAGTTAAGATCGTCGTCGTGGTCGTTAGCAGTGGATGAGATAGGCTTGAGCATTTCTGTGGCTATCTCTATTGAAATGTCACCACCTGGATCGACATGATTGCCGTCTTCATCCTGAATATCTGCAAGTAAACTTGATACAATAATTTTGGCCGTGTCAGTGCGATCTTTCAGATATCGTCTGATGGGTAGAGCGACACGTTCTAATAACACCCCTTTAGGATCGAGTTCTTTGAAAGCCCTAATGACATAAATGTATATGTCTAGGATATGGGTAGTTGTTGTCCCTGGGCGCAGGAGGCGCCGATAGAGCTGGCCTGTGAACGAGACGACTAGGTGTGCTCTTTCAGAGTTCGTGGTGAGATATTCCTACAATCTGTTAGACCAGATAAATGAACTACAGAGGCTCATGTTATCGAACCTTGAGATCTAATATGGCGCCGATGGACTGATCCCAGTTCACTATGTAATCAAAGAGGTTGTCCGCACGAGCTCTACCAAGACGTTCGATGGCCATCTTTTGCCAAGATGTAATTTCAGCCATACCAAATGTGAGCTTCACTGTTGTAGTGCTGTCGGTCAGGCACTCCATGACTAACAAAACAAGTTGTCCAAAGCCGTCTTTGATCCATTCTTTTAACTTCGCTGTCACCGAAAGCTTGCCATACCAATCTACCTTCATGTAGTGGCTCACGACGAATTCACTCAGTAACTTGTCCATGGCATGAGCGAATGATCGGTGAGCTGCGTCTCCTCCCAGTCCGACCATTTGTAGACCTTTTAGCAGCTGTACGAGTCGTCTTTTCACATCCCCAGTTTCAGTAGAGTGAATCGAAAAGTTTGGAGCATTCATGTGTAAGCGGAATAACTTACATCCCGCATCAAAAAGAACATAGCTCAGGGTTTTCGAGAATCGCTTAGCAGGTATAGCCTGGACGAACAATGACTCTAGTTCGCGTTGAAATCTCCTGACAGCGTCCTTGGCCATATTTTGCACATCGGTCTCAGTTCTGGCTTCTTGCTTGATCATTTGTGTGAGTCCGTCCGTAAAAGACTGAGTATAAGAGGTTCGCGCACGACCATATGACTGTGCGATGTTCTCGAGTACTTCCCATGCGCGTTTACACTCAATTGACGTTGCCAGCATGGATTGGACCTTGGGCTGCAAGGTGATCGTAAAATGCGATCGAATCTTCATGATGTATGTTTCGACCTGAAGGCGTCAACATCCTGCGCGAACATAGTGCGAGCAAGAACCACACACAGTATCTATCAGTATCTCGGGATTGGCTGCTTTTTCGCGGTCTGGCCCTATCGATGCGAAATGTAACCCCTCAGCTTTAGAGTCCGCTCCTTGGAACACAGACTCAAATACGGCGGCATGATGCCTCAGTCTTGTATTGGTCATCATTGCAAACTCTCCGTCGCGTTATGCTATTGGAGCATGCTGTGAATGATCCTCTTAGACAGGAAACAACGCCTCTCTATTATGACTGCGGCATGATCTCGACGTTTCAGATAGTAACAAATTCCCGATAGGTCGTTTGCTCGTTCTGAACGTTGACGATCCACAGGGGAGCGCGTGGGGCCGGGCGCGGGATAGAAGGCGCGTCTGCACTATCACGTATTCACGTGACAAGCCCGGCCTGCCTATAGTGATACCGATGTGGAATTCGAAAAGATGTCCAAATCTTGAACTTGTAGACGATTTAAGCTACCTGAAATATTCCGTTCAAGTTTCATAATGTCTATAAACCGCCTACTCTGTTATCTGGAAGCTGTCCATCAATTTTGATGCCTAAGGCATTAATACCTCTTATCGATAAAGCGTGTAGGACATTCTACAAGGCACGCTGATATCACTGAAGTTCGGTGCAGTGTTCATCAACGGACCACCGACCCTGTGCATACAAGAGAAACAGTATATCGCGATTCGCATGCTCAATGCTGTAGCCACTGAAGACACCGTCTCGAGATGAGGTGGTGGCTAGCAGTGTTCGAGGCAAGTTCTTCGCCACTCCACAGCCTACAATGCAGACTGACATTTCGCAGACAAAGGCTGCCGAATGGGTATGCAAGCCATCCACATATCTACGTAGAACTATGACAGACACTGATACATGAATTTACAGCTCCTGCGTCAGCCTAGTTTTCACCATGCCGTGCGTCGCGTTCATAAAAGAGTTCATCAGCTTAGGACAGGCGAGAAGCCACCAGAAGAGATGGGCGGTCTGCAACGAGAAGGTATGGTACATTAAAACTTACTAGAAAGACTCAATTGTTAACGCATAAGTAGGAGAGAAAGGTCAGTGGCATTACGTTTGGCAGGAAATGAAGGAGCAGGCGATTGACCTACAATACACATTTAAACTTAAGAGACGACCGCCGAAGAGGTAGAAGAGCGATCAAACCTACGTACACATTAGCTTAAAGGATGGATTTACCGCAATCATTAATATCACCGCGTTCTACTATGACGTATGTATACTAGATTCCCAAGTAGGTCCAATTCAAATGTGAGAAATATCAATTACTTTATAGCTGAATGCTAATCGCACGTGGTGTACCATCTCTCAAATACTTGAGACTGTCTGATGTCTGCATTCATCAAACAAACGATAGAACATGTGTGAATGCATATATGTGCATCATACGAACAAATGATGAAGCACCCTCCACAATCATGCTCTGGCAAAATGCGACACATGCATCTCAAACGATTCATACCTCCTCAGGTCCTCCTTCGAGACTCTACAACAGCAGAAAGCCACGATGGGTCTTACTGTCCGACATTGAACTGATAACCAACACGGACCATTCCTAGACCATCAGAGATCCTCCAGCGCTGCGCTCACATCTCCCATCACCTTAGCCAAGAGCCTTGCAACCTTTCCACGCTCAAGTAGACTAAGCACCCGAGCCTCACTGGTGATTAGCTGACATGCGTCGTTCAATGTCTCATGCGCCGAATACACGAAGCGAGCTTTGTCGACATGTCTGCGTAAAACTCTGGACATTGGTCGCCCATTGGCACCTAAGTTTTCGACAGTCGGGGGCGAATTTGGAGGTGTGGTGACGCCAAGATCGCTCATTACTGGTGCTGGGAGAAGCTGACGACCGGGTGTTACTGGCTGGCGGTCGCGAGTGGTCAGAGGACCCACTCCTGACAGTGATCGTGGAAGATGGTTTCGCATGTGTACACGCTGGCGAAGAGCGACGCCGGGGGTAGCTTGACGACCGCGAACGGACTTGTACACGCGCTCCGTGTTAGCAGACTCGACTGATGAAGAAATGGAAAAAGACGATACCGAACGCAGACGACTCAGAAGCGTGGGCTCGGATTGAAAATTGTGTTCAGGCTTCACCGACTTGTTGTCGTCCGAGTCATCAATGATAATCTGTCACGATCAGTGATCGCCACTTCTAGACCTTGTTATACTCACGACTTCTCTTGCCGTCATTTCAGGCTGGCGAGAAGGCTCCTGAGAGATCCGCTTCTGAGGCTGTACATTATACTTTGCTCCGTGGCGCTTTGGGGACTGAGGTGGCTTCGTAAGCGCCCTTGTCTCGTATATTTTGGCCATCATCTCAACAACATCTGGACGAACGCTTCCACACAAGCGATAATACTCGAGCATGCGATAGCCCAATGCACGCATGTTGGGTCCGGCGTGATATATATCAGCAGCCAAGAATTTGCAAGGAATAATCGGGTCCACAACGTCGTTGATTCCTATAGTTCGAAAAGGGAGCTTGCCACCGCTCTTACGGACACGGCTGATGATGAAGGGCTCGAGGATTCCGGTGAAGGCGTCTTCGTATACCAGGTAGCCGCGTGTGATGAGATAACTGCATCTTTCCTGATTGTCTTCGGAGATGTTGGCAAATACCTTGCTTCCGGCCGAAATCGTGCCATCGACGAGTCTCCCAATACATACCAGCAACATGCCTTGGAAGTCTCTTACATCGATATCAATCACAGTATCTCGCAACTCATCCCAGTCGCTTTCGGACAGGATAGGAACGTAAGGATCCATATTGAGAACAGGGAGTCGCTGTTGCGGTCGTAGAGAAGTCAGGTGTACTGAAACATAATGATAAGAATAGAGTTGACGTGTTTTAAAGTCTTCTCGCCACAAGCGGAAAGTGAATCATCCTAAAGTCCAGTTGCACACCGTATTCAGAGTGAGTAAAAAAGCAGGCGGTGAGATGAACAGGTGAACCGGTTTGCGAGTGAATCGTATTGAAACATGCCTGGCTATAGAGACAGAGCTCTCACTCAACACTATCTGTATAAGCCCGGAGCCATGAAAGTATCGAAGAAGTGTACATAAAAGTTGACAATATAGCTTGAGCGTACACAGACTGTGATGTCGAACATGATGCTTGGGTTAGAAACAGCCATGGGATATCGAGAACTGTGGCTGATCGGGCGAATTCAGTGTGACTTTACCAGATTACTTTATGAAAAACCGTAGAGGCTTGATATACCTATGGATCTTCTCCAAGCAGTCATTCGCGGAACTAATTTGTGGCTTAAAGAATATCCTTGTACTTATCTCACCTATCTCTGTCATCCCAGAAGTCCTTGGTATGGATGTGTCACGTTACACGGCATTCCTAGGTCGTCAGCATTGTTTTGTATGACCGCATGAAGAATCCCATGATAGTTCATTTCTTGCTATGTTACACCGCCACGGGAATGTTCTTGCTAGAACGCTTTCTTTGTCTGCTGCTCGCTTCACTTGCCTGAAGTCCATATGTGGCGAATGGCATGGGTACACAGTCCTCTCTTCTTTCCAGATCTACAGTCTCACTCCATATATTACTTTTAAGAGTAGCATATTGAATAACAAAAGCTATACTTCATTGGTATGGGGCACGATTCTTTGCTAGATTGGAATGAGGTGGCTTTGTAGGGCTGACCTCTGGGATATATCTACCGCGCGATTTGCTGCGTAAGATGTTGTTCTACTTCAGCGACTGTTAAACATCTTCAAGTGTCTGTTTACTCTAAGGTATCACCAGAACCTAGAGGTCCGCTCACGAAGCTACGCTTGATTCTATACGGTACCATTTAGGTTGTCACCTTGCCACAATCACGACGAAATGTCATCACCCCCCGACGATCTCTGGAACCAGAACCTTCCAGTAGATCCACCGGCTTATTATGATAAAGTAGCATACTACATCACTCAGAAGAAATCTATGAAGCTCCTCGCAGAGGCAGTCAAAGCTCACTCCTCTTTCAATTTCAGTGTACTCAAGCACGCCTCAAAGCAAACGGAAAAGGATCAGGCGATGAATATCGAGGCTCTCCAGATAGTGATGGGGATGACACGAGAGAGATTGGTAAAAAGGGTCAAGCGCATTAAGTTGATCGAAGAGCCGGAGGCAATGAGGCAATTCTCGCCAGGACAACAACAGCTAAAGCACTTCATAGGATATAGCTTCAAGGCTTTCAAGACTTTGGATTTAGGACAGCGAACCAAGCTGAGTACGGCTTTGGGCAGGTTTTATGAGATCGAAATGGTTTTGAAAGAATGGGAAAAGGGAAACCAAGGTCTTGAATTCGAAAAACCAGTCAAACGATTGCTGCGCGCTATGGTCGATGCATTCATTGTGTTGGACATACGTAAGTGATGAACAACTCACCTGGTCAGAGCCAGCACTTACCTGTATAACAGTTTTTGCCACAGTTAATGCCTTGTGGAAGAAAGAAGCGGAAGCTGTCCAAAAGGCGGATGGAGAAAATGGCCCGGTGTTCTTTTGGCTCGCTGGCGCATATATGACCTTACGGAACATGGATAGTCTTGACAGGCCAGACTACCTGAAGAGAAGATACACAAGTTTGAAGCAGCGGATCATGCGCGCTGGGGCAGTCCAAGCGAATGGTTTCGTGCCCGATTTGTTCGCCTATTCCATCCTCTTTGGAATCGATGGCAAAGGAGCCACAGTATTGCTACATCAAGCGCGGGACCAAACGCTGGAAGAATTCGCTAGACTATGTGAAGGTTATTCATCGGAAGACTCTCAAATGTCAAGAGTAGTTGCACCGCCCAATTGCTCTCCTAGTCATGATGCATATCCGGATCCTCACGCCGCCCCTGCTAGCCTCCATATGTCTGGCGCCCTCCAAGACAATGACGACCGCTGGACAGGACCCATATTCCCTCATTCTGTTGATGAAGATAGTTCCATAATCAGGACTATGGAGTCCCGACGCATAATAAGTGAGGACAGCAACATTCAACCGGCAGTCAGGACATACAGTTCCGACAGCCCTATGTCTACCACTGACCTAGAGGACCTATACTACCTCGAGCTCTATGGCAATATACTCTAGACTTCCATAGTATGGAGAATCTTTGAATATCCTCCTATCTACTCGAGGTATCCTTCTGCGGAATATTGTGAATCGCTATATCCTCTAGTAGATGCAGTAAAGCCTCTCTGTCTATGTAGTCAAATCTCGAATGTTATAAGACTTCATAACACTTTGTGTGCATCCGTATCTTATACAGATCTTCAGACTAGGTAATGGATCCTTGATTTAGGTGTTTCTAAGCTACGAAATACCACCTGAGTGTCTCTAGTCTACTCGAGTCACAAACACTTGCACGCAAAACAATTGATATACTCGTGAAATTGAACAGAAGTATTGGCCCTTCTGGCAGTGCTGAATCGTCAAGCTAGTCATCAAGGTATAAAACTAAGTGCCTCTTGTCGGCAATAGAACATCACAATTTAGATACAGACGTCATTTTTTGTGATAGCTCACATGGTAGAACCTTCATAGTGTTTAGTAGGAGCGTGAGTCGTAATATGACTGTACAGGGGAATGCTCCATAGGTCTTGTCTCCTCGGATGTTCAAGCGTGATCAACACCTATAGAGATATTCGATGTTATATAAGATTGTCATTCTACATGATATTCAATGGATTCAAACCTCTTAGTAGTACATATAGCTATGATCTTTGGTGTCCTCACAGTAGCAGATACTCTATAGGTCTGATCTTTATAGTTTTTTACTACTACTATAACATGGCTAACCCTTTAAAGTAGTGTTATGACAGCTATAACGCCATGTTGAATGACACAAGGCGTTTAGATATCATCTTGTCTATTGATCTATACCTATTTGATACGATAACACAACGCTATGCCTCCTCAAGGGAGTAGTATTACACATCTAGCAACTCGCTTGAGTTCTCTACAAACCGTCCAAGAACTCATCCAGCTCCTCTTCATGCTTAGCGAGGAGTGCTGCTACCTGGGACTGGGTAGTTCCATCCAAGTCATGGGCTGCATCTGCGATCGACGCTACCATCATTTGAAAGTGGGCGTGCGCTTCTGCTGCAAACTCAGCCATCTCCTCCTCCCTGTCCGCCGACGAAGAGTCACCGTACTCAGCAGCAGTATTCTCCGAATCCTATCATATGTAGTCAGTAAGTGATGTCTCTGAAAGAGTTTGAAGCTCATACCAAGCCTAGGCTGGCAGCAGAAGGCTCTGCAGAGCCTGCATTAGATTTATCGAAAATTCCTATCTCAAGGAATTTGTAGGTTTGTAAGAGGCACTTCTTTGCGTCAAAGTGCCCCTCCAAGCCTTTGAGCTCCCACTGGAGAGCCCCAAAACAGAAACCCAGAAGTATTCCCAGCTGTTGTTTGGCGTCTCCCTCGAGGAAGTCGCTTGAGAGGCTGGGTTTGATGATGTTCATTAGGTGGATGTCTCTTCCTCGCACCTTCCAAATTTTCTGTGGTACTAAGGCTTTGAGACTACCATCTTTCATCTCGTACATCATTGCGTTAGCATGATGTGCTATACTGTATGAGTGACGAGGTAGCGAAGTATCTGCTGTAATGTCCACAAAGACTTTCGCACCGGGCAGTCTTGTCGATGGTCTCAGGGTGCCAATGCAAACCAGATTGATTTCATTATCGACTTCAGGATGCCGGACCTCAGTGCTGATCTCAGATCTCTTAAGACCAACTTCGATGAGAGCTTCAACATCAGGAGTAAGGTTTCTAGAGGTGGACATGGTAGATCGGTGGATATAGCTGTACTGGTGGGCAAAGTAGAGAATGCAAGGAAATATTGAGAGATGATCAAACGATGCAACAGAAGATTAGCCGGTTGTCGATGATTGGAGAGTTTGTGGTTCGAAGGAGAAAGTTGAAGGTCAAGAAAAAGTTTGGTGGGTGGGTAGGGAGAGTGCGCAAGTCATAACATTCACTAACGCGCTAGCAAAATGCAGAAACCCGTGTGTGGTACAGACCCCCTAGCAAGCGAGGTGTTTGACATTTATGTACGGTGTCAGTGACGTATCCTCGATAGATACGCTGTCAAGGGATAGGCTGATGATAGTAGATCAACGCTTCTACGAACTTCTGTAACATATCCGGGCTCACTGGCTGTTTATTGCAGCACCACATAGCATAGAAAAATAGAATCTATATGGGATTGTCCATAGGCCGCACAGAGTACTCTCACACAGGAGCATAGTTCGATAAGCATTGAAATATATTTATAAGCTGCTGATATATAGGTACCGCTACGAATAGACGGAAGCTTACATACAGCTTGCAAGATTCAAATGGCCGTCGAGGTCTTATTTTTCTGCGGGAGTTTTCGAAGTTGTGCTAGATACTTTATATAGTCTTAATATGATTTAGTACAAAGCTATAATCTGCTTCCTCAGCCTAATGGGCGATACTTTAGCTTTTATGTACCCCGTCCGCCCCTGATTCGAAGCCGAAAAACGCTACGATTATAAAATCAAATCTTCCAAACCGCAGTTGAAGTATAGAAGAGTGGTACCCGATGACTTGGGTTGTCTTTGAAGATTTGAGGTATCGAGACCATCAGACAGTCAGCGACGGTACGCTTTGCATCTTTTCGATACACGCATAACTTGTGATGATATGCCCATTAGTAACCCCATTCCATTGTGTAACTCCTTCTCGGTGCCAGCGACTTGAACATGGTGGAGTCCACTGCTATGATACATTTCATTTTGGCCCAGCCTGTCTTACAAATTGACCAGCCAATATACAGGGTTGCCAACATGAAAGATCTTTCCATTCGTACGGCCTGTTACCGGACTCAGTGCTCTTCAGACACTGTCCCACCACTACCATACGTCCATGGGCTGAGTTGTCAAAGTTCAAACCGTCTTTCTTTCCCCTGAATATTGATTCCCATAACCAGTTTGTCCTAGGTTCGCTGATGTTACTATTTAGATGTAAGTCGTCTTATGCTTTGTGGCGGCCTAACACGCGCTGAGGACAAATTTTGACTTACTAACAGTGCCGATCTAGAGAAGGTCCGCTGTAATGGCAAGATCAATGATCTCATACGGGTGGGTCCATGCTCTGTTGAACACTGGGATCGTCGAGTGACAGTCTTCCCCAATTTTCAATCTTGTGGCTATGCTCATCGTACTAACGTGACCTGGGCAGGATTCTTGGAGAGAAATACTATGTGTCTGCACAGTATCAAAGCGGGGGGGTTCAATTATCTTCGCTGGCAGCGGCGAGTCGGCGTGGCCTAGACCATCTTTGCTGATCCCGATTCGCGTCTCGAATGAAGAGGACTATCTTGTCAATATAAGCTTCGCAGGAGTCGAAACTGATATCATCAGCACTTGCCCAGTTCCCAGTACAAGAAGGCGCATCTGAAATTGGTAGATTAGAAGTGGAGGATCAACCGGGCAAGGCTCTGCAAGGAGCACATTTCGAAGAATGTTAGGCGATATCTATTCTTCAAGGAAGCCATTAAACGATGTTCGGAGACTGAATCAAGGTGTGGGCGAATGTGTGCAATAGTATGAAGGTGGTGTTTGTGGAAACTTTCCTGCGAGCTTAGCGCAGTTTGTACAGAGCGAGAACTGTGCCGGCCTAGAACATTTGTCTTGATGGGTAGCGTGTAAAACATAGGAAACAATAGAATCCTTAAATTCCATCCTCGACGTATGGGAAGTTTCCTATTTCGCGGCTAGCATTGGCTTGACAATCCAAATTGTCCATGTTAGTCGGGCGATGACATCTTAACATGATTATATTCATCTGGCTGCGAGACCACTTTCATCGAAGACCCAACAGTGACTGATAAGGGCCAATACTCAACATTCTCCAACCACTCAGCTGCTATACATTCGCTATCTTCCATCCACCTCTTACTCTCGTGGCAAGCGCGTACCCCTGAATTCCTATAGATTGGGCATAGTGTTCGATGGGTACGGTGCTTGAAGCATCCATATTCGATTCTTCTTCTCAGACTCACTGCTACTTCTTGTTTGGCGTAGCGACTGATCCACAACTTGACAAGCGCGACTGTGACAGAGGCCGAGCATCTGGGCGCATGTGGTACAGACAAGCAAAGAGGAGGATTAGTATGAGCGAGAAGCCCTGCGAACAATTATAAAGAGACTCAGAAATACACAATATATGCACCGTCTGATGCAGAAAACATAGCAGATTTAAGCTTCTGACACGGGATCTCCAGAGCACGTAAAAAGACAGTGGAAGGTAAAAATTATGATCATCTGCAGGGCGATATCTGAATATAAGACGAGCATTGCCACTGTGGCCCTGATAGACACATAATCTACAATAGAAATTCTGCTGACTTCTCCAGGGTTGAGGGCTCCCCCATTTGAATAGCGCACCCTCCTCACGACCGGACTCTTATAAAGAACACCACCAAGAAGAGAAGGAGAATAAAATGAAGAGTATTGTTGAGAATCTGGTATAGGAAACAAGACATATCATACATGCATCAGGGCAAGTCCAGTAAAAGACCCTTCTCCGTCATAGTACTTCCTCCTGCCACCTCCATCCAAATTGAACCGGTACAGCGTCCCACTAAGATCCGTACAGTAGATGTATTTGTTCTTCATATCAACAGCTAGCCCGATCGTCTCGTGCATGTTGCGTGCGATTAAATCATAGTGCTCCTCCGGCATACTCTTTACACTGGGGTCCGTGATTGCTCTTAGCCTGGAAAAAGACGCTCGATTGATCGAGTTTCCAATCGGCAGCTCTCCTCTATCCGACCAGTATAGGATATGACCTTCTTCATCGCATTCGAGATCGATGGATTCAGGAAGTTTCTGAAACACACATTCTATATCAGTCCGATTTGTCGCGTTCTGGCCAGCAGGGAAATCGATATTAGCGCGCATGATCTTGCCTTGGTTGCTCTTCGAGTAGCCTTTCTGCGTCCAGTAGAATTGGCCTGTTGATGGTGAAACAGCGATACCAACACACCAGCGCATCTGATCTTTCATCTCGTCCGGGTTGCGCCAGTCGCCGTTTTGCACGAGGACCTCATGGTTGGAGCCATCACCATTACAGCGCATCACACGGAGACCTTCGCGTTCGCAGAAGTAAAGCTTCTTGTTTACGCGGTCTATTGTTATTTGCTTACCTGTATGGATGTTTCCAACAGGGACGACAACCTGGATGTCGGAGCCATCGAGGTTAGTGGAATAGACACAACCGTCATTCGCGGACGGTATGCCCATGCTTGTCCAGAATATTTTACCCAGGTTCAGTGATATCGCAATCCCATCGGGCATGTGCTGCCTGTCGACTAAAGTCTTGAGTGGGCGTCCATCGGTCCCTCCCATTAGGATACGACCTTTGTTAAAGAAGTCCTTGGGCGAGTTGCTAAGGCCGATATCAAGGAAGTATATTGTGGGAGCATGCAACGCGTCGCGGTGATCAGCGGAATTCTGAGCAGTCTCTTGAGCCGTACCAGGAGGATACAAGCCACCTTTGCTGGATTTCGTACCAAGCTTGCCTTCATCAATGTATCTCTGGAGGTAGTCGACGGTATGCTCGGTGGGTAAGTTTCTCTCTTTGGCATAGTGCTGTTCAACGAAAGATACAGTGTCTAGACCGACAGCGTCCATCATCTTACAAGGCCCAGCGGTGTTCTTTGTATACATCTCAGCCCACACCGAGTCCAATTCCTCAGGGGTTGCAACTCCTTGAGATACGATCATGAGTGCCTCGCGCTTGATCGCCGCCCACATGCGACTGATCACAAAGCCTGTCGGTTCATTGCGAGCCTGTACAGGTAGATAGCCAATCTCCGCCAGGCGCTGCGAAAGGAAGGAAGATACGCGTTCATCAGTTTGTCCATCTGTCATGAGTTCGACCATCTTATTCTGAGCTACGAGAAATCAGCAGCCCATCGCTATACTGGACAGAACTTACGAGACATCGTCCAGTGCATATTACAAATCCCTTTCTTTGTCTCGTCGCCTACCTTTTCGAGCGCCTCCCTCGACACATAGCTCGATGAAATTGTACACATCATCGCGTCTCTTGGTGCATGCCTCTCAAGCTCTGTACACATATTCACTTTGAAGTCGAGTCGTTCCGGGAAGCACTCAATGACAAGCCAGGCATCCTTGACCGCCGTCTCGAGGTCATCGTATGCACGTACAGTCCCACAAGCGCCACCTTCTGCCGCCAGAAACGTCGAAATGCTGGTCTCAAAATAACGTACTGCACTCGCACGTTGTTCTTCGTCTGGATCACGGATGTTGCAGTCATAGCCCCCGGCTGCCCACGCACAGGCGATACGTCGTCCCAGAACGCCGCCGCCGAGCACACATACTGGATGATTTTCGGTTTGGGGCAAGATGAGGGCTGACATTCTGATATCTGGTGATCAGAGGATGTACATGGTGTCGGAAGTGAACCACTGGAACAAAAGACCAATACTAGTCAAATGAATAGTGCTCAATTACACATTATTAAGCGTGAAAACCACAATGGTCATGGCTGGGCTGACAAAAAAACTTTCTGAGAAGGTCTCGGAGTTACTGCTGGACTAGCTTCTTGGTTTGCAGCCGAGTGGCACCGCATCCATACTAGTAGGTATCCGGATTGAATGTATGTCCGTACGTGAGCTGGTTTATCAATGGCAATGTTGAGCAAGAAAGGCTCGGGTCATTGCTGAAACCCTTCCCGTGCTCTTTGCTACGTAACGGTATGGTATTTCATTCGTGTTATGCACGTCTCCGAGGCCCTTCTTATCTTTGCTAACTAGGTAGGGTAGAGGCGTAAGGGGGAGAGAGAGAGCCTTAGCCTCGTGCCCGGCTTGAAACGCATGAACTTCGTGGATTAGGAGTTTTATGTAGCGCAGCAGGGTTGGGAGTGCTAGGGGATGTCAATGGATCTGGAGCAGAAGGATGGACTGCATTAAACGACACAGTAATAATGCAATCCGAGCTTATGTAAATGAAACATGACTCGGTATGAACAAGCACTCGCCTAATCTACATCATGCATTATTGAAAGGAATTAGCAGACCTCTATAGCAGCTCCAAATTCAGTCGCAACATTCTATGTACCATGTAAAACGCCCTCGCTATGCAGCTGTGACTAGACCAGACGAAATGCGAGAAATGCCACCACCATCAGTGTAGATGATTTAGAGAGCGATATTGCGCCAAGTAAATGCTCAGACATTGAAATTGACCCACTCTCGCTTGGGTGGATATTCCGGCATGATGTCATCCTTAAATTTGCCATTTTCAACAGCAAACTTGTACGCCTCCGTAAGAATCCCAGTATCGACACTGGGTGGCAACTGGGGCTCTGCTGCGGTATTCGGCTGCGGAATATCAGTGAGCCATATCCGTTCCCAGTCTCTGCCATTTGGCTGATAGAAAGGTAAACTGTTTTGTGCCCTTTTAGATCCACCCTCAGTGTTTGGAGGCCATGTCTGGTAAGAGACAGGTCGACCATTGAATGACGACAAAAGGCCGTTCTGATTTTTCGTTCTTGAATCTACCGTGGATGGCGGGAATATAGTAGACCCCTGCGCTGGAGAAGTAGAAAATCCATTTGCATTTGCTTGCGTGGATGTGGCTCGATTGGCAGCAGTATCGAAATTCGATGCGGATTGGCCAAATGCAGACGTTTGTGGGGTATTTCCTTGGGCAACATGGGGTGACTGGTTAGCTCCACTGATACCGGCACCGAAGGGCGATGCACCAAATGCATGCTGAGAAGGCTTTCCAAAAGCACTTCCGCCAGTATTTAGTTGTCCACCAAACGACGCAGGCTGAGATGGCGTTCCGAACGCTGGTTTACCAAAAGCTGATGGCTGACCAAACGCTGGCGCGGCTGCTGTCTGCGAGGGCTGCCCGAATGCTGATGCAGCTCCTGGCTGCGAAGGCTGACCAAAGGCTGATGTTGCGCCCGGCTGTGATGGTTGACCAAATGCCGGTGTTGAACCGGATTGCGAGGGCTGACCAAATGTCGATGTCGAACCTGGCTGTGATGCCTGACCAAACGTTGAATTTGAGCCTTGAGATTGTGTTTGGCCAAGAGTAGATGGCTGCCCAAAGGCAGGCTGTCCGAATGCTGGTGTTGGTCCTGGCTGTGGGACTTGGCCGAATGCAGACGTTAGTCCTGGCTGAGAGGGTTGTCCAAATGTCGACGATGTGCCTGACTGGCCGAAAGCAGGTTGTGACGGCTGGCTGAAGGCAGACTTCTGCCCAAAGCCTGGAGCTGACGGTTGTCCAAATGCTGATTGTCCCCCTAAAGCAGAGCTATTCCCAAGTGGTGCTGATGGCTGGCCAAACGCAGATACTGGCTGAGAGGGTTGGCCGAAAGTTGGTGTAGAGCCAAGTGCTGATGGCCGACCAAAAGCTGTGTTTTGCGCTGGCGCGGATGGTTGTCCGAATGCAGACGTCTGGGTGGGAGCAGAAGGTTGACCAAATGTTGATGTATTCTGACCAAAGGTTGCGGGCGTTGAAGATACCGTAGAAAAGGCATTACTTCGGGCTTGATTGCCTATACCTGACGTATTTCCCGATACGCACTCGTCATGTCTATTAGGATGGGCATCTCGACCATCAAGGACATACTTGACTGCTCCATTAAGATCGCCTAAGCATTTCTGGATCTGACCATTCACTTGTTCTGCAAGTGCGCGCTCATCTTGCATCTAACAAAATGATCAGTGAATAACTTCTTGAATGCAAAGCGCTATGCTTACCGCAGCTTCCGGTTTCCCATTTGCAACAGCAGCATATGCTAGCATGCGCATTTCCTCGGGACTCTGCTCGACTGGAAAGCCACCAAAAAGCTGCCTAGGGGCATCTTTGCCGGGTCCATAGCTCGACAAAGGCCAAATAGGCCGTTCTTTCGAGAGATCGGTCTCTATAGCACTAGCGGTAACGCCATATCTGTAGGTGAATGAGACAAAGTGCTGGTACAATCAGGATCTACTTACGTATTGTCATCCCTAGTATTGCTACCCCCTGCATCAAATGTTACCCCTCATCTGTCAAATTTGAAATAGGGAATTTACCAGGTCGGTATCGATCTCCGAACGTGCGCCCCGAATTCGACGGGGCATTGAAAGCGTTGAAGCGATTTTGATTCTGGGTCCCACCAGGGCCAGCATGCTCAAACTTGCAGTCGTCTGTATACGAAGTAAGCATAGTGCGACCTCTATGGATTTACTGGCCCTCACTTCCATTCCTGCAGTTACCCTGCTGCCAGAACCTGCAGATGGGCATGATGTCTTGCAGGTGGTTTAGCTTCGAGCTAGATCTGAGATGTTATTTTATGTGTGTCTTTCCTCGTCGACCAGAGTTTTGTGTCTGAGGGTTGCAAGATATCGTTAGGTGTCGCGATGAAACTTCGATTGACACGACGGATGGTGGTGGATATATAATGTGATGCAAGGTCAAGCAAGGATGCGAATGAGCCGCGTCGCGTCGGTGCGCTAGACGTGGATCTAAAGCCTCTGCTAAGCTTCTTAAGGTAAAAATTCACCTCCGCTCCATCCTCAATTCACCTGGAGAGACTTTGAATATATCATAAGAGATGGCTTTACGTACAGGCTGGATACTGCCTCGTTGAGCAATAATTACTCGTGCTTTACACGTTCCGTTGAACTTTTTTCCTCGAGATATGCAATCTTTTGTTGAGTGACTTGATTGAGCGGGTCACGTGATAGCGGAGCTAACGCGGGACAGCCCGCTTGCAGATCTCCAACTTCAAACGACGCTTCTCCTCGCGCCAGATAATTCAAACATGAGCAATGACTGCATCGGACGACATCCTTTCGACAACTTAGCGGCCACTACAGTCTGTGCATCGCTCGTTCTCTCGAGTCGTCGATCGGGTCGCCAATCGTTCGCAAAATCTTTCGACCAGCGCATTGGCATGTGTGCCGAGTCATCGCCAATCTATGCACCCGTTTTCCGGAATCACGTTAGGCATATTCGTTGCTGGCTATATAACGGCGCGGTGGGACCTGGTGACACGGCTGTATGAGCTTGCGATATTCGCGTGGGATCACGGTGTAGTTGTGAGTGACCGATTAGCTTCCCGTCTGTACCTAAAACTAATATATTCTGAAATAGACACGAACTGCGAAGGGATTTGGCATACTTTCTGTATTCTTCCTGCTACTCATTGTACCTCTTGAAAGAATTGCACTGCAGGAAGCACGTCTGGTTAATAGCCCATACACCGTTGTATAGATTGGGAAGAAGCTCATTACTTTGATAGCACCCGCGAACAGCTGGCGGCGGAATTTCTGCTCGTGAACAACTTAAGCGGCGGGGATCTTTCTGAGAACATCGGAAGATGATATGGTTGTGACCAATGGCTTGATGCGCATCTTTTGGCCCTCTGGCACACATCATGCCTCGCAGAATGGAGTCCTCTTGGGTTGGAAAAACTCAGAGCTCGACTTCTTCGTTGTCTGCGTTATGCTCGACGTCGAGGTATGATAATTGTTAGAGGTCAAAGTCGTGACTGACGATGCGACAGCTCAGAAGCGTGAACAATGCGCTGCAAGTGGGAACCTTATACCGTAATGCGCCACATCCAATCAGCCAAATTTTCGATCGTTGTGGTGGATCTCCATTACAAGTGTTAGGACTGCTGAATCCCATCCAGGCACCGACTAGGTTCGATATCACCTGCATTATAGTCTACACGGAGCCCAATACCAAGCGACCACGATTGTTTTGCCCCGAGAACGGTCTAACTATACAGATAATCATTTTCGACCGTCCACACTCGACGCGTATGCAGTATATGTCTTTGACGCCAATGACCTTGGCGCTCGACGATAAACCAGAGCGGTCCGGCCAGGGGACACCACTGGGCGACATCGAGGCAGCAGAAGAGCTCGAGAGAGAGAGGAAAATGGCACTTGTGCAAAAGCTGAAACTTCACACAGTAACAAGTCATCCACCTACCCGGAAGGAACTCTCACTACCTCACATAATCGACCAGATCAACTGCTCTTTTGAGCTTGCAGCATTGTTGCAGAGAAATATAGGGCTTGTGGGAGTCCGAGCAAAGCGTGCGCTGAGTGTCAGTGAAAAAGTCGTGGAATCAGCGACTGACCTGTGGGACTACATACATCTCGTCCTACAATATTTATGGACGATGTACATATACCCGGTCGCAGCTCATATATTTATCCTATGTTTGATGCTGCACAGGGTATTCGGAGAGCTTGTGTTGCGCATCCTGGACTGGAGAGTGTCTGACGAAGCTGCCGCTCTGAAAGATATCTCGGCGACTGCGCAACAAGTGGATATCCGTCTCCAACAGTTTTGCTATTGGCCTATTCAGTACCTCACAATACGCAAGCGAAAGGCCAACTGGGAGAGTATCACCAACAACCATCCTGAGTATATCCGGTTCTACAATAGCCTGTGGCTTGTTGCTAACGACGTCATCATCGGTATTGCACTTGGCTCTTACATCATTGAAAATGCCGTCCTTGTAGCCTCCCAGATGGATATGGTATTCAATACATGGTCCGTAGAAGGCCTGCGGCGGATGATATCATGGCTGATGGAATGGCCTGGAGGGCTGAAGCTCAACACCGAGCTCGCCGCTTTCCTGGGTGACCTTTTCCTGTGGGTTATTGATCACTGGGCTGGAGCAATGTCAATGCTCCGACCCGCACTCCCTGGAATTATTCGCTTCATCGGCTTTTCGAGTTTTGCTGGCGCCACGATGCCGATATCGCTGTTCGCGGATCTGGTTTCTCTTCTCACACTGCATATCTACTCTTTTTACGTCGCGTCAGCAAGAATTTTCAATTGGCAGCTGACGATAATAATTTCACTTTTTCATCTGTTCCGGGGAAAGAAGCGTAATGTTTTGCGAAATCGTATAGATTCATGCGACTACGAACTTGACCAGCTGTTGCTGGGAACGATACTATTCACGCTTCTGTTCTTCCTACTTCCTACAGTGTTTGTCTTCTATTTGACATTTGCTTCTGCGCGCATGGCCATCATTTCTGTGAAGGCTGGTTTGGATACCCTGCTTGCGTGTTTGAATCATTTCCCACTGTTCGCTTTGATGTTACGCATCAAAGATTCAAGGAGGCTACCAGGTAAGAAGACGCTCGTTATCAAGTCTAGGCACTGCTAATGTCGATTATCTCAGGTGGTATTAGATTTGACCTGCAGCCGACTCTGCGCACATACAGGCCTACATCAATGGATTCGGGCTCAAGTACGTCTCACATTAATCTGCGATCCGTACCACTGCCGTTGAACGCCATGTTCCACGAGTATTTTGCGTTGGGAAATCGGATCAGGAAGCATTATTTATCACCAGGAGTGTTTCTGTGCCTTGTCACAGGCCGATTTGTGCCTCCTATCCATCGTAAAAACCTCTATTCTTTGCAATACTCTATGCTACCCGCGCGCAGAGCAGGCATTCGTGAGCTGTGGAGCAAACTTATGGAGGAGAAACCAGAAGACAGAGTCAAGATCAACGCAGCTTGGAACGGTCGGAAAGTGATGAATGGTCTAACAAACCGAAAAGGCTTTAACAACATGGATGGGATACGTGGTGGTGCGCTCGGCAGAGTCCGCAGTCGAGAATTTGGTTGATTGGCGCAATTGAAAATTGCACGTATCTACAACCTTGAAGGTCTATTCCAGGAGATCTCCTCTCAAATGCATAATCACGAGAGGGATCCTGAACAGATGCATACGTGAATGTGTAGCCTGAGGCTTGGCTCCTGCCTGAAACGGACTGGAACGCCTAATTGAGCAGTCCGAGGCGTTCCTGGCTCGGCACCACAACCAGGCACATCATCAGGCACGAATGCTGAATCGCGCAACGTGGTTGACTGATTGGCTACATCATTCTGCAATCAAGCCAAGCTTCGGATCCTCGACATCTGTAGATGCACCAGTGGACGGGCGATTGCCGACAATGATTTCTCCCCGGGTTGATGTTTTAAATACGCCCATATCCATCCAGTTCCCCCATAGTCAGCGCCGGTCTCGAATTACTGGCCTTTTACGACAACAGAATGAAGCTCTCCGCCGTTACCGATGGCATAGCGGTTTTGTCCTTGTCTAACCTTGGCTTAGCACTCACGATAGCTGAGATCAATGGCAACAGGTTCCTTTCACCGTATGCTGGACAGGCGGTTTCGAACGTAACTGGTCTTGTCACTGCAAAGAGTCCTGCCGGCATATATATCCGGTCAACCACACCGGACAACGATGTCGCCACTTCAGAATCACTCCACGTATTTAGCAGCACCATAGGACGGAATTTGTCAGTTGGCGACATTGTCAATCTCGGCGGCGTCATTACAGAATACCGTCCGGTGGCGAATCCGACGTACATGCTTCTGACCGAGCTCACCAGCCCGCGTAACGTGACCAAGCTGTCTTCGGGGACCACAGTCGCTCCTTTAGTGATTGGCAAGGATACTGGCTCACCACCGACTCAGCAGTACTCTGGGCTTGACAACGGAGATATCTTTGGAGTGCCCAACAATTCTAGTCAAATCTCCATTGCGAACCCTTTGTTAAGACCTGGTGATTTTGGTCTGGACTTCTGGGAGAGCTTGTCAGGAGAGCTCGTGACCGTGAAAGGCGTGAAAGCCATCAGTAAACCGAATAATTTTGGTGACACTTGGGTCACTGGCGATTGGAAAGTATCAGGCAGGAATTCTAGAGGCGGACTGACGATGACGAACAAAGGCAACATAACTATCATTCACACGTTACGTGAGGCTGACAGCGTACAGACGGGAATCCTGAGGCCATTATTATAGGCACTCCTCTTGATGGGACAAACAATTCTGCCGGCACTAAGCTTGGTGATTCTCTCCAGGATATCACCGGTGTCATTACTTATGCCTTCGGCTTTTATCGCATCCTGCCATTAACTGGCATTGTCGTCACCAGCTCTGCTGCTCCCACTCTTCCATCCTCTACGACCTTGACTTCTGGCAAGACTTGTAAGGATCTGACCTTCGGATCGTACAATGTTGAGAACCTTACGCCAACAAAGTCAATTCTGCCTGCAATCGCTTCTCACATCGCCAACGTCATGAAATCTCCATCACTCGTCTTTCTCCAAGAGATACAAGACAACAATGGAGCAACCAATGATGCCATTGTTGATGCAAACTTGACCCTCGCCAGCCTCGCTTCTGCTATCAATAGCATCTCAGGCGTCAGTTACTCTTATGTCGACATTGACCCAGTAGACGACCAAGACGGTGGCGAGCCCGGTGGCAATATTCGTACCGCATACTTATACGACCCAGCAGTCCTCCGCCTCCGCAAAGTGAACCCTGGAAGCTCAACAGACGCGAACGAAGTCCTTGCCGGTCCAGAGCTCAAGTACAACCCCGGCCGCATCGACCCTACAAACCCAGCCTGGCAAGCATCTCGCAAACCCCTGGCTGCGGCATGGGAAACTCTCGACGGGCGCAATAAGTTTTTCACCATCAACGTCCACTTCGCATCCAAAGGCGGCTCATCTTCTATTCTATCGAAGGCGACTCGCGGCCACCAATCAATGGCGTCCTTGACGTGCGCACACAACAAGCAAATATCACCGCGACATTCATTCGCCAAATACTCTCCAAGGATCCTACGTCCTCGATCGTTACCGCGGGCGACTTTAACGAATTCGTCTTCGCAAACCCACTGAAAGTGTTTCAGCAGCAGTCGTCCATGCAAGACTTGGATGAAATCGCCGGTTTGGTGCCTGAGGAGCGGTATACGTATCTCTTTGATATGAATTGCCAGCAACTGGATCATATATTCGTGAGCCCGGCGCTGGCTGCAAAGAAGTATCTTGGACGTGTTAAATATGAGCACATCCATATCAACACATGGGAGAAGAGAGATGCGCAAATCAGTGACCATGACCCGAGTGTGGCCAAATTAGATGTATGTAGGCTGTTCTAGAGAGGTTTAGTAGTGGCTGTATGATACGTTGAGGTATTATATTATTACAATATGATACGCCGATGCGGTATGTTATCATCTAACCGGGACAAACCACGTACTGTGCTCGACAGAACAAATCTTCTTTGCGATCCTTTGGTCTAGTCTTCAATGTACTGGTGCGGTATGATGGAGCTAACCTCACATATTCTAGCAATTCAGGGCTTTCATGCCTGTCAGCAAAGAAGTAAATCGTTTGTTTAGGTCAAAGGTTTAGGAGACAGTAGTGACTTCCGTTGTAAGGCGTGTTACTTTGCTAAGTAACTCAGGCCCGGGGCACCACAAGCACGCCAAGACATACAGCTCTTGTTCTTTGCCCTGTGAACAGTGACTCTCACTATCGGTCCACTCCTCAGTTTTGTCGGACTTACAGGCACTCGCTCAGGCACTTCTATATCAATCAAAGCATCGTTAACATACATATGAATACACTCTCGCTTTTCATTACTTGAGATTGGCACATGCACATCCAAATAACGCTGCTACGCTTCGACAGTCCTATTATTCGAGACCACGATTCATAGCAGAATTGACGCCAGAAATGGCTCAGGTAGCACTCAAGGACACATGCTCTTCAAGGACAAACCGCAATCACCACTCTATCATCCATGCGCATAATAAGCGGAAAAGGCCACACAAGGGACCGTTCTTTGCCTGGAATGTCACATATGCCGACTTAATTAGCGGCAAAGCTCCACACATCTACAACACCGAGCGTGCAGGGCACACTGTCTCGCCGATATATTATGATTTGCGGTGGCCCCTCCAAGACAGCCAGCTCGGCCAGACAATTCGTGATCTTCACAATACCCTCGAGAGCATCCCAGCTTATCTATTGAACCTGGAGCGATGGTACAAGAAAACAAATCCTAAAAAATCGAGGTACATCTCTACAGAAGCACAAGACTCATCCATTTATGCAAATAGCGAGACAAACAGCACAGATAGGTCTTTCTTGAAAGAGCTTCATCCTGGCCTGTTACATCACATTCACCGCATTACCAATGGGTTGAAATTATACCACTGGGAATTTGTTCGAACGCACTTTGATGACTCTGTCCCCCAATGGCGAGACGAGGCGCGTAGGAGGCTTTTTAGCATTATGTATCTCGCATCGGCCTACACAATGAGTGTTCTCCAGTGTAAGTAGTAGCAATTGTACTATCATCATAGAATATGACCCTAATTCACTACTGCTAGATCTTGACGCAGTACACACGAGCGTCGCCCCTGATATGCCCCCTGGTCCCCGGAGCAAATGGGAGCAGATGCATGACTCGCTGTGTGCTTCAGGAACACTCAATCGTACATACATAGCGCTGTTCCCCAATCTCAGCCCTCTGTTATTGTATCTTTCCACAGGTACTGAACTTGGCCAGAGACTGCTCAACGAGCAGTACGGGCGTCTCCACCCGTGCTGTAATACATCGCATTATGAGGAGCTGTACTTGGGCACGGAGTCCGCTTTGTTTCGCCATAGGTACCCAGAGGATTTTTTGTGGGTTGAGCCGCTGAAGGGGAGTTAACGTAGAAAATTGCTGTACTTGGGGATTCTGATCTATCCACAGATGGCTATGTAGCAAACTTCGAAGTCCACAAACGACCGTTCTAATACAGTGCTTCATGGTCTTAGCTACTTAATCGTACGTATTAAAGCCTACCGGACAAGGGATAAGCCCAGGTATGTGGCAAACAACGAATGCAACACAACATCAGCTCTTCTATTCACGCATACACATAACCCTATGAACAGACATATTTAAAGTAATGCATGTGTAGACCATCGTTAGAGCTGATCGGTATTACTTATAGATCTTGCGTGATTGACTATGTTGTGTATCGCATACAGGCGCGACGACGTGTGCCGGAGTGATCAAATTACTGAATCGAGAAACCCTCGACCAACCGTGTTCGAAATATTAAGTACTGGCTAGACGTGCGGTATTTGACAGTAAAGTAGGAGTCGAACAGTCGAACTCATGCTTTTGATTTGCAACGGCTAATCAGACTGTGGCCGTCGCGTGATTGTTGGTGCACGAGTGCAACATTTCAAGTCAAAATGTCACGATACTGAGAATGACCAGAGGGTCAAGGACCCGAGAACGGTTGCTGAACAGTAGAAGGCGAATTCAAATAAGCAATCGCGACGTTAATTTTATGAGCACTATACATGTCAAGGCTAGCCAGCCGATGGTCCTGATATCTCTCTCCATACGCCACCAACGCCATTTTCCAGAGCCCTCACATGCGCCGAGGTCAAGATGATGCAAACCGCCGTCTACGGCATGTAAGCACCACCCGCCAGGACCAGATTCATGCGCGTAAACTGTACATGATACACCGGACTCTTCTTCGTCGGGAACGCACTGATCTGATCCGCCGACACGACAGTCTCCTTGGGCGTTTTTGTCTTCTTCCCAGCCGTCGTGCCAGCAGCTCCCGCAGCACCATCGATTTTTGTGCCAGCACCACCTTCAGCGACGATCTTGCCGTCAATAGTTTCTTGAACAGCGTCCCACACACGGACTGTTCCATCGGCACCACCCGATACCAGCACGGTGCTCTCCACGCTCCAGGAAAGACTCCAGATACCGCCTTTTGCATGGCCTCGCATGCGTTTCTTCCGGCGGCCTTTGGCCAGATCCCAGAGAATGATGGAGCCGGTGTCATCTGCTGTTGCGAGTACTTTGCCATCAGGGGAGCAAGCTATAGCGGTAATTGCACTTGTATGGCCAGTGAAAAGTCGGAGACAGCTACCGCTACTAATATGCCACATACGCACGGTCTTGTCGCACGATGCAGTAAATACATAGAGGTTATTGGGATGAAAGGCAACGCAGTCAACATCGTTGTCATGGCCTACATAGATTTTGTGAGGTTCCACGTGATCGGTTGACCATAGTCGAGCGGTCCAGTCCGCAGAGCCGGTGAGGAAATAATGGCCATAAGGACCCCATTTGACGTCCCACACGGGCGCATCATGACTCTTGTAGACGACCACGTTTGACCAGGTCTCTAATGACCACAAGCGGATCGATTTGTCGGCTGAGGACGAGAGGAGATATCTTGAGCTAGTGGAAGGCCCTGCCGGGTCAGGAGAAGCAGTTGATGGCGAGAATGAGACAGCATATACCGGACCAGAATGCCCATATAGACGCTTGGATGATGAAGGTGTAGAATTGTTAACACCAGGCGTATCTGGTAAAGCGGTGCCATCCATTGACCATACTCGGATATACGACTCAGCTGTGCCAACCGCAACCAGTGTATTGTCTCCGGAGAAGTCCATACAATTGACGCTAATACACGTGGTCAGTGCACCGAAGTAGCATGACGGAAAAGAACTTACTTGTCAAATGTGTTGTGGAACGTGAACATAGTCACACTAATGCCTGGACCCACGCCTCCAGTTCGGCCTGATATGCGGAATCGGTCTCTATGTTCAATGACCTTCTGTACCTCCATGTTCACATCGCGTGCTACAGATGGCGGAAGCGGTACCAAATCACGATTTGGAACATCGTCTTCGGGCTCTGTCTTGATACGCTGTTCAAATTCATCTACCAAAGAGTTCTGACCAGGTTTTGGAGGGTTTCTAGCATCTTCTTCCTCAAGTTGAGCTCGTACATCTTCTTGCAGTTCAGGCTCCATAGGCATCTGTGCCAATTGCAGCTTAGCCAGGATAGTCGACTCCCTTCCCGTATTTGCAGATCCAGGTGCATGACCAGGAATACCCTCATCCTCGCCTGGTAGATCATCGTCGTGGCCTGTGCCAAATCTAATTGCTTGAATAGTCCGTTCAGGTCCCGCTGCTGAACGCTCGAAAGTTACGATGTTCATGTGATTTTGAAGAATCATGAGCAGGACGCTGCCACCTTCTCGCTCCTTGGACTCTAGGAACTGAAGTAAGCTGCTGAAAGCCATGTTCGTCAACGACAGTCGGTACTTGTTGTTACGATATAACTTGGCTGTCTGATTCTCGCTAACATGTTCAGGATTCCTGATTGCCTCGAGTTGACGGACATCGTCTGGGTGATCCCGCATAAAGGAGTCTTTGTACAGTGCGAAATACTTCTTGCTATCATCCTGATAGAAGTCGGCGGCGAGCTGAAGAAATGAATACACGAAAATTGGCCATAGCAGCTTTCTTAGCTCAGGCTGGTACAGATCAATGTTTCCATCGATCCAAGTCCGAAGCAGTTCATAGGAACGCTGAAATTTAGCGAAGCCGCTTTCATCGACTGGAGCGCGATTAGAATCTAACTGTGAAGACTCCTTTCTGAGCATAGCTTCAGTCCTGTTATAGCCCTTCTTGTTTAGATATTCCAATACCTATATTATGTTAGCCTGTATGGGGAATCGTTTTGATGACAAAAGAATCTCGACCAAAAGAAAAGCACGATAGGGTGTAAACTCATCATCATGAGTCCGCCCTTGCCCCGGTGGAGCCTGCATCGGCGAAGCTCGCAGTCGCAGAGGCGGCTGAAGGCGAGGAAAGGCTAGAGGCGGAGGACGCGAAAAGGATGGGATATCGGACGGTTTGAACGAACGCCGATAAGGAGACACAAGCGTCTTCGCCATGCTCCAGTGAGGAGCCACATTGGTGGAACGTACAATTTGATTGAGATTTTGCTGCGACTGGGACTGTGCCGCGGCCGCTGCTGGAGTTGTCGCCTGTTGCGGAGGCATTGGTTGCTGAGGCGCCATACCAGCACTGGGAGGACCATTGTTGACACTAACACTCCGTGAACCAGGTGCACCTGGCCCAGGAGGAGGGCCAGACATCTCGAAGGAGACTTTCCGGCCTCGATGGAATGCCTGATAGATCTGGATATTGGTGCGGTGTCTTCTGTTGGAAACGCGTGACTTCAGGTCAATATGCGAATACACACGGAGCCTGGGCAATGTCTACATATGCTGAGCAAGAGTTCGATATTGCTGTGCTGAGAGGAGTAGGTTTGCGCAGATGTGCGAGGTGGAGATGCGTATTAATGTGATGAAGCGCCACAGCAGACAAAGCTGTGTGATCAACGCGCAGCGAGCCGACTGCTCCGTAGTTACCGTACGGAGCAGCTCCGCAGTCAGAACAGAACTTAGCGGATTCACTTCTCTCTCATGCATGTCCTAAACCCGAGCGCCTGACGTCGATACGCGATGGAAGGTAGTCCACCTAAAGAATTGCGCGACGCCTCGAACGCTGCTAAGCACATTCGCGAGTTGAATGTCATTGATCAGGTAAGACTATGTTAACTACTTGCTGAATCTAGCTAAATGTCAATAAGAAAATTCCAGAGATCCTCAAATATGCTCGCGCCGCCATGGTCGCCCTTTCACCTTCGCCTACGAATAACCCAACACTAGCTGAGAATGACCCGGATCCAACAGATGAGCACAAAAGAGCCTTTCTCAAGGCAGCCAGAAGGTACTTTTCCCTCGTTCTTGACGTACAAGATGCGCTCGCAGCACAGACGAAAGCCCTTGAAGACGCAGGTATAATTGCTAGCAAAGCAGAAGATCAAGGAGATGGAAGACACATGAGTCTCGGACAACTGGATGTGGGCTGGCTCAATGAACGAAGAGGGGATGTCGGACGAGGTTTCGAGGGTGAATTGATGGCTCAAGCAAGGGCGGTAGTGGAGAAGCTACTCAAAGAGCGCGGAAGTACAGAACATACAATGACTGGAGTCTGATATGACGATGTGCGTACATCGGTCTCCTCGTAGCATTCGTAGGTCACGACGAGGTACTCTGGAATGCTTGGATAGTGTGCAATTCCTGGCATCGGTCCGTAGTATTGCTTCTTACTGAGGGCCGGCGGGACAAAGTGCCTGGGCCTCCTGGGCAGCATACTCTTACCCTTGCCACGACTTAGGAGCCTGTCGAATGTGCTATAACATAGCCATAAAGCCGCTCCAGAGCAATTATGTGTCCCCGGGCGCAGAAAAGACGAGACGACCACGATGAGTGCAATAAGTGTAAGCCCAATCAATGGGGATTGGTCTGCTGTGACTATTTCAGACCATTGGTATTACCAGCAGCGACATTGACTACGCTTAACCCCTGAAGATTCTTCAGAAGGTCATTCGCGAGTTCGAAATCGATATCTATGTCACTTTTCTCTTCATCTTCTGATGCTTCGAAGACGTTGCCAACCGCCTCGTTGGCCTGATTTCTCTTCACTTTCCCAGTTGTCACTGGCTCCCCGGAACACTTGACCCCCGATGTACGTGCAGACCTTCCTGATGGGTCTATGTTCAAGTTAAGAGCCTCAGCAGCTTTCAATTCCAATCCCATGAGCTCCGACAACGTTCTAATATCTTCAGCGTCGTCTCCGTCATCATCATCATCAACATCCTCAGAAGTATCAGCCTTGGCACCATCTACCTTGAACTCTGTCAGGGATGCTAGTGCCCTTCCCAATTCTACTCTGTCTTGATGTGTTTCTCCTCCTAATGCAGGCGGAAGGCCCATCATTTCAGTCATCAGTTTCACGAACTCTTCCTCATCGAACGAGACTTCTCGGTCCTCGTCCTCATCTGTTTGGTCTTCTTCGTCTTCGTTATCGTTATCTTCGTCCATATCATCAGATTCGTCGTTATTCAAGAAATCTTCAAATCGCTGCACCATCTTGCGCAGATTGTCTTGAGTCGCCTCATCACCAAAGCCTCCCTTGGCGCCTCTCTTTCCATTGCCTTTCCTTCCCTGAAGCTCATCTTCAAGACTCTCCAGGTCGATATCCAACCAGTCTTCGTTATCCTCCTGGACTACCCATGATTCTACCTCTTTGTCGCATGGGAGCTGCTCTTCGCCACTACCAAGATCTTCCAGTAGAAGTTTTATTTCTCGCACAGCACGTTTGTCCTGATTTTGCGGATCCTCCACCAACATTTCAAACCCACAAGTAAGCTTCATTGCGACTTCCCAACGCTTTCGTGTGACAGCATCATTGGTCTCGTGCAGCCACTCCTCCCATAGTTTCGAGGGCGTGAAATCCTGACTGTAGAGTTGTGCGTACCCCACCTTGTTGAAACCTACCACAGTTTTAACGAAGTCCTCGGGCGGAAAGTTGAGGGTGCTTTTGTCTTTCGTATTTAATGGCCGGACTGCTATAGGATCGCGGAGATAGAATGCTTCTATAGCTGCACTGACATGACTTGGATTTTTATGTACTACATATGCAAGCCTCCGTGGAATGTATAGTGGTGCATGATGGAGATTGTCTTTGATCTGACCTGGATGATTGCGAATGCGGTAAAAAGCCTCCTCCTCGATTAATGGCGAATGTGTCAACTTTCTTGGGCTTCGACATATAAAGCAAGTAGCCTCTATCATTGACAACGGCTTCGTGATCGGGCTGGTTCTCCCTTGCGACGTCAACGATTGATGCAATGGAATGATGAGAAGCTTCCCTCCATGAATCCACACTCTATTTTGGGCAACCTCGGGATTGAGCCAGCGCGGAAGCGCATTTGCTGCTTCTATCAGCAGGAATTCTCCATCAGTGTCATATACTCGTATCCAGGCGTTGTCAATTAGTCGGCTCAGCTCCCTTAGTAAATACACGATGAGCCATTCGTCCGCGACGGAATCGCCAAAATCTGTACGGCCGTGGAGGATCCAGAAATTGTCTTCTCGCTTGAGATTGAGAGTAAAGATATCTCTCTGCCAGATATAGTCTTTCAGTAGTTCCCTACTCAGTCTAGAAGCTGTACGCTCCACATTGCTGAGTTTTTCCCTGATCGCCGTATCCGGAAGTTTGGAATCAATAATGCGTATACTGTACTCAACGCAGTCTCCGGGAAGTCGCTTGGGGAATCCATCAAACCCTTCACCAAACCACTTGAGTCCATCATCTTGTGGTCGCTCCATTTTGACATGGAAACGAGATGAACGGAATGCCCGACCAGGAGGCAACTTCAAAGCTCCGACGTTCTTGGCATCGGTAGATTCACGTGATGACGCATGACTAGCGCAACAAAATAGGCTTAAATCCGGCGCGGCTTCTTTGTTTACTTGACAAGCGCGTTCCATCAGATACCTATGTACAACAATCACACGCAGGCGCTTGCATTTCGACGCGCCATCGTTTCTCTTCCGCATGGTCTGCTACACTCATTAACCCTAAATTCTTCGTATCCCCAAGAACGTCGCGCCACGCTCCCATGATGGCAGGCATAGTTGAATCGCCGCGCACCGATTACGGCGAAACTCATATAGCAGAGGGTATGAGTTTTGCCGCGCCTGAGTTCTCGGAGGTTCAATCATTCGCGTCACCGTCCAAGGGACCCGGCGGACGCCAGGATATCGTATCACAAATGCGCTCGCAACGCGGAATACACTCTACACCCGTACAACAACGGATCCCGCTCGCTCAGCTGCGACAACCACGTCGAGCGGAGGAGTTCACTCCCCTCCTAAAATCTGCTACAAAGCGCGCCGCTCTCGCCGAACATCTTGGCGATCATGATACTACCCCTCGTTTCAGGGTACCTGGGGAGGCCATTACACCTGCCGCAATGAAGCCAGGCTTTAAACTAGGGAACACGCCATTACCAGAACCCAGCGAAATGTACAGCTCCAGTAGCCTAGTCAATCAGTCAACCGGAACGCCTCTACCACCGGCCGCGAGTAGCAGTATGATGAGCACTCCTTTGGCATTACCAAGAAGAGGTGAGGAAGGATTCGGAGACGGTGGAAACGTTTTGACGCTCCGCGAGCAGGAAGCTGTAAGTTCAGATGATTTCCTTCTAAACCACACGCTCATGATTCTTTAGAAACTTGAACAGATCGACAAAGAAAACTTTGGCCTGAAGCTAAAGATACACTATCTAGAAGAAAACTTGACCAGGAACGGACCCGAACATTACCAAATAATGTCCAAAGAGAACGTCGAACTGAAGAAAAGCTCTGCAGAAATGCAATTGAACCTTCGGACCTATCGAAAGTCTATGAAACAGGCAGAGTACGAGCTGGAGCAATATCGACAACAACTCAGGGAATATGCAGAGAAGGTTAAGAGAAGGCACATGGACGATGCGATACGGGAAGAAATGGATGAGCTCCGGAGAATAAATGAGGAGCGTGCTGTTGAGCTCGACGAACTTCGAGAAAAACTGGACAATGCACAATCGGACGACCGACAAGCCGAGAAATACCGAGATGATATTGGTGACCTTGAGGCAGAGCTGCGCGAGAAGGAGAGCCTGCTTGATCAGAAAGAAGACGAGGTAGAAGCACTGGAGGCCAAGCTTCGAGTCGCGAGCGGTGAGGCTGACGCTGAGGTTGAGGAGAAAGACAGGCGGATTGCAGAACAGGAGGAGCATATTGCTGCGCTGAAAGACGATCTACAGCGCCTAGAGCGAGAACGGGACAATGAGGGAGAAGAAGTGCAAAGCCGGCTTGACAAGCAGCTTCAGGCGAAGAATGCCGAACTTGAAGAGTTGAAACAAAGGCTGCACACGTCTGACGAAGAAGCACTTCGAAAACAAGCAGATCTGGAAGAGCAACTCAAGAGCCTTGATCGCGAGAAGCAACTCGAGATCCGTGCGCTTCAACGCCAAGCCCAGTCTATGGAGCATTCTAAGCAAGACGATATTGATTCTCTTATGGACCGGATCAGGCTTGCTGAATCTCAGGGCGACAATCAAGTGCAATTGGTGCAGCAAGCGGCAAACGATTCTCGCGAGCAGGCACGAAAAGCCCTAAGAGAGAAAGATTCTCAAATCGAGAGCTTGACGGTACGACTAGATGCCGCAGAATCTCAACTGGAGGAGCTTGAAGAGGTGCGAAACCAACTCAGAGAGCTCAACGAGAAGCAACAACAAGCAGGTGCCAATGAAGCTGCATCCAGAGAGCTCACACAGACGGTGCAAATAAAACTTGACGCACGAGAGAAGGAGATCGAATCTCTAAAGAAATTTTCAGAGGAGAGAAATGCTGCCATCGAGGAAGTGCAGCGTCTTCAACAGCGACTTAGCCAGCGCGACCAAGAATTGACCACTATACGGAAAGCTGTCTCTACACAGGAGACGACTATAGAAGAGATGAAGCAACTCCAATTTATGGTCAATGAGCGCACGCGGGAACTAGAGAATGCACGGAAATCTCTGCAAGAGCGCAACTCCGAATTAGAAGCTCTTCGACAGCACGCAGATGAACCCGATTCTCAACTGGAAGCAGTCCAAAATATAGTGCGTGACCGCGATAACGAGCTGGAAGATCTCCGTGACGACCTCAGCCGCAAAGATAGAGAGCTCGACGACGCCAAGGATACGGCAGCAGAGCGCCTAGAGACCATAAGAGAGCTTCAAGTTGAGCTTGAGACTGCTAAGCAGGATCTAGAAGATGAGATTCAGGTGTTGGTTGATGATGCTGAGGACACGAAGCAAGAGAGGAAGGAGCTGCGAGAAAAGGTCATTTTGCTAGAGAAAGAGCTTGAAGAATCGCACAACATTCAAGTCAAAGTCACCGAGCTTGAGAAAGAGATCCGCACAGCGGAGCGAGAGAAGACGGCCCTTCAGACCAAGGTTTCGACTCTTGAGTCAGAAGTTAAGATCGCTGACCAAGATCGCGAATCCCTCCAATCGCGGATAGTGAAGCTCGATACTTCGCGTCAGACTGGCAATGAGAAGGTTTTGACTGAAGAGCGAAGAAAGTTACAAGAAATTGTCAAGAATGCTAAGCTTGAGGCTGAAGAACTTTCGTTGCGCGTGACGGAGAAGGAGACTGAGCTCGTCAAACTCGAGGGGAAACTGCGCTCCGAACTCCGGGAGAAGGATAAACAACTTCGCAAAGCCGCAAATGAGACTGACAATCTAAAGTTCCAGATATCATCTAAGGAAGATGAGATAGAGACACTGGAGACGCGCTTGCAGCAAGCTGAGGCAACAAGCGGCCGATCTCCTCGAACAACATCCGAAATAAACAAGCTACAAATTCGTATCCGGGACATGTCCGATGAGCTGAACGTGCTTCAAGAAGAGCTGGCAGAACGGGAACAGCAAGTACAAAGTCTCACCGTTGAGCTCCGTAATGCTACCAAGGAAACCACGACTCGCCTACGCAGTATTAAGATTGACCACGACACAGCCGTCGAAGATGGACTGCGCCTTCGCGAGGAAATAATGAGCATGGAGAAGCGACACCAGAGTGAGCTCAGGGGCCTCGCCCGCCAAATCGGCTATCTTCGAAAGCGATGTGAACGGGAAGAAAGTTTCCGCGAAGGCCTCGGCTGGCAAAAGAGGTGGTTCCTGCTCACAGTCGGCATGTACGGCATCTGGTAAATTCCCACTTCCTCGTTGTTGATAGGAAATGTGCTAATGGAGGAACAGTAATAAGGCGTCCCTAAATCTAGTAGCTGAAATGGGCATCACTCCAGACGCGTCATTCCACGACCGTCGGCCGACACTCAAGGCTGTCGGACTCGGGATTATTGCGACTATTCGCATGTGTAAAATGCGAGACGACTGGGCTAAATCTCGGAAAGTACACGAGGGGATCGTGAAGAAATTAGAGAGCATGCGGAGAGGGATGGGCCGGAGGAGTCTTGCCGCGTAACGACGATGATCAGGCATGGTATTGGTCTACAGTGGGTTCCCTTTTTGGTCCTCTATGCTGAGAGCAGAGATTTTGAGGCTGTTATCGTTATCTCGAATGATTGACTAGTCTGGCATTGTCTGGCGTTGGAGATCTGCATAGGCGCACGGTTGAAGGAACCATGAAGCTATGCAGCGAATGAATTATGTCGATGTCAAACCATTCATTTCGAATTTGTATTTTAAAAGCATTGATCAATGATCCAGTTTCTGTTCACACATTCTCTACAGCCAGTTATCATGTGCAATGGCTCTGGCCGGTGGCGCAGCACAAGGCAACCTCGGAAGCAGCCGGAACTCGGCCGAAAGTGGGTCTGGTTCCAATCGCGACGCTGCAGATGAGCCTATTTCGACCACATAAACATTATCTGCAGCTTTACTGAGTGGCATCGCTCTCTGAATCATCTACACTGACTCGCTAGCACTGTAATGTGGACGCGTGGACACCCACAGACAAGGGTGTAGGTTCTTCATTATGGTCTACGACTGATGAATCGGGTTGAGACTAGAGCCACCTTCCGCAGAAGAATTTCCTTGGGTCACCCTGCGGACTCTGGCTATCGAACTCGATAGTTACCGCCAGCTTGCTGACCCAGGATGAGTCTGGACTCTGGAGGGCGCCACTTTTCTTGCCGCTCTCTTTTTCCACCCATCTCTATAGGAATGCTTACGCGTACTCAGTACTTCTCATTTGTCAGGTTGTTTCCGGCAACAAACGCCACTTCCGCTGTCCCTGCATGTATCGTAAATCCTAGCCTTGTTTATTATTGCATGTCTCAACGTTTCGATGATCCATTCATGACACCGAAACGGCTGTTTCGCAGCCAGGAATACCTTGTTTCCCGCAAAAGATGCCTAACGAGGCAGACATTTATGATCTCGATTGCCAGTGTTTCATATCTGAAGAGTGAGAGACGAGATATGGCGAAGACTTTGGGTCGAGGAACCGACGCGCATGCATGACGAGATGTACCCAGCCACGCATACCATTATATTCGATAGGGAGCCTTAGTTGCATAAACGCAAACAGCAATCCGTATCATCTGTGATACCTGGTCACTCCGCAGAATGATGTCGCCATCATTATTAGCATTCTATACGCGCCCCTCAGTGGATGCCACCTCGGGGTTCGCCGCATCTTCGTGGCTCTCGTATATTCAAGAAGTTGTTATGCAGATAGCATTTACCGGGTCCTGGTGCCGGAACTAGCCTTCTATAGTATCTTGTAGCGTACAGGGACGCCGTGTTTTAAATTGAATAGAGGTACCGAAGAAGCATATGGTTGTATTTCGACTGAGTAAGCTATTCAAAGACTAGCAAAAATAAATAACGATCCATTGCAGAGTTACGTACTTCCATAAACCTTGTCAGTTATCAAAATCTGCATAAAGACGTTATCTCTAGCCGAAACTAGAGCCGAAATTAGCCAAGATGCTAAGCGGCTAGGTTTCAACTAGAGAATTCCTAGGACTTCTTAGTTCTGTGTTTACCTAGTTTTACATGATAAAAATAACATTTATGGAATTTTACGATACTATTATAGCTCATGAGGTATCTATATAGAGTCCAAAGTTGAACTGCTCGTCCTCTGTGCTACTGTATAGTTACTACTTGTATATGGTATACTATCTCGAGTAATAGCCGTTAGAAGTACATGATAGCCCCTATACACTTGAAAAGAGAGTTACTGATACTAGAGCTTATAGAGTTCATCCACCGAAACCATCTTCTACTACCTACTTGCTAGTAGGCTTATATTTTGCTTTTATAAGAAGATGATTCATGAATGAGCACGAACGAAACAGGCTAAAACTCGGCTACATCGGTAAACATTTTCCTAAAATACCATGATAAATAAAACCAGACCCTCTGCGAGAAATCGTGTAGCGCCTTGGCAGAGGATTCAGATTGACGGAGATAATAGACATGAGGCATAAACTGACAGCAGTAGGTATGTCACTGCTCATTTGTCAGCCGAGGCTTGACAATCTGCGAGCTAGTCAAATTAGGAATGTAAGCATCCTTGTTCCTGGGCACAGACTGCTAGGACACGACACAGCCTTGGACTTGGTGGAGAGTGACTTGGTCTCTGATCTCTACATTGGTGGAGAGCATTATTCCAGGATATGAATCCCGATATATCACCCGGTTGAAGGATGTGCTGGCGCGTCGCGGACGAGAATTGCCAATTGCGTCAGGATGATGATCGAGGTTATAAAGAGTGGACTTCTAATCAAGGGATTGAAAGATTTTATGTATGCGTAAATTCACTCCTTTATTTTTTTTCGTGTTGTATAACTACCTTTCTTCAATATGCTTTTCATTCTCGTACTTGCAACGCTTCTGATACATACTGCTCTCGCAGTACGGCCATTCGACAATGAGCCAGACACTGGGCAAGTTCTTCCCAATCATATTCCCCACTGCTAGAACTGACAGTTCATAGTTTTGAAGCCTTCATCCCGACCAACCATTCCCTTCCCGATCTCTCAACCATTCAAGGCATCCCCGACTTTGACGCCGCCGCCCGTAATTACATGAACGTGAGCGCCTACACCTACTACCGCAACGGCGCCGCCGGCGAATGGTCATACCGCAATAACCTTGAATCTTTCGGCCGTGTCCGCTGGAGACCACGCGTCTTTGTTGATATCATGGACGTCGAGTCCACGCTGCCCACAAAGATACTCGGATACAACTACTCAGTGCCATTCTTCATCGCGCCTGCTGCACGCGCAGGGTATGCGAATCCGGAGGGCGAGAAGAGTCTGGTGCGGGCTGCGGAGGCGGAGAACGTGCTTTACGTCACGAGCTTCTTCAGCTCGATTCCCATGGACGAAATCATAGCCGCGAAGACTAACGGATCGAATTCCACCTTCCACAGCTTCCAGCAGCTATACGTGGACAACAACGACACTGTCGTCCAGCAGCGCCTCGACCGGATCGCGGCTGCAGGCCAGAAAGCTATATTCCTGACCGTTGACTCTGCTGCCAACGGCGTGCGTACGCGTGCAAATCGCTACCAAGTTGGCAGCGCAGACGATAGTCTAACCCTCTTTACCTGGGCCCGTTACCGCAAGATTGCAAACATGACCAGCCTGCCCGTGGTGCCCAAGGGCATCCAGAGTGTCGAGGATGCCAAACTCGCTGTCGAGAACGGGGCGCCTGCAATTTATCTGTCTAACCACGGCGGGCGTCAGCTTGATTTCAGCCCCAGCCCATTCGAGGTCGCGTTGGAGATTTACAATGAAGCGCCTGAGATCTTCAAGCAGATCGAGGTGTATGCCGATGGTGGCGTACGGTACGGGACGGATGTGTTGAAGATGTTGGCCTTGGGAGTCCGCGCGGTGGGCATTGGGAGGCCGTTTATGTATGCCAATTGCTATGGTGTGGATGGCGTTAGGAAGGCGATGCAGACTCTTCGCAATGAGGTTTTGAACGATGCGGGCAATCTGGGGGTCCCAAATGTTCAGAACGTAAGCTCAAGTGTGTTGGATTTGAAGTACATGGCAACGAACGGATGGTATACAAGGTAAGTAGATGAGGAAATGGTACGATGAGAAAGAGCAGAGGAACATGAAGTTACTTTCGATGTATATATATGTTTAGAAAATCCTTTTACGTGCTGATCACAGCATTTTTTTCCGTCTTGCTTCGTGTCCACTTTGGCTAACATGTCTACCCTTCGTGCCATTGCAAGTCACTACATTTCACGAATGATACTATGAGTGCACTATTGGCAACGAAGCGGCGTCTCGTCTTGATTGTACATCAGATACATGACTTGACGACGAGCACATCAACAACATTAGCAACCAAGTGTGACCTGGACACCGAATTTCTATATATCGATCCATCCCATACTTGTGAGTGTGTACCATTGCCTCTTTCGGGAAAGTATGTGACCAATCCTCGGAATATCTCGTTGTGTCTCGTGGGATATTCGCTTGAATTTACACAATGCTATCCTTCAAGAGTCCAGAAGAACATCTGACTGCGTCCATCGACATGAGCATGTGAGTAGATGTGAACAAGCACGAGGACGCTCTTGCTCCAGACTTGAGTAAACAGAATCAGTCTCTAAAAGTCTGAAATGAGTGGCACCGACTCACTGCTGCGGAAATTGAGCTTGCCTGAAACAGAGCAATAAGTTCCCACCCATTCAATTCCACTTCAAGCTCGAGCCGCGTCTCTATTCACCGTACGGATAGAAACTCATATACTACATAGTAGCCTAGGAGGGTTAGCATGGACTGGCTGCGTAGCGGGTGATTAGCCCACCGCGACAAGCAACCCGGGCACCGAATAGCGTTTAGGCAGGACTCGAGACTCTTGAGGTCATGCTTGGTCCCGGCTGAACGTAAACGGTCAACTCATAAGATTCTTCATCGAAAGTGAGTACAACAAGGAGTGCTTCGTATTAATTATTAATAGTGCTGTCTTCAGCCATACGTTACAGGTTCATGTGCAAGAGTCGTCACCGTCCGCCTCAAGGTAAATTATCTCGGGCTCGTTTGGAGCCATTTCCTTATTCACCGTCGCATATTACGGGCCAGGGCTATCAAAACTTCGAACCATGGGTGTAAAGCTTCTATACCGTCGTCCATCCTCAAATACTCATTGCTTAGACAAATGTCCTTAGCACATCGACTTTCTTGCAGCTGGGATTTTGCGGCTTGTCGTTGCCCAAGACCCACGTGAGTGTGTTGTAGTTATACCCAAGGTAGTTCGTCAAACATACATGCCATCTGTAGAGCAGTTCGGCAGGAGTGATGTACTTGGGTGGCGTAACAGTATCATCGATCGAGTTCGAAATAGCCATCTTGTTGTTGTCGTCAAAAGTAACATGGAGACCGTTGGACGAGGGCTGGAGCAGTAGCTGAGCCACGTCCGTGCCAATCGAGTAAAAGATGTTCATGGGACTGCTAGCAACGAAGCCGTTGCCGACGAGGTTCCAAGTCAAGAGGCCAACGTTCTCGCTGGGGTACATGGTGTAATTGAGATAGTAGTTGTTCCTGTTGCTGGACCCGAGAGTGCAGAGAGACTCTATAGCTGCGCCTGTGTGACACGCGCCGATGTATGTACCGTTCAGGCTTTCGTCATCGTCGGAGATAAATTGGAGATTGAAAGGTGCAGACTGGTTGGGGTAGTTGGACTGAGCAATGGCAGCACCAGTCAAGGCGAGAACGGAAGCGATGGTTGAGGGACGCATGATGAAGGTATATTGTGTTACACCGAGATGTAGAAGTGATTAGTGGTGAATGCGAGGAGAAAATACCTGATGGACGGCATGACGGTCGACTTATATATTGAGGACGGCAGTGACGGTCGTATAATCCATGGTCGTCAACATACACTATCCCAACATTCTTGTCGCTGGAAAGCGCCAGCTCCCCAGTACCTACGCATGCCTATCCCATCGTGACTACCACACCACCGTCTTGGGCCTCGCCGTGTATACCCGTCGATTCAACAGGTAATATTGGTCACATCGTGTAACGGAATATTTTGAATGACGTCGATCTATTCTGCTCCGCACTCACTAAGCAACCCTGCATGCTCGCAATATTGGGAGATCGGCGCCCCACCATATCACCTTTATGCTCAGCATTACAGCCTCTTCAGTCTGTCCCCTTCAGAAACCAGCTGCAGTAAGATGCCGCTTACTGAGCCAATACACCATGTTGCTGTTGCATTTGTACGAGCCTGAGCCTGTGCTGCGGCACGCTAGGCAAGCCGGCATCGTGCAACCCAGACACACACTTGGGACTTGCCAAATCGGGTAATTCTTGACTGATTTGTGCTGGGATTGTAGTGCGTTACAGTATCATATATTCATGTCACACCGCGTAGAATACAGTATAGTAGCACGGCTTTGTCTTTGAAGTGTAACAACCTGGTCATGGATCTACGTGGTACACCGAGATAACAGGCCATGAATGGATAATCCAACGTCTTATACTCGTGATGGATGGCGAGCATTAACAGCCTTGCGTAGACTGTGCTGGGAACCAGCATGCAATTAATGTAGAGGCATCCATAAGCGGGGGTCTCGGAAAGACACACTTATGCCTAGTGCACAAATAATCAGCGAAGAGTTCGGTTTCATTTACTCTGACTTCCCCTTTCCTCGCTAGACTGTTGAACTTTCAAAAAGACATACGCTTGAATCGCTGCGCGTAGTTGTCACCATACCACAAGTCCACGACGGGCTGAATAATATCGCCATGGTGATTCACAAAAGCTCAAGCTCAAGTGTAATCAACCATGCAGCTCGCGACAGCCGGAGTGACCGAAAACCTTGACTCTTCGCCAACTTCGACGTCATCTCGCAGCCATCCTTTTGTTATCTCTCGTAGTTGCATCACTTGAATCGATCGAACGTCGTCGCGCTCTAAAGTCTGACGACAACCAAGAGGATACCACGGGCGCGCGAAATCAGATGCGCGGAATGAAGGTGGATGATGCAATGTGGCGGTTGTCAGAGTGTGTTTCTGTATGAAGTGTGTGTGTGCAATGTCACGCTCGATATCTCCGCTTACTGGGAATCCATGCTGGCTAGGCAACCTAACACCAACGCTAGCAGATAGGCTTGCGATAGCAATACAAAGTTACAAACCGAACCCTGAAGTGTAATTAGTGTCAGCCCGGTTTGAACGGGCCGGAGACGCTATCGAATATTCTTCTCAAAGACATAGTAAGCATTTCGCAGTCTGTAACATAGCTGGTTTATACTAGTCCTTCTCTTGATGGACATGATGTTGTACTGGCATCACGAATGTGGCATCAGTCAGACACTTGTCTCTTCTATATTCGAGAGCGCGATCAGCTGATTCTCAAAGAAAGTCTTTGTTTCGATACCAGAAAGCGGAAGCGACAGCCTTGTAAGACATCAGTGGACCAGCCCAAAGCATCGTGGAGGCGGGAGCGGCCCAGGGATCAGCTCCACTAAAACCTAGTTTACACTTACTACCGCGGTTACTCGCCCGTGTCACGAACAGAACACCGAAACTACTTTGGCGTACAGAGCCAAGAACAAAGAATTGATCTGCCGATCCTGAGTTATTTGCCTTTGCTTCAAGCACATGAAGTGGCAACGTTGCACCCACCATAAGTATGCCCGCTCACTGCACCCTATGCGTGGCAGTCTGGAACCGGTATCCGTATCAGTAGAAGGATGATTGTAGTGCATCTGCACGTTGGGTACCGGCGCTGGTCTATCCATGGAGCGATAACATCACGCCAAGCCTATGTAATGGAGGCTCTGCAGAGCATATTTGTGCTTTGTTAAGCTTTGTATTATTGTATTTGTGCGGTCGTTGCTGGATTTTGATTACTGAGCGTTAGGAAGAGATTGATTGATGCTGCTCGTGGATAGCGGCGAGTCTCCTTTCTGGATCGTCGGACTGGTGAAAGGTGAACATCGCATCGCAGAAAGTCGAAATGTATAAATTTCCAGGATCAAATTCATATTTCAAATTATAAAACCCTACAAAGTATATCGACATGAAGAAGTAGAAAGGAAAAAGATTGACAAAAGAGAGCTGTTCAGGCGTGATTCGTAACTTCCACCTTCAATACACACCACTACATCCCTTCACCATAGCAGGAAGCACAAGCCGACAATACCCAAGAACATCGCCAGCAGCGCCACGTCCAACGGGGCCGCACCGCTGTTTGGGGTCTGACGGCCGATGGCAGGTATCACAGTAGGCTGGACCTTGCGTGTAGCAGTTACAGTGACAGTTGTGGTACCACCGACGGAAGGGCAGAATGCAGACGGGGCTGGAGATCCCATAGGCACTGGGGTGACGATGACGGTCATGGTGGTGGTTGGCTTTGTAACGGTGACGGCGACACAATCTTTGGTGCAGTGGCTTGACTCTGCAGCCATGCTTGGGTGGTTGTGGCCGTAATGGTAAGCAGGAGTAGATGTGGTCTGTATGGGCTTCTCAGAGCTGTGGATGTGCATGCTCGTGTGGTTGTGGCCGTATTGGTAAGATGGAGTCGATGGGGTTTGCATGGGCTTCTCAGACGTGTACATGTGAATCGTAGAGGAAGTCTCTTCGGCCCAGGATGAGGACATCTCCCAGGAAGGAGTCTCCATAGTGCTTTCCCAAGTCGATGAAGGAGTTTCAGAGGTCTTCTCCCATGTCATCGATGGCGTCTTGGATGGCTTCTCCCAGCTCATGGAGGGAGTCTCGAATGGCTGCTCCCAGCTCATGGATGGGGTCTTGGATGGTTTCTCCCAGCTCATAGAAGACGTCTCAGATGGCTTCTCCCAGCTCATAGAGGGGGTCTTTGATGGCTTCTCCCAGCTCATAGAGGGAGCCTTAGATGGCTTCTCCCAAGTCATGGAGGAGGCCTTGGTTGACTTCTCCCACGTCATCGAGGAAGTCTGTTTGGGCTTCTCCCAGCTCATAGAGGGAGTCTTCGACGGCTTCTGCAAGATCGAGGATGGAGCCTTAGATGGTTTCTCCCAAGTCATGGAGGGAGTTTTGGATGGCTTTCCCCAAGTCATCGAGGGAGTTTGTTTGGGCTGCTCCCAGGACATGGTTGCGACAGGCGGGGCACACACATCGTTGTAGCCGTAGTCTGCATCATTGCCGGTGCGCTCTGGTATGTGTTAGACTTGACTCTCAGAAAAAAATAGGACGTGTCGTGAGCTTACTGTTGAATCGACCAGGATCACACGCTGAGCCATTCCTCAGGCAAGGCTTGATCATGGAGTCAGTGGCATCCTTCTTTTGACAATGGCAATCGAAGTCATCCAACGAGCAGCCGTTGTTGCCAAGTGCCCAGGAGTGGCATTCGCGCTAAACAATGTCAGCTTTGTCAGTAAAGGCTCTTGAGGATCGCTTACAGCACACTCCGGAATGGAATTGATGAATTTGTCGTGGGTCATCTTCGGCTTGAACATGTTCAGGTCGGCGGCAGCCACCGATGAAATGACGGACAATGCGATGACACTGTAGTACTGCATTTTGGGAATCGTGTCGAGGTGGAACGATTAATTATTAGTGTATAGGTTTGAAGGAGTCGAGGCTGGATTAGATTATGTAGAGTGGTAAAAAGCGAATGACTTTTGCAAAAGAGCGACTTTGGTTTGAAGACCGAATGAGTGAATGCTGAAGTGAGCTGAGGAATGAGGATGGATTGGATAGACTGAGACGAAGAAGAACCTGACTATTATACTATCTTCATGAGATTCCAGACTATTGCTCTTCCATGTTGACGCCAAAATCCCGAAATAATCATCGCCTTACTCTCTTGACACGAGAGGTGAGAGTCATCTTGGAGAGATGAAAATCGTCCATCTTTGGTGCCTTTAATGAGAATAATCTGGATAAGAATGATAGGATTTCAAGTTTAGTTAGGTATTCTGTGAATCAGTGTTCAGGAGAAATATCCCGCACGCAGTCATCTCGGAATAATTTCTCATTGATTTGCCGTTTCTTTACCAACCACACTAGCTTTAACATTTTGTTAGGTTGCAGGAAACTGCCAGATATCATCGCCACCATCATGATCATCATCATGATCATTGCAGCTTGTGTGATGACCACAAGATGGTTGCTACTCATCCGATATATCGCTGAAAGCTTAGCCAATACGTTGGTATAGAGTCGGTAAATATTAGAATTCGAGCCTTGTATTCGAAATTCGCTAATATACCAAGGCTTTTCACGCATATAAAAGAAATGTTAGGAATAAAATCGAATATTTTCAAAATGAGATGGCAATGAACCGATGTAATTAGTGTACGAAAGGAATGTTCGGGAGATGAGTGTTCGTGCGGGTCTATACTCCACGAAGACGAAATGAAAAGTAGTTGAGCTAGTCTGAAGAAGCTTAGCGTGATACCAGGAGATGGATCATGTCGCCCTGATCTTCAGGCAGCTATCGTCGCCTATCGATAAGAAGATTTTCAACACCACAAATCGTAAATGCGCATTATAGAACACGACGTAATAATTTGGCAGGTGATCTCGAAATGACGACTTATGACAGTGACTCTTCCGGTGCGGAAGACAACTTTACCGAAACAAATGTCCTTCTAGGTTACGCCACCAAAGATGAGACGGACGACAATGTGAGCCATCTTGGCGGACACCCAGTATGAACTCCTACCTATTATACATGCGCGGCACTGACAAGTCTAGGAATGGCTCGATTCGAAGACTGCCCCAACTGGCGCGCTCGCTAGATGCAAAACTTGCAACTCCTACCTTTCTCTTCTCCTCCAGCTCAATGGGGACATGCCAGGCACTTTTCCCGGTCACGAAAGACGTCTGTATGTATGGAGCTGTCGTAAAAAGACCTGTAGAAGGAAAGATGGAAGCATAAGAGCCTTTCGAGCTATTCGTGTCAGCAAAGAAGCCATGGCGAGAGCCCAAACAGCAAAGGCGGTTCCGGTGGCAGCGTCAGAGTCCAAGAAACAACAGATGAACTTGGGAGAATCTCTCTTTGGCGCAAAGCCACTCACAGGAGGGGGCGCAAATCCCTTCTCGGCATCATCCGGATCGAGTGTACCGCCAAACCCTTTTGCCTCTTCTCATACATCGAATCCCTTTGCAGCAACGTCTTTACTCGCCGCGAAACCTCCTCAACCACCAACCCTACAGCTTTCTAACCTCACCGATTCATTCGCTGACAAACTTCGCATCTCCTCCCCACCGCACGCCATACGCCAGCCGGCGCGACCCCATGAACCATGGCCCTCAGAATCTTCCTTCCCAGATCCATACCCAATCTACAATCTCGATGCAGACTATGAAACCCTAGATGCTGAAGCCCCCATGCCCCCTCAAAATGTGCGCATGCAATTGGACGTCGACGGCGAATTTTCTAATTCTGCGAAAGATATGAAAGGCGAATACGAGTCTGAGATTGATAAGACATTCCAAAAATTTGCGGACCGGCTGAGTCAGAACCCGGAGCAGGTGTTGCGTTATGAGTTCAAAGGGCAGCCATTACTGTATAGTAAGCTCGATGCGGTCGGAAAGGCACTAGGGGATGGAAGGAGCGGTAATGCGGGCATGACGAGGTGTGGAAACTGTGGGGCGGAGAGGGTGTTTGAGGTCCAACTAACGCCACATGCGATCATGGAACTAGAGGCAGAAGAGGAGGGGCTTGAGGGAATGGAGTGGGGCACTGTGATTGTCGGGGTGTGTAGGTTGGATTGCCAGCCTGGAGATGTAGGTGCTGGAGAAGTTGGCTATCTTGAGGAGTGGGCTGGTGTACAGTGGGAGCAGACCAGAAAGTAAAGATGGACATGACGTCCCTTTCACCAGGACTTGGCAAGATTTGTTCAATGATATACCCAGTTCGGCGTTGCCGGTATATGTATTTCCGGAAAGGCTCTTATATTGAGATGTCAACCCGATCACGCTGGTTGTTCATATGCCCTCCTTACGATCCTCGAGAATTCTTTGTCTTGTTAGCACGGATAGAAGCAGAAATATTCCAACATGACTTACGATCAAACTTCACGTTTTCGCGCACAACTGTACCCTTGGCCTCATTCTCCTTGTTCAGGGGTATCGCCACCTTGCTGCCGTCAACCTTCCAGCCGCACACTGTGCCAACGAAGTGCTCAAATTCGTTTCCGCTCAGGTTAAGCCAGCTCGAGAGAATCTCTTTTTGCACTTCACGAATGGTTTGTGATACTGTGACTGCGATCCGTACCCTCATCAGCTCCTCAAAGCCGCTCACATCAGCGACGAGATCTGCGTACAGATCATCCGAGTCTAGTGTTGACCAGAACGAGGAGTAGTCTGCGGATGAAAGGAGGTTGTTGAGGACGGAAAGTTTTTGGACTGACTCTGCGAGGTCACCAGATGGTCGTGTGGAGGGGTTTAGACTAGGCGAGAGGAGATGTGGTGGGAGAAGCGAGAGGCAAAGACTGAAGTCTGGTGAGGGAAAGACCGTGAGAGACTTTACGAGGATGTTGGTTATAGTCTCGTCGCGCGTTAAATGCGGGTTAAATTGATATCTGCACGCAAATGTGTCGTCAGTTAACCTCTCTGCAAGTTTCTGTCCGATTAATTCGCAAACGAGTAAAGAACATTCAGTTCTAGAGCTAAGGTTGTAACTTCCGCGAGCTTTCGCCCTCAGGTAATAGGAAACGTGGATATGAAAATTGTTCATCATCGTATAGTATCGTACATACACAGAGGTTTCACTTACAGTTTGAGAAGCGCCAGGTTGGCGTAGCAGTCGTATGTCTGGCTTTCGCATTGCTGCATCACGTAGTCCTGGAAGACCCCGGTCGTCTCAGGATTGTATCGCTCAAGGCCATTCAGGATCTGGTCGATCTGCTCTGGCCGGTCTGGCGCATAATCGAAAGCGACGCCCATGGCTTTTTGTGGTATTATTGAGTCGCGGGGGGTTGACGTTGAAGCGCGCTAGAATGCGAAATGTGGTGTTGCGCACACAGAAGGCAGGGTGCGAAATTCCACGCCAAGATTATTCTGCCACCGCTGAGGTGAATCCAGGATACCTAGTTGCGGGGCTGCTAATTAGCCTTTGCATTTAGTAACCACCCTACGCCCGAAACCGTGCAAAACCAACGATTAAAAAAACATTTATTGAGACTCACAAGGTCAAGCAGGCTGTTTGAACCACATTGAAATTCGTCCTCGATTTGAAAGATGCCTGCTGACTGTCGTAAAGCAGATTCGCTTCATAGTGGACCGAAAATCTGCGAACTATCTTGAAAGTTGATTTAGTACCTCCTCATGCTAGGGCGAGCCACTCTACCACTATCAGACACACTCGACTGGACATGTGCTCAGAATGGCAGTGTCAATGTCCAGATATGCCTCAAGGTGATCGTTGAAGTAATACAAAAGCTGCTCTTCTTTCCATGCGGATGTGCCTCTCCTTGATATCATTGCCGTACTGCCAGAGCTTGAAACCGACCTTCAACTGCTCATCGAGGTGCCTTACTCCGTGCCGTGCAATATTTAGTCACTGATTATGTTGTGGAGGAGGAAAGTACATTTTATCATACACCAGTAGGATTTGTCACTTGCGTATATACCATTTATGAGAGGATGAGCTATCAACAAGCAGCCACTGCTTAGGCAAGAGATGAGGGGCAGTGGGCACAACAGGTCGCGATGAGAATCTCACTCATAAGGACTCGCTGACTTCTAGCCTCTTGCTCTAGCTTAGTTCTAATGGAACCAGTAGCCAATTACACTTCGTTATCACTAAAGGTAACCCGTTTCTATTAATCTTATACTTAGACTAGATTATAGTCTATAGTTTTCTTTCTATTAATTTATTTTTCTATACTATATTATATTTATCCTTATAGTCCTTCGTCTCCCTATTAGGTATTTATTTTATATTTTAAGAGGTAGAATATATTATATAGAAGTATCTATTATTAAAGAGGCGAGCCCGAATATTAAGTTTAATAATCTTATTCTCCTAGCTATAATGTACTAGATATCTATAATATAGTTATAATTCTTAATAGCTCGACTTAAGGTTATACCTTCCTCTACTTATAAAGTCTCTATATAATTTAATACTCTATAATACTCTAAAGTCCTTAGGTGGTTTATAACTTAAGTTACCTTAACGCTAGAATTATAATCTATATTACATAGTAGTGTAAGGAAATCTCACTTACAAGGACTTACTAACTTCTAGCCTCTTACTCTAGCTTGGTTCTAATAGAACTAGTAGCTAATTATACTTCGTTATTACTAAAGGTAACCCATTTCTATTAATCTTATTATTAGAACGGGAACCATAATAGACCTATATAGACCATTCTAATCCATATAGCCACGTAGTAGCTAGAGCTAGGTTAAGTTAGCTAAGTTAAGTAAGGTTACTATATAAGTAGACCATATAAACCGATTCCTACTTATTAGGAATCAACCTCGTATAAGAGTAAGATTACTCTATAAATACATTTCTATGTCTCTCTATGAACTATTAGACTACTATCCTACGTCTTTACTCTTTATATTTTAATTCCTCTCTATATAGTATAACGGTAGCTTATAGAGATAGCTCCTACTACGCGCTATAATACCCGTAGCACTACCTTATACGAGAGACTCTCTCTAAATCTAAACGAAGAGAATAGTCTCCCTACGACTACCTCTACTAATAAGTATACTCTATAGGCTATTATACTAATAACTAGTACGGTATTCCGTATAACCGTAGAAGATTACCTAGATAATAAGGAAGAAGTCTATTATACTCTATCGCGGTCTAGTTTATACTATACTAGATCTATCCTTACTATAAGACTAGACCCTATTAACGTTAATGAATTAATTCATTAGAACTAACTAACGTTAACCACGCCTTATAATAATATATATACTAAGCTATACACGGAGAGATAGCGTTAGACTTAGCTTAAGTAGTAACTTCGTGAACTCGATAAAGCGTAAGGACGAACTACTAGACTCGAAGCCGCACTACGCGCTTTAGTACTAGTAGTAACTAACCTATACTAATATAGACTAACTTAAGCCGAAATAGTCTAACTAAGTCTATTACTATCCTAGTTACCTTAGTCTAAGAAACCACCTTACTTCGACGGTAAAACCAGGAGGAGCTTTCACGAATAGACTTACTAGTATAGCCGATTCTTCTATCTATTCACGAACGATAGTAATAAGATTAGGTTCGTATAGAACTACCTAGACCTAACGCTATCTAAACATTAGATAGTATATTAAATTAAACACCCTAAGGATACGTATAACTAGGACACGTTCACCGAATTCCTTCTTTAATACTTTAGCGATAGAGCTAAGCGATATAAATAGGCTTAGAGCCATATCTTTAAGACTTAATAGCGAGAGAGATAATCTCTATTATAACTCCTTAAATACCTCCGACCTCTTTAGAGAGAAGCTAAGGAAGATTATATAGTTTAATAATATAATAACTTTAAAAGGTCCCTTAACCTAAGCGTAAAGAAACGCATTAACCTTATAACGTCTATCCCTACTAATCTTTAGGTACTCGCGAATCTCGTAGAATGATATTAGCGTATAATAAATAACTAACGTCGTATAGGCGTATAACTATCCCTATTAATCTAATCTAATATAAAATCGTCTAAAGAGGACCGGTTTAGTAATAGATCGCGCGGAATACCTCGTGGGCGCTACTACTCTATGAACTCGAGAAGACGAGGCCCGTACTACGGATCTTTCTACTAGTCGATATATTAAGACGCGAGAAACGACTTATATAAATAATCTAAAGTCACCTACTACACCTATAGTAGGATAGGCTATATAGTACCCGAGTACCGCTTAGGGAAACTACTAAATACTAATATAGATACTAAGTTAGTTATATACTATAAGTACTAGTAGCTAGAATATATCGCGCCTAACTACCTAGTACATGATATAAAAAACTAACTACCTATAAGGAACCCTCGCGACTTATAGGCGTAACTAAAATAGAGGGATAACTAGCCAACTAGTATATTAAACTATAGGCTAGGCCTATCAAGGTCTCTCGTGGATAATATTAGACCGTAATACTTAATAGTGGTTTAGCTACTAACGTTATATCGACTTAACGAGCACGAGAACTTAACGTCGATATTTAAGTACTAATAGGTACTACCTTCTATAGTATCGATAGTCCTATTAAATTATAGGGTATCTATACTATTAAATATAGTATCTAGGACAGCGGGGGGAAGTAGAAACCCTACTACTTAACCTTTATCGTAGTAGATAGTCCCTTTAATATAATCCTCGGTATACCGTAGCTCGAAAAACATAACCCGAAACTAGACTTTATCTAGAAAACAGCTAGCTAGCGTATATACCTACTATAATAGAACCTAGTATAGCTAGTCGATAATGAATAATTCTAGAAGGACTATAAAAAGGTAATCTCCGCTATCTATGTCCTCTTACTTACTTAAAATAGAGAGCTTAGTATTAAAGTAGACGAAAACCTACTATATTAGTATAAAATATACTAATATATCGCGTTAGCAATCGACTCGTCCGAATTACCTTAATACTAATCTACCGACCTTACTATTAACCTTAAAGATAGTTAATAACCTCTATACGGACCTATATACCCTCTATTAGAACCCGAGCTATAGGTCCTCTAAGAATATATTAAAAAGAACCTTACGCGAGAATAGATTAGGCCTAGTATATCTCTAGCCGGAGCTCTAATCCTCTTTATAAAGAAGAAGAATAGGAGTCTCCGTCTATATATTGACTACTATAGTCTAAATAATATTATATAAAAGAATCGTTACCTACTACCTCTTATCTCTAAGTCTATTAATAGACTAGGGCGCGCGAAGATCTTTACTAAGCTCGATCTATACGACGTCTACTACCGCCTATATATTAAGAAGGGCGATAAGTAGAAAACGGCGTTTAGGACCCGTTATAGACACTTTAAGTATATAGTAGTCCCTTTTAGACTAACTAACGCGCTAGGAACCTTCTAAGCGTATATTAATAACGCGCTAGTAGGCCTACTCGACACGACGTGCATTATATACCTTAATAACATCCTTATCTTCTCTAATAATAAAGAAGAATATATCTAGCACGTACGCGTAGTCCTAGATAGGCTAGAAAAACATAAGCTATATATTAAGCTATCTAAATATAAGTTCCACTAGGACCACGTTAACTTCCTTGGCTTCGTTATTACTAATTAAGGTATAACCATAGAAAGGGACAGGGTCGCTACTATTGTGGACTAGCCTAAACTAAAATTAGTTTAAGATATACGTGTCTTTATTAGATTCGCTAATTACTACTAAAAATTCGTTAAGTATTTCTCCCGGCTAGTAGCACTACTTAACACGTGTACTACTACTATAGATTCGTCTATTACGGTCCGCGGTAGATAGAAATAGCGTAATATTAAATCGTAGTCTATAGAATTATTAGAAGGCGAAAGGGCCTCCTTCGAGAAAATCAAAGAGGTATTTATAACTACTCTATTACTAGTATACTTCGACCTAACTAAACCTATCCGCGTTAAAACCGACGCGTTAGAATTTATAATCTTAGGCATTCTCTCCTAGCCTAGACTAACTAAGTCTAAAAAGATCTAATGGTATCTAGTTGCGTTCTTCTCACGCAAAATAGTCGATATTAAGACTAGATATACTATCTATAACTAAGAGCTACTAGTAATAGTAGAGTTATTTAAATAGTAGCGATATTATCTTAAAGGTACTATATATAATATCGAGTTACTAACTAATTACTATAACTTAAAGGGGTTTATAAGTATGATAGTTTTAAACCGTTAATAGGTCCGATAGACTAAGTAGCTTACGAACTTTTACTTTATAATCTACTATTAATCTAGAAGTATAAACCTAGCTAATAGAATATTAAGAAGACCTAACTATAAAGAAGGCGCCTAGGATTATAGTAGCTATAGGGTCCTAGAGTAGCTATAGGCCTAACTCTTAAGGACGAGGTTAGATTTTAAGTTATTAGGCGATTAGCGAGATGCTAACGTCGATACTAGTAATCGAATCTCTAAGACTAAAGCTAGTAACCAAAGACACGGTACTAAAGTCCCTAGTAGGCCGTTTATTAGCGCTATCGGGAAGGGCGATAATACCCGGTATAAATATCTAATTAACCTCGCCTAGTTAATCGTGGATCTATAGAAGATAGACCCGATAGTT